GGGACGGCAAGAAAAGAGTAGTGGAGGAGCCAGTGAGGACCACCACATTGGAAGCATTGGCCACCTGTGTTCCCCCTACATTTGCTGTTTGTGCTTCACAGCGTCCTCCGCCCAGTGCCAGGAGGAAGAGGTGTGTGAGAACAGGGAAAATAAAGTGGCAGGAGGAGGACCGCCCCTGTCCCCATGGCTGCCATCCCCCCCCATCATGGCTGCCTCCACTGCTGGCCATCACTGACTCTCACTTACTGCCAGTCTTCATCATCATCATTGTCATCATCAGCATCTTCCTCCTCATCCTCATCGGCTTCCATTTGGGATCTACACGCACCCTCCATCTACAACAAACTTCTCACTTGTCCCTGGAGAATCCAGGGGCTCTCAATCCTTTTTCCCTCATGGATGGCTTTCCCTCAGACAGCACTTCCTTTCCACTCTTCACCCGGAAAGGACCACTCTTCCTTCCAGATGCAGTTAGACTAGCTCCTCCTTCCTGAAGACTTCCCGCACATCCAGGGAAAGCCGGTCTCTCCCTCTTCTGAACTCCAACAGACTTTTCTCTCATCTAAACCTCAAAAATGATGGCAATCCCCTCCACTCCAGCACAAGAGCAGCTCATGCACATTGATTCTTGGTGATTCTTGGGCAGCTCATGCACGTTGGACACTCACCGTGACCCAGGCACCCTGCTGAGTTTGTTACCTCACCACAAACAAGGAGGAAGGTTCCATCACTAACACAGCTCCCAAGCACACGGTGCGTAAATCAGGAAGCCAGAATTCAAGCCCCCGCTGGCTGGCCCCACAGCCTTCGCTCTGCACACCTTGCTGCTGGACCCCTCGTACCCATCCCTACGTCTCTGACTCTGACTCCCTGGCCTCTGAGTCCCTTGAAGCAAGAACTGGCTTCTTCATGTTTGGAATCACGCAGTGCTACACTGGGTCCCTAGGAGCACAGCCTGAAATGGTGATGCTTGGGCAGGTGATCTATCGAGGGAGAGCTCTTGGCAGAAATTATAGAAGAGTAAAAAAAAAGAAAAAAACAAAACACTATAGGGTGGAGGGGAACACTAGGGGAAGGTGTGACTTCAGAAGTCTTGCCTCTGCCTGACCCCATGGGAGCCCTGAAGTGTGAATTGCATCAGAATTTGTCCCACCCGGAGACAACAAGGCTGCACTCTTACGGTCCTCTCCCTCATCAAACAATCCTTGTCTAGTGCTCACACCCTAGCGGGTGGGAGGACATAACCTCCCAGGCAGCTCCACCAAGCCAGGGCAATGCCCAGAGAAAGGTGCACCCGACACACACAGCACCCGAGGGATGGGTGCACCATTCTAGTAAAGGCAATGTAGACAGTGTGCCAATAGCATCTGCTACAGTCATAACTGAAAAAAATATTAAATAGCTTTATCAGCCAAACAAAACACGCCTGCAGGACCTTTTTATCCAGCCAGTGGCTGCCTTCACCCTCTGTAGTGGGCATGCCTAGAACCCAGGTCCAGTGAATCAGTGAATTAGAAGTCATGGCATCTGCTGCAAGACTTTTGAGACCGTCTTTTGAGACCGCGTCTGCACAGCCCAGACTTCAGTGGGTATCCGACATACACTGTTCCATCCCAAGTATTGTCTGCGCTGCAGCACAAAACACCAACTGAAACACAGACACGTTCTTTGGGGTTTTATTTTGATGGACTTCCACTTCCCGTAAAGGGAGAACAGGAACTAAGGGTGGTGGGCATTTTTTAATTTGCAGCACAAAAGTTTATATTGATCCCAAGCTACCAAAAATCACAAATAAACTACAAAGAGGGAAACGGCTGAGCCGAAACCCGTGTGGCTGACTGGCAGTGCGTCTGACGTTTACGTGGTTCTGTCACATCTAAAGGGAGGGTGTCTTTCCCGGCTGCTCCAGTGAGTCTGATGTGGGCAGCTCTGGAATTGGAGCTATATTGATTTGGGGGTTTTGTGTTTTTTTGCTTGTTTGCTGCGCACTCTCTTTTAAAAATAACCGAATCTAATCCTGCTTGGGTTGGCATAACAGGGAAGTAATCATCTATTCCTGAGGGTAAAATGAGATCCGATCCAAAAAAAACACTACCGACGTTCTATTTCAGTGTTTTGGAGCAGGTTTTCGGCTTTAATGATAAGCGGGAGCCTTCGTTAAGACAAAGGTTTTGCCATCCCCTGTGGCTCCGTCTGTTGTCAGCAGGGCTGCCGGACTGGGCTCCTCTGTTTGTTTCCAGAGAGACCGCTCGCTTCCCGGCTGTCCAGGCATCACTGTCCGCTGAGGCGTTGTTTTTTCCTCAGGTCTGTGGGTACTCTGCAGCTCTGTGTTTTCCCTTCACAGACATTCCCGTGTGATTTTTTTTTCCACTCAGCACACCACCCCGGGGGTGGAAATGCTGGATAGGAGAGTGCCATTGTGTGGGCCCGTGAGCTGGCAGAGTCTCCCCAGGCATCTCTGCTGGCCTAGGTGATTTGATCAGTGCTCCACGTCACCCTGTGCTGATCTCACTGTCCCTAGCAGGCAGGGCTCAGCGATAACCCCACGTTAACCATCAGCTCCAGTCCTTGGCCGTCATGTTGCCATTTCTGCCCATCGTAGGTTCTAAATCTGACTACACATTAGAATGACCGGGGGAGACTGTTAAATACCTAACTTCTGGGCCCCACCTGAGATCTGCTGAATCAGAATGCACCCAAGGATGAGGTTCAGGAACATTTTAATGAGCTTCCCAGCACCCAGCCCAACATGGACCCTCTGCCCAGAATAGTGTGGTTTTCACCTAAGGTAGTGTCAACTAGGGACGTCTGGCCTGGAGTAAGCCAGGTGGAAGGTCACAGGAGAAGACGAAAAGAGCTTTTCTGCTCTTCTCCAAGGCCATGGGGTGGGAGGAGGGGACAAGTTGAAAGTAAACATGCAGAATAGCCAAATTATCCTGCACCATGCTACTTACCTGTTCTCATTCAACCATCCATACACCCATCCATCTGTCCATCTCTCCATCTGTCCATTCCGTCAGACACAGATTGAGCTCATGCTGTAGGTATAAGACCCTGGGCATTGGGGGCTGTAAAGAGGGAAGAGTTTGGGTCCTGCCCTCCAAGAGCTCACAGCGCTACTGCTCACTGAGGGTTTTCCCAAGGGGAAGCTGCACTGATCTCTCTTCTTAGAAAGGACAAGCAGAGCCCTGCTCAGAGCCTTCATCAGGCTAGAAAATAAGAACATTTTTCCCATCATACTTACCTTTGGATTATAGTAGATAAAACTGGTTCTCAATTTATAGTAATTATATACATTTGTTCCTTTGAAATAAGCCTATTCATAAACACCACAGTATGCTATCACTATATACTCATTTGAATGATTAAAACTAAAAGGACTGAGGACCAAGTTGGGTGAGGATGTGGACCGACTGGCACCCCAATGCCCTGTGGGTGGTAGTGTGAAATGGGGCAAAGCCACTTTGGGACACTGTTTGGCAGTTGCCCGCAATGTTGAACATACATACAGCATACAAGCCAACAGTTCCCTTTCTAGAAATTTACCCAAGAGGAACAAAAACATATGTCCACACAAAGGCTTCCAGCAACTTTATTCACAGTATTAAAAGCTGCAAACAGCCATGGTGTCCATCGACAAGAAGATGGATAAGCACACTGTTGTCTATCCTGAGGAATACTGCTGAGTGATTAAAAGAACAGACTACTGCTCCCTGCAAAAACATATGTGAATCTGAAAACATTCTGCTGAGCAAAAGAAGTCAAGTACAAAAGAGTACACATTAATAATTTCATTTATGTGAGGCTGTCAGCATGTCTGCTTTTTACTGATGCAGAGCCAAGGGGAGTCTGGGGCCAGAGAGAATGGGTGATAGAAATGTTCTGTGTATGAATATGATAATGGTTTTGCTGGTAGATATATGTGTAAAAACTCATCAAACTATGTGCTTAAAATGAGTGCATCGTGTATGTAAATTATACAATGAAAATTGAGTTATTAAATAACATTCAATAAGGCAGAAACCATGAAGCTGGCAGAGGAATGCCCGAAGCGTAGGACACAGCCCCCAGGTGCATGTTAGAGAGGGATCAGCGCCCTAAAAGAAGTGCAGGTGAAATGCTCTAAAACTTAAGAGGGAGGAAAAATTCCTTCCAATGGCAAGATGAGACAGTGTTGGTGCTCCATCCAATAAGTGACATTTCTGCTGAGCCTCTGAGAAAAAGTAGAATGCGTATGGGGCCAGAATGAATATGTAAGTGACAGTGGGTTGAAATTAATATCAAAGGCCTGAGATGTGGGAAGGGAAGAGTCCCTAAAAAGCCACATGCATCCTGAGGTGGGACGACCCCACCACTCTGGCTCTTGTGACATCCTAAGACCTGTCCCGTCCGTGAGACCTGGACATAAGGGCTTCGGTAGCAGCTGGCGCCATCCTTTATTGTGCCCCAGAGAACTCGAGTGGCAGTAGAGCAAAGTGGCAGGGCCAGGACCAGGGTGGAGCGCAGAGGCCCCAGAGCAAGCATGTAGGAGGCGGGTCATGCACAGGCTGAGCTGCACCTGCAGGGCCAGAAAGCAAGTGCCTCACATTCCTCACCCTAGTCCTGGCCCTGCTTTCTGGCTCTCTGGGAGCAGGATCTCGGCACACATTCATTCATATCCATGCCTGAGTGCCTGCTTTGTCTCAGGCACTGTATTATGACAGGGTAGATACAGTGTCTTCAGCAAGCTCACAGTCTAGCAGAGACGGGAGATAGGAGTGTGAGAGGGGAACCCTGGCGGCTGTGGGTACTCAGAGAAGAGACACTGGACCCAGACTGTGAGGGTGTGGTCAGCAAACTTTTGGGAGAAAATAAAAGCTCAATTAAGATTTGAACATGGGAGGGTGTACAGCAGTCCCTTCTAGACCTGTCTGGTCTAGAATTTGGCACGTGGCCTTAGAAACCAAGAGCCCCCCTAGGCACTGACTTGCAACACCTGTGTCTTCCCCATGTGTCTGTAGATTTGTAACGTGGCTGCGGAAGCCCGACAGTGCCCTCCTGTCCCAGCGAGAGTCCATCCTGGGGACCTCAGCCTCCGCCAGCTCAGGAGCAGTCTCAGCAATACAGTCCCCTGAGATTGCTCTAAGTGGTTTTGTTAATTAAGTGCAAAGCCTTAATGGACTTTTTCTTAAATGGCATTCTTCTCTCTGCACTGACTTACATTCTCAAACTCATCCCTTATTTATTCATCCAACCACTCACCAGTCAACAATTTAATGAGAGTCTTCTCTGTATTAGGCCCTGGACTAGGCGTCTGGGATATGGAGTTGAAAGTCATCAGGGACTGAGCCTTTCCTACCATGTTGCCCTCTCCACCTTCTCAAGGTCTATAGCCAGGGTCAGGTCAAGGATAGCCAGCAGAAGAGGATATGACTATTGGTCAGACATTATATCCTCACAATAAAATGCTCCAGTAAATGATGTGACTTAACATTGAACATCGGAGACATGTCCAAATTGTCTGAAGAATTGCCAGAGCTTCTCAGAACTTTTATAAGTTGGACATGGGTTTGATAGGCCAGGAAAGATGGGTTGGGCTACAGAGAATTGCTCAGTGTGATGCCCTGGACTACTTGTCTGGGGGGCAGGAGGGAAGAGCACTGACCAGCTGACCTCTTGAGAGGCGTCCTGTGAGTGAGAGCCCTGCCTGTTCTGTGGGGCACAGGAGTGGAGGGAAGAAGACAGGGTCGTTGTGTTGGAGACTGTGCCGTGACAGCTGACAAATGAGTGATTCTCTGTACTTCATTGAACTCCCCAGGATTGTCCCTGTGGATGAAGATTTTGGGTCTAAAGGAAGAGGACACAAAAAAGCAGAAGAGCCTGACCTGCACATCTCAGATGTATGTTTGTTTGTTTGTTTGTTTGTTTGTTTGTTTTTGCCTGGGGTGGGTTGACAAGTTGAGGGTCCTTTCCATAAAACAGAGGCAGAGGCAGACCTGGGAGTGGAGTAGCAAGGGCAATGCTGGGACTTGGCTGTGATGAGGCTTTGAAACTTCACCCGGGTCACGTCACAACCAAACACCCACTGAGCCAGCACCTCAGGGAGACCCCAGACGCCTCAGCAAATAGATTTTCTCTTTAGTGGAAAAACTAGTTACCTCTAAACCTTAGAAATCTCGTGCTCTCCCCAGCCCCTAGAGAGAGGTTACAAAAGGAGAAATATTTTCCTCAATGATTTCACAGTAAAAACAAAGAGGAAATCAAGAATGTACAAATTCATACCCTTAAATTCTCCTGGAATGATGGCTTGAGCAGATCATTGGAGATGCATGATTTGCTTACAAAGATGTCTGTTACAACACTTAGACATAGCAAAAAAAAAAGGAAAAATAAATGTCCATGAGGACAGATTATCTGCAGTAGCAAAGCGGGGGCGAGCAAACAGTGTTCCCCTTTGTAGACAGGAGTATGAGCTGGCACAGCCTCTGTAATGTACAATTTGGCAGCTGTATCAGAACTTAAAATGCACACTTCCTCTGCTGGGACGTCATTCTACAGGTGTGCATTTACATTTACATCAAGTCATGTAACTATGCTTGCACACTGCAGCTTTGTTGGTAAAAGCAAGAAAAATTGGAAACTCCACCAACAGGACACCAGCTGAATAAACGAAGTTACATCTGCACAAGACCTGCACTGTGCACTTCTTCTGCAGAGAATGAGAAAGTTCTTTACATGCTGACTTAGAGCAATCTCTGATACATTGAGTAAAAAAATACTACATGTTCTATTTTTTTAAGAACTTTAAATGATGCTTGTGAAGAATATTTAGTCACAAGGGAAAGCAGTTCATGTTACGATGTCGACTGGAAAATCAGAATATAAATGCATATACATATATGTGTACACATGTATCCATATATCTACAGTATAATCTCATGGTTGGTTTGTTTTCTCCAGTTGAATCTTTCTGTGCTTTCTAAATTTTTTAGAATGAGTATGTGTGGGTATAGAAAACACTTGTCTTTGAAATGTTAATTTTTTCTTTTTTTTCTGTTTTCAAAAATGTCATAGAATACTCAAGAATACAGAAACATGAAAGCAAAAATCCTCAAAATCCTACCATTTATAGAATAATAATGCTGAAATCTTCGCCAAAAACCCCCACTCTGAATTAACTTGCACATGCTCCCACCCTTGAGTGTGGTATGAGCGAAACTGCTTCCTCACTCAGCAATCTGTCAGGCACCTCACTTCTAGTCCCTGAGTGCACGTGGCCTCGTCCTCCGTGGGCAGAGCACCACAAGAACCTCATTTAAAGTGATCCCTAACTGAGAGGCGTTTAGTTGGTTTCCAAAATGTTGCTGTTATAAATAACACTACAGTAAACATTCTTGTACACGCACATTGGCCAATTGCCCAGTTATCTCCATGGGAAAAAACGTAGTACAGGCGTACCCCCGAGACGCGGCAGTTTATTTGCAGACGACCACAGTAAAGTAGATACTGCCATGGAGTGAGTCACCCGAATTTTTTGGTCTTCCCAGAAGACTTGTGTTTCCACTATCCTGTAGTCTACTTAGTGTGCAATAGTGTATGTGTCAACAACAATGTACATACCTTAATTTAAAAAAAGCTTTATTGCTAAAAAAGTGTTGACTTCTCTGAGCCTTCAGGGAATCATGATCTTTTTGTTGGTGGAGGGTCTTACCTTCCATTTGTGGGGAAAAAAAAAGAAGCAAGCAATATCTATAAAGCATAGTGAAGCAAAGCACAATAAACAAGGTGTGCCTGATTTTTAAAATATGTACAACATAGTTCATTCTTCTTTCAGTGATGGGGAGGAGCACGTTGGTGACCCCATTGTAAATGCTTGCTAGCTTTTCCTCACACCTCTGGTTTCAATGGATTTAAAGGGAACTCTGCTGACACAAGAAAGAATAAACCCAAACCAGAGCCCGGTGGAGTTTCTGGAATCCCTATTGATCTCTGAACAGGATGAAATGCTTCCCGTGACATAGAAGAAACAGCATCCCCTGGGCCCTAAAGCCATCTGGTACTAACTCTTCTTACTGAGCACCTGCCCCCAGTTAGAAATTTAAATCTTTCACTGCGACTGCCATGGCTATGGTATACTTTCAGGGCCAGTCCCCACAAATGGAATCAAACAAGTTAAAGTCAGGAATTTATCTGGAAATCGACTGAACTTGAACTTACCTTTTGCAGGCCCTTCATTCCGACTGATGCCCTCATACAGAATGTCTTTCTCTGCAGGTGTTTGATATTTTGCCCCTCTATGGAGAGCTGCGGCCACACGGTAGCCACCAGGTGGCTTTCACCTTCTATGGACACTGTGACATCATTGCACAGGCTAAAGCTCTGTGCGAAGTGGAAGGAGGGCCCACCTATGAGATAATACTGAAGGGAGAGGCATCCGTGGTCAGCTATTCCTTTGACGCCAAGGACATTGACTACGGATTACAGGTACACCACCCACCGGCGGCTTTTCTGCTTTCACCTGAACCGTCAGCCATCGTCTCTGTGCTCTCATCTCTCCTGGAGTCCCTGATCACGGTAGTCCCACCAGCACCCCTGTCCTTGACCCCTCCTCTGCCTCTCTGACCCTGATCGTCCTCCCACTGCCAACTGTTTGCCCAGGGTCCTCACTTGCTTTCCTCACTGCCTCCCAAAATGCAGCATGTTAGATGACACAATTTGCCTCTTTCCCTCTCAGCCCAGAAGCCCATTCCGACCTCTCTGTTTCTCTCAGTAACACGACTACCTTCTCAGTCCCTTCAACGTACCATCTCCACGGCATTTCCCCCTCCACTCTCCCCTTCACCTCCCCGTATCCGTACAGCCCCCACGGTTTGCTGATTGATCCATCAGAACTCCTCCGAGTTGGTTTTCCCTTCCCATCGCCACTGTGGTTATCACACTGCAGGGTCTCACCAAGTCACGCCTAAATTACTACAGTTTTTCACAACTGATGTGCATGTGAACTACCTGGGAATCTTGTTCACGTGCAGTTTCTAACCCTGTAGATCCAGGGTGGAGCCTGAGAGTCTACATTTCTAACAAACTCCTAAGCGATGCCTATGCTGCTGGTCCACAGACCCCATGGAAGCAAGGGATTAACGATGCATTCTTAGCTCCTACTGCTAACCCATCTTGACATCACTGCCAGATACATTTTTCCCAAATTGCATTTTTATCCCAGCAGTCACTGAACAGTTAACCCGGTAGCATCTGGGAAGGCCACATGTCAAATAGCACTGAGAAAAGAATATGGTTTTGTAGCAGAAGAACTGGGATGTTATCCCGGTTTTACGTCCCACTGACTGTGCCACCTTGGGCTCTTCGCCTGACCTCTCCAAGCCTCAGTATCCATTGTCTGCAGAATGGGAACGGGGTAGCAGTGCCTGTCTCACCAGGTGGTTGTGGTTACTTAAGGGACTGGGCAGTACTGTGCCTGGGACAGAGAAGGCCTTCGATCCGGAGTCCCTTTCTCTGTCTCCTGTCGGATCACAGCCGGGTACCTCCACCTCGGAGAGGGCATCCTAAGCCCCTCTATTAACTGATGCTCCTTACATGAAACTTTGTTTTGCATAATTCCCCATAATAGCTCATTCATTCATTTGTGGCCAAGCTGTTTTACCCCTTGGCCCTAATGCACCCCAGCCCTTCCTGCCTGCAGGAAATTATTCCCCTTGTCCTACCAACCCAAGCCTACACGTATGGTAAGACCCAGCTCGGCTCTGTCCCTCACTTGTCTTTCTCCTACTTTATATTTGCTTGGCACTTAAGTATAGTCTTTGCCGTAATATAAGGTACCTTCTAATTTTTGCTTTGGAATAATTGCTAGTTAACTCTATGTCTTTACATCTTCTCTTCCCAATTAGATTTTGTGTCATGTACTCAGAGACCATATTTCCTATCAACTTATAATGAGAATTAGATTTCATAATATAGCTACTACAGCTATAATTATGGAATTGTGTGTGTGTGTGTGTGTGTGTGTGTGTGTATCTATAGGTTAGAGATAGTGGCTAAAGTCAAATTCACCCAACATCTATTGAAACCTTTTTTATTGCCCTGACCAAATAGAATTCTCTTTCATTCATTATCTCCAGGGTCCTCTGGGCAGTTGGTTCTGGATCAGCTCAGGGAGTACTTTTTAAACCAGCTGGTCCTTGCCCTAGCTTGTCCTAAAAGCTCTAAAGTGGCCTTAGTTTGTGGTTATTGGACCTGCTGGTTAGTTACTGAATTGCATGAGCAAAATCTCATAAAAAGACATGTCTGGCCTATTATTTCCATGTCTTCGCCATGTAAATAGAAAAACTCACTCTAGAAAATTCTGAACTCAAATCTCAGGTTTTTTTAATTTAAAAAAAAAAAAAGCAAATCTTCCTGGTGTGAAAAAGGTAAGTAATCCTCTAATATGAGTTCTTTGTGGTGAAGAAACTGAAGTCCAGGAGGGGAGATGCTCACCACACAGCCACCCTGAACACGTGAATTGTTAGAAGAACTAAGACCGAGCCAGGTGTCCAGAGTCTGTTGCCCCTCCAGCCCCAGCCAGCACCTTTTTGCATACTACAATGAGGATAGGTGCATCTACATCCTGAAACACCCAGCCATCCCTGGGAGGCATGTTTGTCTAGCTGCCCTGGTTGGGATGATGGCAGCATCCCCCAGGGTGGTGACAGAGGAACCACTGGTTTCCTTCTTCTCCTCAAGCTGTTTGACCACGTCACAGAGAATGAAATCACAGTGAAGAACACCGGGAAAGTCGGCTTCCAGTTCAAGGTGCTGACTGATCACCAGTCTTCGCGAGACAACCTTATGCCCGGCGTGCCGCTGACCCTGCCGCTCTCAGTAAGTAGCCCCCCCGCCCGTGAGGGCCACGAGATGATGGGCAAGGAGCCCAGACTCACACCTACAAGCCACATCCCGCAGACACGTCACAGCGCACTAAACATCCTCTGCCAGGATTATGGGTGTGACTTGGGGGGTGGGTTGTGATAGCTTTAAAGTTAAAACTAAAGAGCTCTCAGCAGCAAAAAAAAACTAAATAAATCCAAGCACTTAGTAACTCATTTATTAAACATTTACTGTGCCCCGCATTTGCCAGGCACTGTCCAGGCACCCTAGTGGAAAAGGCAATACCACCATGTGGATTTTCTCCGTGGTTAGAAGACAGTTTATCTCCACCTGTGTCCTCACACTGCCTCTGTGACTCCTTGAAGCCGAGAGCCCCTGTCCACTGACCACAACAAACAAGAGCAGTTTCCCATTAGCAGGTGTGAAAACGCCAGGAGACGGCAGTGAGCCAATTGGTTTTAAAAGCAAATAGAGGAAGTAGGTTCTCATACATGGTGTATTAATCTATCAGTTTTAAGGAACTTTTGATGAATTTTTCTCACTGTGAAAATATTTTTTTCATCACGAACATACATCTGGAAGGAGGGATGTGAGGGGAACCGCCCAGCACGATAGGCCCTTGGGGTTGTCTGGCCCACCAAAGTGCCAAAGCAGGAGTCTGTCATCAGTTTTAGAGTTCTCTCTGGTCTTCCTGCTGCGTAGGGTTTCGTCGGTTCACTTCAAGAGCAGGTGTTGAAGGTTTACTACTTGCCTGGAGTACCTGGGGTCTTTCAAAGAAGTTTCCAGATACAGATCGCCCACCTGGACCCAGAAAAGATCACACTGAGTGGAGAGGGAATCTTTCCCCGAATCTGCCTCGACCTCCCCAGAAACCTCAAAGGTAACACTACCCACTACCGTATCTCCCCACAGCGGACAGAAGAAGCATCTTAGCTTTCCTCGTTTGAAGGTTGACAGCTCCTCGCATTATCTGCCTGTCAGTCCTTACTAGTTTCCCTTCGGTATTACTCCTCAATCACAAAATTGACTGGTGAGCTGAGTTTGGTGGGACAGGACCTGGCCACGGCAGTCCCAGATCAAGGCCCCGACCAATTTTGCCGTCACAGACTCACTCACAGAGGCGTCAGGAAATGGCACTTCCAAAGGCCTTTTTTCCAGCACACGTTCCTCCCAGCTGTAGCCTCCCCCCGAGTTGTCCTTCCCGCCGGCACACTCCCAGATGCACCTCGAGGACGTGAGGGCTGACTCTGCTGCAGGGAGTGCTGCTCTCAGGATGTAAACTGTGCTGAAGGGCAGCCAGGTTCCAACCCCATATTGACTTAACCCGTTCGGAGGCTAATTCTCACTGTCGTCATCTACCCGCACAGCCAGCCAGGGCTTTCCTGGTGGCATCTGGCCTCCAGAGCTATTCCTCTGCGCAGAATATTTCTGTCTTGGCAGAGCCCAAAGCTCGGCTGAGTAGCGCTTCGAGCCACAGGCTCTCTGTGGTTCTTTCTTGCTGGATCAAAGGTCAGAGAAACTTCTCACTCTTCTTCGTAAATCACTCTTCAAGCTCCTTGAAATCTATACTCCCTAAACAGCTTCCGACTAAACCCTCATACCTCAGCCTTTCCTCCCGCCCCATTCCCCCAAATCACTGTCTCACTGGTTGATAACCATCTATTAAATCCTAATTGTTGGCTCCCTGAAATATGAACACAAACACTAATACATCCTAAGACCCTGTCACACCTTGGCCTCTCAACAGACAGAAGTTAGTCCAGCCCCACAGATAATGGTCAGGGAGGAAGGCCTTTGCCACACAGTGGAAAACTAGCTGACTCTTACAGCCCTGCACCGACACGGGCTGGTCGGTGCAGGGCTGTTACATAACTGAAGTCTGAATACCGCTGGTGGGGCCTTCTTGCTCCAGTTCCCCGCAGTCCAGGGCTTCCTGGTGCCCCCTAAAGGCACGGGGATCATGGCACTGTGCCCGCCTTGCCCCTCAAGTATGTGAATTTGCACCGCTTTGGTGGACTTGGGTGTCTGAAATCTCTCCACTGATTTCCTACCCTCCCTGATTTGGGGGGTTGTAGCTTATTTAGTTGTCATTGAAGCAACTTGACCTGAATATATTCTTTTTTTTTCATGGAGAGTTAATAAACATAAAGACTAATTGAAAGGGTGACCAGCCATCTGGGTATGTCAGTGCCAGAACTCGGAAAGTCCCAAGTGAGCTGGGATCTAGTTGGGTCACCCTAAGAGTGATTTAGGGTGTTACTGCCATCAGCTTCCCGAGAACCAGCCGGTAACTCACTAAAGCATAATCTCATGAAACGCAGTGAGGTCTCTGATACAAATTCATCCCACTCACAAATTACTTCATCTTCTAAGGCAGAGAACACATGGCAAGGGAGATACCAGAAAGTTCCCTCCCCTTCTCACTTTATTTACTCTGAGCTAGGAGTCTGTGTTTGGGGCATAATTCATATATTTCTAACGATCCTGATGTTCTTTTCCTTCCAACCCCCACAGGAAATGAAAAATATGAAACCTTCTTGAATAAGGCCAGAAAAAAACTAGAAAAAGAGTTCCACAAATATGAAACATTGAATCACTTAGAGACAACTGAGGAAATACCTGAGGATGAATCTTCCGAGGTAACAGTAGCCTCACTTTGCGCGGAATGTATGTGGTAGAAGGATGGTATGTGCAAAGGCCCTGGGGTGAGCACATGGCGTCTCTGAGAAATGGAAAAGAGAAAAAGGTGTGGTGTAGCTAAAGCAAAGAAGTGGGGCGGCGGGGCGAGTAGGGGAACCAAGATGAGCCTGAAGAGGTGAGCAGCCCTAGTGAACCTATTAAGGGTTTTGAACTTTAGTCTGAGGGCAACACGTAGTCACTAAGTGTTTCAACTGAGGCCTCATTTTGTGTCTTTTATTTCAAAAGCTGATAGAGTAATTCCAGATGAGAGACGCTAGCAGTGTCAGTGAAGGTGATAACCGAGAAAGTAGGGAGAGCTGGGTGAATTCAGGAGATATTTTGGTGGTGGACTGATCAGGGTTTGCTTGGATGTGGGATGAGGGGAAGGTGGCTTCCGAGTGGTTTGCTTGGATGACAAAGTAAGAAGGGAGCACTCCGACGAGAAACTCGAGGCCAGAAGCAAGTTTCATGTGAAAGAGGCTGAAGGGAAGTGAGTCCAGATGGTCCATTATTGCACCTGAGGTTTCTGTGCATCATCCAAGTAGCAGCATCCAATGGGGAGCTGGAACCACTGCTGTGGACCTGGGGAGAGAGTGAGTTGGAGAAAGTGATTCGGGTCATCACACGGTCTTTGTAATCACAGGACTTGGTGCGCTTCCCGGGGAAGTGTACTGAGTGGACAGGGAACAGGGTAAATTCCGAGTGGAGACCTCAGGCACCCAGCAAGGAAGTGGGAGAGACGGACAGCCGAGGGTCCTGGAACGATCAGGAGTGTGTGGTGCCTCGCACAGCTTGCAAGCAAAGGTTGCCCCTGCGGTGGGAGAGGAAGGCAAAAACTTCCCTGAAGTTTCTCTCTGAACAGTCTATTCCTGAGCATGAAGGCTGCTGCCTCCCTGTGCTTTCCTTTTAAAATGCAAATGTACGTGACAATACTGTCCTAAGGAAGAATTACATATACAGCTAAGGGAGCTGTCAGACTGGTTATGAGGGGTGCTAAAAGGGGGAATAGCGGTGGCAGTGGGGAGACGGGGAGCCCCACAGGCCAGCAGTGATTACTTATGGTCCAGATACTGAAAGTGAACCTTAGCTCCAAGATAATCATAATTAGTAACAACAGCTACCATTTATTGAACTCTTATACTAGGCCTGTGCCATGCTACTGACCTGCATTATTATTTCATTAAATCCTCCCACAGTGGGGAGGGGGAGTAAGGTGCCACTATTATCTATTATCTTAACCTTATAGTTTTATAGCACTCACGGAAGTGAAGCACTTTTCCCAAGGTAAGCAGCGGAGCTAGAATTTGCATCCAGGCCTGTCCAACTCCCAACACCATGTTCTTCGCCTCTGCCTTCGCCTCTGGGGTCCAGCCGGACCCCCAGCCGTCCACGAGGGGCAGCAGTGCATCTCCTCTACCTGCTCACTGCCTTCCCAGGCGGCTCCTCATCAGCCCCTTAGCACAGCCGTGTCTGGCAGTCCCTGCAGACCTGGGGTAATGGCAGGAGAATGCAATGGCAGGAGCAGAGTGAGCCAGTCCTCCTGCATAAGGCAGCGGCCACCTGACCACTCAGTGGCTCAGGAGCCAAGCACAGGGTTGGCTTTGCTGTTCTAGAATCAAGACGACTGGGGCTGCCTGTGGATGAGGCAAGCACCTGTCCCACTTGGTCACAGCTCCCACCTCGCCTGTTGTCTCGTTGCAGACCACCCCGCGCATTAACCTTTCCCGCTCGGCCCTGGGCTGCAGGCTGGGACCTTCTCAGGCAGCATCTCCCAGCCTCTGTCACCCCCAGTCCCCCCAAGACATCTTTCATCTAATACCCCGTCAGATACACTTCCTGTGTGTACAGTAGATCTCTTCGAATAGTTTGATATCACATTTTTCAATTTGTATTTTGAGATAATTAGCATTCAGAGAAAGCTGTGAAAGTGTTTTCCTCGATGGCCCCGTCTTACATGACTAGGCTGCGGCGGTATCAAGGTCAGGACGCTGCCAGTGGCACAAGCTGCGGAGCTTCCCCAGAGTCCGTCAGCTTCCTGTGCACTGGCGTGTGGGTGTGCGTGGGGGGGCTTCCTGCGTGGATCTGTGTAACCACCACCACAATTAGGGCATAGAACTGTTCCAACACCACACGGATCCTGTGCTTGTTGGAGAAGTAGAATTAAAACAAAATCCCCTTCCAACCCAGAAAAATCTCTCCACCAAAGTAGAGGAGAAAGAAAAAAAATGTTATTATTAAATAATAATTAAACCGGAATGACAGCTGTGTCACAGGCAGTCCGCAAAGAGATTGCAGAGACAGAGAGAAGTGGCAGCCCTTTACGTATAGCCCAGCAGACGCGGCCCATGACATACGTGTTGTCAAATTAAACAGTAACTGACCCTGAAGAACCATAACTAGTCCTCAAATTAGAGGACTTGGCAGCGCCGCCTGTCACACACAGCTCATCCCAAACTCACTCGGTAACTGGGGTGGCCATCTGGGTTAGCTAATTGGCTGTATCCAAGGGAAACCAAACTTCTCCTGCTTTTGTGACAGGGCCCCCTGACGGCAGGCTCCCACCCTCCCACAGGCACAGGCGTAGGGGCAATGCCTTCCTTGGTGATTGCCTCAAGGGCCTGTCCCCAGGTCCTTGAGAGGGACACTGGGATTGTATAGCTGACAAGAGGCTTATGCAGCCTTTAAAAGGATTTACATGCATTTCAAAGAGAGAGAAAAAGAATTTACATAGGAGTTTTCTAAAGCAAATGCTCCAAGAAAAGGGAGTAAGGAGAAGTCTCTTCCCTTATTTTCAACAGGGAGAATTAAACCTCTTAATTTTAATTTGTATTTGCCCTGACAGGCTACTCCTGTATAGCCCCCTCCAACCCCCAATCTCCCCATCTCTTGCCCCTAGCAACCACGAATCTGTTCATTATCTCTACATTTTTGTCGTTTGGAGAATGTTACATAAATGGATTCATACAGTGTGTTTGAGACTGGCTCGTTTCTCTCATGTGATGCCCTCGAGAGCCATCGGTATCAATAGTTCATTCCTTTTCATTCCTGAGACTACTCCTGCTGTAAATGTGCCCGTTTGCTCACCGCCCCACCCCCATGAAACTATCAGCATCACAAACACACTGTCTGTCTGCTTCTGAACTGCGCCTCTTCGGAGGGTCACGAACTACTGTGATAGCTGAGATTCCCCTCCCAGAACCAGTTTTCTCCCCCTTAAGGGCGATATTGCCCACATGGAGAGTACCTGTTCCAGAAGATTTTGCTTACTTGCTCTTCTCTCTTGCTCCAGTTAAATGCTCAGCTCCAGATGGAAGTAGAGCGACTCCTAGTCCAAAACTACGCCATAGAACATCAGAAAACAGTTGTCCCTGACCCCTCGGATAATGTCAGCCACTGGAGTCGCCTCAGAATGACCAAGTGAGTGCCCTTCTATGTTGTGTCTGTCTCAGAGTGTAGTGGAGCAAGCACTGCGCCCACCAGAGTGCTCCCTGCACTGAGGGCTGATTGTCTAGGAATGCAGTCCACTTGCTTCGTGAGTCTGCTGTCCTTTGGCATCCTGCTCACCAGGCCTGTTGACATCAGACACCTCGGGCTTTGTCTGATGGTCGGGCTTGCTTTCAGGTTCACGGGGCCCCGTGCTGAAGGTGTTCTGAGATAATGGCCGGAACAGCGGTGCGGGCTTCTAGAGGAAGAAGTACCTTGTTCCTAGTCTCTATTTCAGGGCCCGTTACTTGTTCTCAGCTTCAGAGAATAGCACTGTGCACAGGAAATAGAAGAGAGCCTCACACTCTCTCAAATCTGGACGAGTGAGCGGTAAGGAGCGCTTGTTAACCATTCCAGAATCCAGCTGCCAGAGTACATCCTGGACTTCGGCCACATCATCCTTGGAGACGTCCGAACACACATCATCAAGATCACCAACACCAGTCAGATCCCAGTGTCCTTCCACGCAGAAAGGCGTGTCCTTCACGACACAGGTAACCAGGCCTGAGAGACCCTTTCCCACTGCACCTGGTCATTTCTGACAAAGCCAGCCATGCCGTCTTTCTGGAGTAGAGTGCGTGTTTCTTCTGGGACCAGCTGAAAGAATTGTTCGGCCGCTCACTGATTCTCTGGAGGGTTATCCTGCCCAAAAGGGGCTCCATCTAAAGCAACTCCTATTTGCTATTTCTCTTTCCCACAAAGAAATTTTGTTTGTCTTGGTCCAGGCTTTAGTACTGACTTAGACCGTGTAAAGAATCTGCCTTACTGCGAAACAGAAACATTTGAAGTAAGATTTGACCCACACGGGACCAACCTTTCCGTTGGCAACAAAGAGGTCGTTCTGCCCATCAAGGTAAGCCATGCTGCTGTGCCCAGCTGACCCTCTCCCAGCGTCTGGCTCTGCTGGTTGATCCCCCCAGCGTGATCCAGTTACTATTTCAGAGCCACACTTCTTCCCCCAGCCCTGTGCCACCTCCTAACAGCAGTTTCATGCCCACTCTAGGTGGTTGGGGGGCCAACAATTCACATCTGTCTGCAAGCCAAGGTGACCATTCCCACTATGACTCTGTCTTGTGAGAAAGTGGAGTTTGCCACGATCCAGTGTGGACACTGCCTTGTGGAAACTGTTCAGCTTTCCAATAATCTTCAAGTTCCTTGTGAATGGTTTGTCCACAGCCATAAGCTATGTAACAAGGTAGGTGAGTGTGGCCCATTGGTCCCCTTTTTTCCATCTCCATTTCAGCCATATTTGTAATCCTAGGCATCCACTCTCATCATTTTCCTCTCCTGCTCAGACGTTCATTGACAACCATTGCCACCTGAATAAAATCTAGTCCCTTAGCCCAGCATTTGAGGACCTATCAGGCCATGCTGTCTGGTGAACATCTTGTTCATCTTTGTTCCCCTGGTATCTACACGTTCCCTGACACTTGGGAGGTACTCAGTAAGTGTAGGTTGAATGAGTAGAGGAGGGAATAAGTCCATTTTCCATAGATAATGATCTGATTGTCTCATATTTATTAACCAGCTGGAGAAACACATGCCAAAGTACTTAAGACAGAAACTGTATGCTGAATTAAAGCCAAAGACACGGATCTTTGAGATCCAGCCTACTTCTGGGGTCTTGGATCCTGGTGAGAGATTCAACGTGCAAGTGAAATTCATGCCTAAAGAAGAGGTAAGCCGAAAAGAAGTGTGATTCCATTCGGACTCCCTGAATCTCTTTGAACTTTACAAAGCCCATCCTTCATTGGGTCTCCAGGGAAGCTTGGAGTGGCCTACGCCTCTGTATTCTGAGCACGACACCTCCAGTGGCTCCTGGTTCTCATCGGAGCTGTGTGGCCTGGTGGCGAAGGACACCACCAGCTCCGGAATCAGCCCACCTATGTAGCGGTCGTGTGGCTTTGAGCAAATTACTTAGCCCTGCTCAACTTCACTTTGTTCGTAGATAAAACAAAAAATAATAATATTATATGTCAAAAAATCCTCATTGCAATTCTGAAATCCAATAAGCTCCAAAAACTGCAAATAAATTTCAGACCCAAACTCATTTGGCAGAGAAACTTCATCTGAACCGAAACGAGATCATTTAACCTTTCATTACCCCACTTAGCTTGTAGAGTAGGACACTGCATCTACAGAACTGTTATATATGTGATTCCAGGGGGTCTGCCCAGACCCTGCTGAGGCTGTTAGGTAACGTAGGGCATTTGTGCTCTGTTTACCTGTTAAAAAATCTGAATTTGAACACATCTGGCCCCCAGAGTTCCAGGTTAAGATGTTATCAACTGCAGCAGCTACCTCCAGGGTCATGTTGAAGATTAGCTGAATTAATGTGAATAAAATGCACAGCATACTGCTCTATATGTAGTAAGTATCTCAGTAATTATTAGCTGTTATCATTAGTAGTTTTGATAATGATAATTACTTCCTGGAAGACATACTCCCCGGGCCTCACAAACATTTCTTTTGTGACTACATCAGCACAAAGCTACTTTTGACAAAAAAAAACATAGTAGAAGTAATAAAAACTTAGAACCAGAGAGGATCTCAAAAGATTACACTTAAATAGACTTTTGCTCAAAGCTTAAGGCATTTAGGAGACTTTTTTCTTTAATCTTTTAAAAGAAAAAAGATGCAAGTTTTTAGATTACCTATGATTTTGCTGGTAATGGCTTTGAGGAAATGCTTAAGAATCTACAGTGAGAAGGAAGAAAAGCGAATGACTTCATTATTGATTCTAAAATAAACTCTCTGACCCTGGCTGGTGTAGCTCAGTGGATTGAGCACAGGCTGCAAACCAAAGGGTCGCCAGTTCGATTCCTAGTCAGGGCACATGCCTGGGTTGCTGGCCAGATCCCCAGTACAGGGTGCTCTAAAGGCAACCACACACTGATCTTTCTCTCCCTCTCTTTGTCCTTCTTTTCCCATCTGTCTAAAAGTGATTAAATAAAATCTTTAAAAAAATAAATAAAATAAAATAAAATAAACTCTCTGGTTCTATTATCATAAAAACATCCCCAACCTTTTTTGGAATAAACTATAGATAGAAATGACCCCTGAAGATATAGTCTTCCTTTTAAAAGAAAATAGAATTACTATGTTTTTCATTTTTAGAGAATCTTAAAGACATTTCATCATGACTTTGGGTGTTTTACTGAATGAGGGACATATCAGTAAATATAGTTTTTTAAAAATCTATTTGTTCAGGCAGTTTCATAAAGGCTGAGTTGGAATTGGTCAAAGTTTAAAAAAAGCTTCCACCAACTTCGAGAGGAGTTTGTTGGCTCTACACGAGGAACTGGTTAGCCCTGCAGCCCATACAGTCCATGCCTGTATCTCCATCAGTGGCAGAGAAATCACCAATGTCCACTCACACAGCTCCTAGACATTGTAACCTATGTTTGAAATACTCCGTGTTAGAAAACAAGGAAATGAATAAAATGTTCTAGCAAGATTTCCATAAAAAGCAATTAAAATGTAGAAGTTTGGATCATAAGGTACTGCTTCCAGCAGTAGGTATTTTTATGTACGTATGCATCCATCTGATTTCCCCCCTTGAGCCAAGACAGTTAGGAGCTCCTCAAATCATGCAGCCAATCACGGCCTTCCAGCCCAAGCCAGGAGCCCAACTGTATCAGAACAACGAGGAACCTGGTTAAAAATGAAGAGTCCCCAGCCTTACCCTGCCCTTATCAAGTCAGGATCTCTAGGGATGGCACCTAGGAACCCGCCTCTTTAAATAGGTTCTCCAGTGAAACCAGAGTAGAGTAATTGCCAGCACCAGCTACCAGACTTGGGTCATAACTGTATCAGATGAAGTAAATACTGGAATGGATTATATGGGACTTAACTGTTTCTTAAAAAAATTGAAATATGTTCATTCAGATTCTCCAAGAAACAAGCCTGGGGAAATTTTTGAATGCAAATAGATTGTTAGAGAAATGCATGGAATACTGATATAAACATAGAAAGAAGATGATAAGGGAAAAGAAGGAAGCTAATAGGGTGTATGAGTGAGCCAGCTCCCCTGGAGACTGGAGCTTAATCCCACTGGAAACTCTTAGAAAATACACAAAATGCATGCTTCAGAATTACCCCTCCCCAGGAGGGAGGGAGCTGGGGTCTTCATACAGTAACGACCCAGAGTCATTGACTGAGGACCAACCACTACCAGCAGATGTTACTTCTCAGGCACTCTGCCCTGCCCTGCCCATGGGGCAGGGCCCATGAAATGAGAGCCCAGGGGTGCAGGCCCAGAGGTACGAATAGTGGTAGTGGGACGTTCCCGTACACTGGAGGCCTGAGGGATACGAGCAAGGCTCTTGAAGGGCCTTGTACAAGTGACAAAGCATCAGTACAGTGCCCAGCATGCTCTAATAGATAAGCGGTATTGATGCTGTAACAGAAATTGCTCTCATGCAATTTTATAAGAAAATGTTTCTCTCTTAGCCTAAATGGGATCAATCATCCCACCCTGGCAGTAGCTTTCACTTTTACCTGGTGTGTAACAGAAAAATATTCAGATGCTTGTTTTGTTTTTATGTTTTCCAGAGATTCTACAGCCAAACCCAGACGTTCCAGATTGCGCGTGGTACTCAGAAGCTTACACTGCTGACACAGGGGCAAGGTTTGGAGCCACGCTTGGAATTCAGTCCTTCCGTTCTGGAGCTGGGGCCACTGCTGCCCTACGCACCCGGGGACGAGGCCGAGGTGGTGGTGAAGAACCCCTGTGACTTTCCCATTGAGTTTTACTCCTTGGAATTTGACCAGCAGTATCTCATCGAAGAGAAGGTGAGCAGGGGCCACAGCCAGGCCCCACGTGGCGTGCACTCGTGCTCTTCTCCGCCAGGACAGCTGCCCCCTGACCTCTGCACCCCCTACCCTTTGAACCCTGCCTTGTCCATTCAGAGATCACTTTATAGCCTTTTCCAGCCCACTTCCCTTGCCCTGAGAAGAATCCATTGCCTCTTTTGTGATCTCATTATATATTTCAACCAACCAATTGAAAAATTAATGCATGCTAATGATTAAAATTTAAACAATGAGGGATGTACACAGCAGTCATTACATTTGAAGTCAATTTTTTGTAGACAGCATATAATTGAGTCTTTTAAAAAATATATTTAATTTATTTATTTTTAGAGAGAGGAAGGGAGGGAGAAAGGGAGAGAAACATTGATGTGCGAGAGAAACATCAGTGGGTTGTCTCTCACATGTCCACAACCAGGAACCAAACCTGCAACCCAGGCACGTGCCCTGACTGGCAATTGAACCAGTGACATTTCACTTTGTGGGACAATGCCCACCCCACTGAGCCACGCCAGCCAGGGCTAACTGCGTCTTTTTTAAAATACACTCTGGCAGTCTCTGTCTTTAATTGGTATATTTAGGCCATTTACATTTAATGCAATTATATTAGGGCTTAAATTTGCCTTTCTTTTTTTTCTATTTGTTCTGGGCTGTATATTTTCCAGTTGCTCCTTCATGTTTATTTTTTTAACTTCATATTTTAGAGTGGTTTTAGGCTCACAGCACACCTGAGGGGATGGTACTGAGACTGGGGTATACCCCCTGTTCCCATACGTCAGAGCCTCCCTCGTTAGCAGTGTCCCTTTCTAGAACAGTGCATTCGCTACAACTGATGAACCTACACTGACACATCATAGAGTTCACTGTCGATGTTACATGTTCCATGGATCTGGACAAATGTATGACATGTACCCCTCACTACAGCACCATACAGGGTACTTTCACTGCCCTAAAAATCCTCTGGACTCAGCTTATTAATCCCCTCCTCCTCCCAACACCTAGTAACCACTGATTTTTTACTGTCTCCATAACTGGGTCTTTTCCAAGATGTCATATAATCATAAGCATATAGTATGTAGCCTTTTCAGATTGGCTTTTTTCACTTACTAATTGGCATTTACATTTCTTTTATGTCAGTTTGTGACTTCGTAGCTAATTTCTTTTGAGCCCTGAATAATATCCCATTGTCTGGCAATACCACAATTTATTTATCCATTCCCCTACTGAAGAGCATCTTGGTTACTTCCAAATTTTGGCAAATTATGAGTAAAGCTGCTATAAACACCCATGCACAGGGTTTTGTGTGGACATAAGTTTTTGACTTCTTTGGTAAACACCAAGGGGCTTGATTGCTGGATTGTATGGTAAGAGTATGTTTAGTTTTGTAAGAAGGCACCAGCCTATCTTCCAGAGTCGTCATCCCATTCGCATTCCCATCAGCAGTAACTGAGAGTTCCTGTCGCTCCTCATCCCCATCAGCATTTGATGCTGTCAGTGTTTTGGATTTTAGCCGTTCTGATAGATGTGTAGTAGTATCCCGTTGTTTGTTAATGTGCATTTCACTGATGACATTAGATGTGGAGCATCTGTCCATGTGCTTGTTTGCCACCTGTATATTTTTTTGGTGAGGTGTCTATTAATGTCTTTGGCCTACTTTTTAATCAGGTTTTTTGTTCTCTTATTGTTGAATTTTAAGAGGTTTTTATTTTTTTAGATATTTTGAATGATAGTCCTTTGTCAGATGTGTCTTTTGCAAATGTTTTCTCCCCGTCTGTGGTTTGTCTTCTCATTCTCTTAATCATGTCTCTCCATCAACCAGCCTTTGAAATATTCCTTCCTTTCCACACTGACCTCTGCTCTGTATCCAGTCTTCATGTGTAAACGGGCTGGTCCTGAGCTCTCGTCTATCTCATGGGTCGGTTTCCCTGTCCCGACGTCAGTGCCACCCTCTTTATCACTCCTGCCTTGCAAGCCCTGGTGTCTGATGGGGCAGTCCTCTGCTTTATTCTTCCTCTTCAGTGTTTTAACTATGCTTAGCTCTTTGTTCTTCCATATATATTAGAATGACCTTATTAAGAGGGGTTTTTAAACAACTGAAAATGGCGATCCTAGAGAAGGGTTGTCTAACAAAACAGATTTTCATGTCAGTGGAGCCCGGTATCCCTACCAGCACCGACCAGCTGCAATAAAGAGGGTCATATCAGACTTTTTGTACAGTGTTTTATAAATATACATACATACTAGGGTTGCTACATTTAGTAGAAAGAAAAACAGTTCACCTAGTTAAATTTGAATTTCAGATAAGCAACATTGGACATATTTATACTAAAAAATTATTCATTACTTGTCTGGAACACGGATTTAACTGGGCATCTCATATTTCACCTGACAGCCCTATTGCACATTTTATTCTACCTCTCCTCTCCTCTCTCTCTCTCTCTCATACACAGGCACACATACTTAATACCATTTCACTAACCACCATATTTTATAAGAATGTGTCACTCAGAGTAGACAATGTAGTTATGTATTTTTGTCTTTGGAAAACAAACCAAAAAATTACTGTAAGTAATTTTTGAAACAAGCAGAAATTTCTTTTCCACATGTTAACCACCCCGGCTCAAATGGAGCAAAATAAAGATCCCGTCACCCCAGGCTCAGGGCTCAGCCTTTCCTTTAGACCCTCCAGTGGACCTGCCCTTTGCGCACACCCAGCCTCAGACAGGCGCAGGGGCTCTGCACGAGGAATGAGCAGACCCCCTGAGGGCTGTGGGGAGGAGCAGAGGCTTCCAGCGAGCCCAACAGCAGTTCCTGTTCTCCTCGAGCAGATCTTGCGGACGCTGAAGGGCTATGATTCCTACAACACCCTGCTGCTGCCACCCCGCATCCCTGGGGAGAAGCTGCCCACAGAAATGTACGAGTACTTCAATGAGATGAAGCAGTCAAAAGAGGAGCAGCTGAAGGTGAAATACCTGGAGGCTCTGGTGCAGGATAATGGTGAGAACTCATCTTAGGGACCTGGCTCCTGCCTCTGCCCTGGCTTCTTTGAACTGTCTCTGGTGCCAGGCAGGTGCAAGGTGCCTTATGCATTTTATTTCTAACTCTTACAAAATGCCCCTGTTGTCCCCATTGCATGGATGCACAGAGAGGGACGCATTCTGCTCTCACTGGGATCTAGTGGGGAGTTAAGACAGCAACTGCTAATATAGATCTAGGACACTGGCTAGATACCAAGCCCTGTGCCCAAGGGTCTCACAGGTGTAGATGAGAAACTGAAGCACTGGCAGACAAGGTCCATGGTTTAAGTGGCAGAATCAGGATTCAAGCCCCGGTCTCGCTGACTCCAGAGTCCATGGCAGTAACCGCTCAGCTCCACGGCTTCCGTGTGTGTGTCTGGGTAATGTAAGGGAACACATCACATAGAGTAGAAATCAGTGTTCTCAGAGAGGTGGGAGTTCACATGAGGAAGAGGTCAGCCCTCCATGGTCCTCAAGCCAAACTCCAATCTCAAAGCTGGACTGTGCACTCCTAATCTGACCCTTTCTGGCCAGCCGAGTGGTCCCATCATCACCCAGGGTCTCCCTTGTGTGTACTTGAGCATCAGCATTCCTGGAGACCTGTAGGATCCTGTGACTTGTCATGATGCATTTCTGCCTGCTTTTCCGTGCCCTCTTCCTGGACACGTACCTCCCTGCTCTTCCTCGCTCCCTTCTTCTGTGTAACAGTCATCACATGTGTGATTGTTTTCTTCTTGCTCTCTTCTGTATAACAGTCATCATGAGTATAATTATTTTCTTCATACCTATCTCCACCCCCAGACAAGAAGCCTCCATAAAGGCAGTGGTCAATTGCCTGGAGACGTACCTGATAGGTCCTAGTGCCCAATAAATATGAATGAATGAGTTGAATGGAGCCCCTTTCTCCTGCCCTTGGGCCTGTCTTGTCTCTCCAGGAAGCTAGTCAGAGAACAACACTAGTTTGCCCTAAAAGGAGAAGATGAGAGATGAAGGCTGCCTCCTCCACCCAGTCTCTGGGTCACATTTACTGAGCATTATTAGTTTGCTAGAACTGCTATCACACTGGGTTGCTTAACCAACAGAAATTTATTTTCTCACCATTCTGGAGATTAGAAGTCCAAGATCACGATGCCAGCAGGGTCGTGTTCTTCTGTACCTCCCTCTAAGGCTGCCTTCGCCCAGTGTTCACATGGTCTCCCCTCTCTGAGTGTCTGTGTCCTAACCTCTTCTTATACGAACACCAGTCATACTGGATTATGAATGGATTAGGACATCCATATGACCTTGTTTTAACTTAATTACCTCTTTAAAGGCTCTGTCTTCAACTACAGTCACACTCAGGGGTACTGGGGAGTTAGGACTTCAACACGTGAATTTTAGGGAAACCAGTTAAGTCCAGAACAAGCACCCACTATGTTCCAAGTGCTGAGCTGGAGTGCTGGGGATGGGGGGAAAGATCGATGGAACAAGCCCTGACCTTTGAGAGATCACAGTCAGGAAGGCGGTGGCGGGAAAGACGTGTCAACTCAGAACAGCCCGGTGGCCGAGGTGGAGAGCGGTGAGCGGCTGTGGCGTACGAAGGGCGTCCTGAAGTCGGGGAAGGGCCCTGTCGCTCTTGCCCTCATTACACACTGCAGCTGCGTGTTCCTGTTGCCATTTGACCAATTGAAAGATGGTCTAGATGCAGGGGTGTCCAACCTTTAGGTGTCTCTGGGCCCCACTGGAAAAAGAAGAGTTGTCTTGGGTCACATATTAAATACATAGCAACACATAATCACAAAAAAAAAATCTCATGATGTTTTAAGTAAATTTACGATTGTGTGTTGGGCTGCATTCATAGCCATCCCGGGCCGCATGCAGCCCGCCAAAGCCAAGACCCGGGGGCTCCAGGGGGAGCCCAGGAAGGCGGACAGTCTGTTCCCCCAGGCATCTGCGCACCCTGCGCTCTCCTGCTGCCGACCTTCCCTCCCCTCTTCCCACTCCACGCCCAGAAGGCCACGGTCCCAAGCCACATCACCACCTTCACAAGACAGCTGCAACCTCTCCGGCTCAAATCCAAATCCTCAACAAAGAGGATGTCTTGGCCCTGGGGTGGGCGGGGGGTAATTTACCCAATTACAGACCTTCTACACACCCAGCGAAACCCTGCAGGACAGGGGCAGTGAGGAGGGTGCCGGGCAGACGAAAGGGTAGATGTGCTTAACGATAACATGCAGAAGTGTTCGTGATAAACTAAGAGGGAAAGCAGGCTACAAATTGGTATGTACAAGTTTGGTTTTGAAAAATTAAAAATTCAAAATATGAGAGGTTGCTACCTCTCCTGTACTGGTATCATAAAATTAAGTTGCAATTCCTCTGTCACCATTTCTTTGTCTATCTGTATCTCCCTTGGCACTTGAATTTTATAATTTATAGCTCTTCTAAATACTCCAAATTTTCTGGAACAATAATTTTGGATTTTTTTATGTTGAAAGGTAGAAACACTCTGAGCAGAGAAATCCACTGCAGTTCTTGTTTGAGTTGGGTAGTCCAGAGTGATGGTAACCAGCTCAGTGATTCTCTTTGTTTCTCTTTCCTTTTCTGCCCCCAACCTCCCTTGCCCCACCCCCAACTCTCGTCTGTGTTTTTCTCCTTGCCCTCTGGCAGAAGACGAAGAAATATCCCCGTTGGATCAGGGAGCCTCCAACAGCCTGAAGAGGCCCTCACTTAACCACGGGATCTCTGTCATGTCTGACCTGACAGACCAGAATGAGTTCAAGAACAACCTGTATGAAGAGGACGATGACGACAGCCTGGAAAAAATAGTGTTTCAAAGTAACCAAGCATTGTAATGTTTTGGTGCCAATTTTTCTCTGAGCCAAAGTGGGAGGAGTGTTCAGTGCCTTTTCATTGTGCTCCATGAAATACATCTTCCAAACCTTCCAGCACAACTGTGTGTTAATTCTGAAACGTGAATATGCCATCATTTATTTAGCCATTTCTCTTAATGTTGCAAACTCTGCTAGCTTCCCACGTTATTTTTCAGATGATCCCCCCAAATGGGATTAAGAGTCAAAGGGTATCTGTATTTGCAATCCTAGTAGCTGTAAGCAAATATTAGCCAAAAAGGGCACTTTCAGACAATACAAGGCGGGTGCGGGGTGCAGCAGACTGTGTGTGTCATTTTCAGTCGACGTTTAAACAGAAAGTCGTTCCCATTTCCGTCAGAACCCCTGTGAACCCTGTGTGTCCACAGACGCACACGTGCACACACACACACACATTCTCACTTTGCAGCGGACAAGGTACAGAGCACTGACAGCCACTCCTCAGAGGAAGTCGGAGAAATAGAGAACAACCCCGTGAGCAAGGTCATCTCTCGCTACCTGGGCATTGATGTCTCCACAGAAAGCAACGTGACCAACAACCAGAAGGGCATCGCCATCATCATCCACGGGACACCCCTGTCAGGTACACCGCAGCCCTGCGGGGTCGCCCCTTCTGTGTTTACGACGAAACTCACATGTGTGACTTTCAGGCCATGAGGCTTTTTTGTTTGCAATTTATAGATCAGAGGGTTATCCCCAAACTGTTAAAGTACCAACCTCAGAGATACGGGACTAGAGAAAGAGCAGGGATACCTCATTTTTAATGAATACATCTGTGAATTATTTGAGCTTGTATTCTTTCTATTATATTATTTAAAAACAAAAGGGGGAAATAAGTACAAACCCTTTGACCCAGGAATGTTGTTTCTAAAATTTTATCTTAGAAAATTAATTAATGATGTGGACAAAGATGAACAACGTGAATGTTCACTGCAACATGATTCACCGTAATAAAAAATCGGGAGCAGCTGAAGCAGTCGTTATGGGGGGCTGGTCAGTTAAGCCATGGCACATTCAGACACTGAATTGCCGTCGCCATTAAAAACAACGTCTTGTACACCCAGGTTCATAGCAGCATTATTAACAATAGACAAAAGGGAGAAGCAGCCCAAATGCCCATTGACAAATGACTAGATAAACTAAATGTGGTACAGTGGAGTAGTATTCAGCCTGAAAAGGGAAGAAAATTCTGATACACACTACGTGAGTGAGCCTTGAAGACACTGTGTTAAGTGGAACAAGCCACGCGCAGAAGGACCATAACTGTGTCAGTCCAGTTACATGAGGAACCTGGAGCAGTCAAATTCTGAGAAACAGAATGTGGAGTGGTGGTTTCCAAGGACTGGGGGAGGGGGATTATTCTTTAATGGATACAGAGTTTCCATTTGAGAAGGAGAAAAAGTGCAGGTGGTAGTTACACAACAGTGTGAGTACATTTATGCAACCGAACCGTACATTCAAAAATGGTTAAACTGGGGCTCTGGCTGCTGTGGCTCAGTGGATTGAGCACTGGCCTGGGAACCAAAGGGTCACCAATTTGATTCCCAGTCAGGGCACAGGCCTGGGTTGCAAGCCAGGTTCTAGTAGGGGGCACATGAGAGACAACCACACATTGCTGTTTCTCTCTGTCCCTTTCTCCCTCCCTTCCCCTCTCTAAAAATATATAAATAAAATAAAATAAATGGTTAAAATGGTAAATTTTGTATGTATATTACCACAATTTAAAAAAAAATAGTGCCATAGAAGTATACTGAATGAATAGAAAGAGGTTCCTGATACATTGTTTTAAGTGAGAAAAACTGTCGTACTTATTATTTGGAATCTGTGTTAGTTCCCTGTCACTACTGTGACAGCCACAAACTCAGCGGAGGTCAGAAGTCTAAACCGGGCCAACCTGGGCCGCTTTCCTTCTGGAGGCTATAGTGGCGCATCCATTCCCTTTAGCTCCCCTCGCTTCCAGAAGTGTTCCCTCCAGTCCTTGGCGCGTGGCCTCGTGCTCCGTCTTCGCAGCCAGCACGGCAGCGAGCATCTTCCAGCCTCTCTCCCCTTGCTTTCATCATCATATCACCTGCTCTGCCTCTGACCCTCCTGCTTCTCTCCTGTAAGGACCCTTATGATGACACTGGGCCCACCCAGGTGGCCCAGGAGAATCTCCCCATAGCAAGAGGCATAACGTCATCGCACCTGCAGAGTCCCTCCACTGTACGAGGTAGCATGTGCCCAAGCTCCAGGGGTAGGGTGTAGACACCAGCAAGGGGTGGTTATTCAGCCTGCCATATAACCCATTTCTTTTTTTATACGTAATATAAATAAGATAATTACATACACACACTTAACAGCCATATGCAAAATTCCCTCTGGATCAGCAAATTATGGGTTTGTTGTTTTTTGTTTTTTTTTTTCGTTTCTCCTGTCCATTATTTCTGAATTTTCTGCTTTATTTTCAATGAGCAGGTATTTTTGAAATGAGAAAAAAATCAACACGAGTTATCCTTTAAGCCAAAAGTGTCTTTCTGTTAGAATCAGAGACCGTAAGAGCTACAAGACTTCTGAAGACCAACTGAGAGAATCACTCTCTAGGCCGAGGAGAAAACCCAGAGAGGGTGCATGCTGCCCTACGCAGCACACAGCCCATCGGTGGCAGAATCAGGGCAGAACCCACGGTCCCGACTCACGCCGCAGGCCTCCCTTCTCTTCTGCTGCTGCCTCTGAGCACAGGAGAGCCTTGGAGGCGGGGCACTGGGAAAGATCACTGTACGGGGGGGCCTCTGCTTTTGAAGTTTCTGGCTAGAACACTGAGCACACGAAAGCCCTGAAATTCAGCCCCCTTTCCTCTACAGGAAAGTCCGCCACGGCAGCCAGCATGGCCAAGCACTACAACGCAGCCTGCCTGAGCATCGACTCCGTCGTGCTGGAAGCCATCTCCGAGGGCAGCATCCCGGGGCTGCGGGTCCGAGAGCTGTGCATCAAGGCCGCCATAGAGCAGTCCATGCGGGAAGGAGAGGAGTCTGGTAAGGGCCGTCTCCCCTGACCTTCTGCGGCCAAGTGGCCGGCACCCCACTGCTAACACCCATCCTCTCTCTTTCCCCCACTGAGCTTTTCTCCCACAGCTCGGTTGAAGTCTGATTGATAACATGCCGCTAGCTTAGTAGCCCGGAGAAAAATTCCCTTCGCCCGGTATCTGTGGCTGTCCTGGCCACCCAATACTGGCACTCACGTGGCACTTCAGGGAGCAGGACCGTGGGTAACACGTGGCCCATACCTTTGGGGGCATGACACCCAGAGAGGAGCAGCCATGTGCGCATTCAGAGTGGAGGAAAAGAACGCAACAGAAGTGCCGGCTCTGTGAGCTTGGGGTGGCCGGGTGCCAACAAGTGTGGTTTGGGGACGTATTCATGGAAGTGGCCTTTGAGGGAGCCCAAGAGTATCGATAGGCAAAGACGAAAACAAGGACATTCCCAACAGAGGAAGTGGGGGAGCTGACTAGAAGTGGGAAGGCAGCTTGAGGCCAATTGCAATTGACCTTGATGCCAAAATTAGGAATTCGGATTTTATTTGGAAGGAAAAGTGTTGTGTGGTTTCCATCTTTGGGGGAAATGGTCGGAAAGTAGCTCCTGCAGTGTCTGGTGATGGACAGGCCTGGGCAGGCCGCCCCGGCTGCCTCCAGTGCAGCAGGGACTTGAAGCAGTGGGAGGCACCCAGGGTGGTCACACCAAGATCGCTGTCCTCAGACACCTGGAAAAGTGACATCGTTTTCCAAGACAGGGAAGGCGGGAGGAGGAGAAAGTTTGCTGGAGAGGAAAAGTAATTGGGTTTTTGAACCCATAGTAGTGAGGCCTGGTCGAAACTCAGACCTGCCAGAGGTCAAAAATCCTGGGTGCACCAGGTCATCTGAGGGCCTCCGGGCCAGGAGAATGGCGGCTCAGTTGGAAAAATGCTGAAGCAGAGTGCCTGCTGAGAGCCGAATTATTTTTATGGAAATACTCATAGTGCGACACCATCCCCAACAGTGTACGAGGCCTGCCAGTTGATGAAACTGGCGGGGGCTTTCGGGCATGCCCCTCCTCTCAACACCCCTTCCTGGGGAGCTCAGGGAAACGAAGGACTCTGCTCGGAAGATAAGAGAAACAGCTCTGTAGTTATATAAGGGAGGAAAAACAATTCTCCCTCTGCCCTTCTGAGTTCTCAGCTGAGACCCCTGTGATTAAAGAAAAACACATTAACCAGAGGAAACAAAGTTCATTAACACGTGTACTTCACGTACACATGGGAGACACTCAGGGGAACACGAGTGACTCCAAGTTGGCTTTAGAATTCAGAATGAAATACCAGCGTGAAGGGAAGGGGGAGGAGGCACGCAGTCCTCCCAAGGGGCAAATGACCGTGAGGACCAATGAATGGACCTCAGGGAACTGGGGGGAGGGGCGGCAGCCTGCCCCGGGTGCTGGTGACGCCAGCTCTCCTCTGGGATAAGAGTCCAGCTTCTTTGGTTGATGAAACTCCCGGAAAGGGGCTTTATGACCGTCTGAGTTCCTTTTGCAAGGTAGTCTTTAGCAGATCAGGGAAGTTCAGAGGAAGCCCCCTGTGCATTTGCTGCCTTTACAGCTCGAAATAATCAGTATTCCCAAGCTGTGTCCAGGAACTCCAGAGCCCTATTTCTGGGTGGCATATTCTGCTACCCGTCATGCTGAACTACAGCTGGACTATAATCCTGGTTCTCTTAGACTTTTGTTTCCTTTTCTGTCAAACTACGTGTCACCGAGGTCTTTGGAGATGTGTTGGTCTCCTGTGACAAATCGTGAGTTTGAGCCCCCTGTCTGAGAATGTACTGGCAATCTGCAGGCATAACTGGGGGAGTCTTCCTCAGGAAAGTGACAGGTGCACCTGCCGGAATAGAGGAAGTCAGCCCAGAAGGTTCCAGAAAGAGAGGGGCGGGATGGACAGGGCAGGATGGGACCTTGGGGACACTTCCAGTGTAGGGGAGTGGAGGAGAAGCCGGGGTGGGGAGGCCGAGAGGCAGAGCAGAGGCCAGAGGGGCGGGCAAGCAGGAGCACAGGTGGCGGGAAGTCAGCAGCAGCGGGATGAGAAGGGCTTTCGGGTCTCTCTGTGGGTGCAGGTACCGTCTCAGCTTCGTTTCCCTTATCACTAGTGAGCGTGCTATTTCATTTACTCGTTTTATCAGCTCTCTCCCCCCACTAGAATGTGAGCTCCTGGGGGCAGAAATGTGTGTTCGTTTTCTTCACTAATGTATGCCCACCACCCAGAATGGTGCCTGGCACATAGTAGATGCAGAGTAAAGATTAAAGATTTATTTTTAAAAATGTATTGAGTCACTAAAAGAACACAAGTGGAGATTGCTGGAAATTCCAGTAGAATGAACCCTGAGAAGAGGGCTACTGTAGTTCACAGTGCAGAGGTCACTGGCGACTTTGAAGAAAACCCTTTTAAGAGAGGGTGAAGCCCGAACACACATCCGCAGTTTGCTGTGGAGTCAGCAGGCTGTGCCAGACAGGAAGTGGGGCGGCAGGAGGCTGGGGTGCCATTGCCAAAGCCGAGCCTGGAGGAACAGGGGCGATGGGGCCCGGACACACACAGGACCATGTGGGTCTGTACCTGGAGCAGAACATGGGCACAGCTACTCCCCTCATGTCATCGGACACTTTGCCCACCCTACCCCCTAGTCCTCCCAGGCGCTGTGTGAAGTCCTTGTACCTATAATCAGGGACCAGGGAGGGGAGGAGGGAGCCACTGGAAAAGATAAAGCAAAGCAAAGTACAGTGAGAGCTCACAAGGGCTTATAAGGGGAGAACCCCCTTCCCAAAAAAAACCAGAAATCTCTTCTGGAAGGTATGCCCCTTATAATACAGGCTTTCCCCAGTAGGTGAGTGTTCTAGGAACCCAATCTATATCAGTGAACTAGCTGGCGTTGCTGTGAGAGGCTGCATTCAGCTTCAGCGAATTTGTTTTTGGAGACTCTTTCAACATGTTTGCCCATGTCATGATGGGTGATTTACGAGGGCACCTGCCCACACTGCACTGAGTGTTCAGCAGTTTTTGACCAAATCAGCATGACCCCTGTGCCCCACCCTTCCTATGCACCTGATCTCACCCTGAGCAACATTTTTTTGTTTCGCCGGGTGAAAGAAGTCCTAAAAGGGAAATGCTTTGCCAATGTGGAAGAGGTGAAACAAAAACCAGCAGAAGCACTAAAAGGTATCAAAATCGACAAGTTCAAAAACTGTTTTGACCAGTGGAAAAAACACCTTGATAGGTGTACTGCATCAAATGGGGAGTACTTTGAAGGTGACTGAAGTTTAAACATAGAGGAATAAATACACAATTTTTTTATAAATAAACCCCAGGTTTGGGGGGCGGTCAACAAGGAGCAATAACCGGAGCAACAAGTCTGCCCGAGAGCTAGAGAAACCTGCAAGTGGCCAAGCACACGGCCCCGTCACCGCGTCTCAGGCCCCAACAGCGTCTGCTGGACCCCCTTGCTCCTCCGGGCACAGGCAGTCCGTCCTCGTAGAGCCGGGGCCCTGAGGGCACTGTGAGACGGGACTTGCCATTGCGGGTGGGAGGCTGGGAGGGGCAGGAGTCCGTCCTCAAGGCCCAAGGCAGTCTAACAGGGGTTTTTCTGAACAGCCGTCATGGAAACTTGTAAATAATTACATCAGCCACTGATTCTGAAAGGGAACTTCTCAGTGGGCGAGGGTCCTAGGAGAGGCGATCTGATTGGAAGGAAGGCCAAAGGTGTAACGTGAAGAAATTAACGTGAAAGCCAGGTTTGCCAACAGGCACACTGTTATTAATTAGCCTGTTTGTTCATTTGGGCAGCTCTGCTGTAGAAGCAAGAATGAATGCCCTACCCAAGCTACCCACTGGCGTCCCCACGGCCTAGAACCACAAAAGGTCAGGGGTTAGATTCTGAGGGCAGGGCTGTAGTATACCCGCAGTTCCAGAAATGATTGCCCTCTGGGCTGGAAGAGAAAGTGAGGCAGATTCATGTGAGATCTGAGCAGGGAAGAGCCCTGGACTCCAGGCCAGGCTCTCCACGGGGCCATCATCATCCGGTCCTCAGTGGACGGAGCCTCTTCTCTCAGCCCTGCTCGGCCATCCCCACTGTTAGTTCCTTATCACCCTATGGTGAGCTTTAATATAAACCCACTCTCTCTGTGTAGCCCAGGACACTGCTTCGGCCCAAATTTCCATTGGACCCCTACAACTGAGCACTGAGACCCTGGGCAAGTTAACCTCAGAATCCGCCCTGGTAACTCCAGAAACAAAAGGTGCAAAGCCTGTGCGCGGGAGCTTGCTGATTGGCAAAAGCAAGGCAGAGAGCCACGCCTCTGGGTCTCAGAAGCAGCAGCATCAGCACCCGCCCGAAACACCACAGGTACAAATCAGGGCCCCCCGGAAGGAGGCTTGGGATCCTTCCTTCTCCCCATCTTCCTCAGCACCCTGCAGCCAGAGTCAGCACAACTTCATTCCTATGGGTGCCCTCCCCAGGCAGGTCTGAGCGCTGTCCCCGCACCACGCCCCCCGAAGGGAGGTTCTCCCAGCAGGTGTCCAGCAAGGGACTGTCACGGTACAGGCACTGGGGCACTGGGTCGGGTGCTGGCAACATGAAGGTCAGTAAATCCAACTCCCTGCACTCGAGCTGCACAGAGTGTCCGGTGAAGCACATAACCACACCTTAACACATTTGCGATAACATGAGATCAGTGACAAATGGGTATGTAAAAAGAATTAGGTTAAACCATAAGTCATGTTTAAAAAGCCATAGAGAAGGTCAGAGAGTTTGAGCCACATGCCCAGAGACTTTGAGAACAATCTTGGCAGAACAGCAGGTGCTGAAGCCAAAGACAACGGACGGACAGCCTTACCCTCCCACCGCCAAACCTACCGGACAGCCCTCCGGACAGCCCCGCGCCCTGCCTTCCCTGCAGAGGAGTGACTGCATCTGCAGCCGGGCCCCGTCCCTTCTCTTTCACTCAAGACCTAAATTCCTGCAATTGTCTCCTCTCTCTACACTTGTTTTTTTCCCCATTAGCTGTTGGATTCTTCCCATCAGCATCTAGGCATGCTTTATGACCCCCCCCGATCTTTAAAAAAAATAGGTTCCTGTGACCCCAGGTTCCCCGCCACTATTGCCTCATCTCTCACCTTCTCTCCAAAGAATTGCTGCACGATCGCCTCCTGGCCCTCAGCACCGTTCTCCCTTCACCCGCTCCGACCCGGCCTTCGTCTACCCCACTTCACCGGCCACTCTCCTCAAGCTCACGGGCATTCATCTGGCTAAATCCATTGGCCAGTTTTCTGTCCCCATCTCCCACGATCTCTTGGCAGCTGATAACCCCTCCTTCTAGAAAGGCTTTCCTCACTTTGCTTTCAGAATGCCAGGCTTCTTCTCCACTTTCCCTCTGCGTCCTGAATGACTCCCGCCCCGCCCCCCAGTGCCTCCCTCCACCTTCGCAAACTAGTTTTTCAGAGTAGGCTAGGACTGAGTCAGCTGGCCTTCTTTTTGGTATCTGCCTTTTCTTTATCGGCGATCTAATCCAGTTTGTTAAATACTTAAATATTTTCTTCATATACTTCCATGTTGTCTTAAATATTCAAATAAAATATTAAAATACCTCAGTATTTTCATTATGCTTCTAACCCTCAAATTTCTATGTCCAGCCCTAGTTTCTCCCCAAGCTTAGGTTCATTTACTCAAATGATATTCAGTATCTCTATCAGATGGCTTAGAGACATTTCAAGATTTACATGTCCAAAAAGTGGTTTTGCTCCCTCCCCCACAAAACAAAACAATACCAGAAGTTGTTCTTTCCTCCATCTTTCCTTTCTTAATAAATAACTTCACCCTTTTTCAGCTTGCTCAGTTCAAAACTCAAGGAGTCGTTCCGAAGCCTCTCCTCCTTTTACTTCCACCTCAGATCCTCTTGGCTGTACTTCTGAAATCCGTCCCTTATCAGCCGCATCTCCTCACGCCCACCCCAGACCCCGTCCACCCCAGACCCCGCCGTCATCATCTCCTGCCTGGCCACCGAGATACCTAGCTCACTAGTCTTCCTGCTGCCACTCTTGTTCCCTCATGCGGCAGGTAGAATGCTCTCTTAAACAATCAAAGTCCCATCCTTTGTCTGCCTAAAACATGCCAACAGCTACCTATAACGCTTGGAATAAAATCTAGACTCCTTACTGTGGCCGGCAAGCCCGCAGATTCTGGCCTGACCAGGTCTTTGACGAGAAGCCTGCCCGGCGTTCCCGTTGCTCACTCAGTTCCCGTCACACTGGGCTCCCACGTGCTCCCCGAACACCCACAAGTCCACTCATGTTCCCTGTCAGAAAGACTCTTCTGTCAGGATTCTGCCTCGTTCTTTCACGTTATGCAGGTAATGTGACAACACTTCCTTTTTATTTTTTGTGACAACTCTTTCTAAATAGCCATTGTCCAGCTCTGTCATTGCTCTTTGTCCCCTCACCTGGACATTTTCTCCCTGGCACTCATTACTGTCTGAGATTGTATTATTGATTTGCATATTTATCTGTCCCTCTTCTGTCTCCCCCACTTGAATGTAAGGACCACACTGGCAGCAACATTGCGAGACTTGTGTGTTGTTTTGTCCTCGGCACTAGAGGGGACCCTGGTGCATAGCAGTTGCTCAATGAATATTTGTTGAATGATTGAACAAATGGGTGCTTTCAGTATATACATAAAGCACCTTGTACAGAGTTCCCTCTTAAAGCCTATAGCGATTCTTTAAGAAAGACAGGAATATTCCACTTTATACTGCAACCCCCATTTTACAGATGGGAAAATGGGGCCCAGAGAGAGTATATGGTTTTCCCGAGGTCACATGGCATGTATGTGTAGGAGCTGTTGGGGAACCAAGCTGGATTCTAACTCCTGTTCCTTCTCCCACCAAGGTTTCCTCCAGTCCCCTCCCCTCAGGGCCAACGCCACGCAGGCTCAGTGTCAGCCCCAGTGTCGGAGGGGACACCGGGCTCCTGAGCTGTGTGCTGCCTGAGGAGCTGCTCACCCAGATCCTGTCTGAACGTATACAGGTGCGTCCACACCCATCCTCGTGAGCTGCAGGGCTCACACACCTTCCCCCGCTGTGCTGGGACTCTGAGCCACCCCCCACCCACAGCGGCTGGGAACCCAGGGGCCTTGGGGAGGAAAGACAGGTTTCCTCACCCTCACCAGTCATTTACATGTCCTTGTGACAGCCTGTGTTCGTCCCCCCGCAGACCCTGGCTTAGTCTGCTGCCAGAAGCTACTCACCTTAAAGGGCCAGTGAGCAGAGGTTGGGCATTCAAGAACAAAAAAGCAGAAACAGCGTCATGGCACAGACTACAGCGGTGTTTTTAAAACTGTAAGGTGGAACCATTATGAGTTAGAGTTTGAAGACATCTTAATTGCAGTAAAAAATGTTTTAATGTGTCATTAAGTGAGAAAAGAGTATGTGCTATATGATTTCACTTGTATGTGGGTCTAAAGAATTAAATACACACACCAAACAAAGCAGACTCACAGAAATAGAAAGCAAACTGATGGTTGCCCGTGGGAGGGCGGTTGCGCGCTGGGGGGAAGCAGGGGAGGAATTAAGAGGTTCGGATTGGCAGTTACAGAGCAGTCATGGGGATGCGAAGCACAGCTCAGGGAGTACAATCCATAGTATCGGAATGAGTGTGCATGGCGCCAAGTGGGTGCTGCAGCTATGGGCAGAGCACCGTGTAAAGTATGTAAACGTCTAACCCCTGTGCCGTACACATGAAATGAATACAAATAATACTGCATGTCAACTGTAACTGAAAACCTAAAAAAGAAAGAAAAGCAGATTATGAAATAGTATGTAAAGCACAATTACGTTTCTATAAAAAATGTATAAATGTGTATTATACCCATAATAAAAGCTCAAAGCACATGTAAACTGTAGTTGTCTTTAGATAATTACAGGTTTTCAGTCTTCATTTCGGAATTACTATACAATGACATATTGCTTTTAAAGTCAGAAACTCAATAGCTGCTTTCATTTTTTAAAATCTGTATGTGTCACACAGTCACAGAAAAGACCAGCAGGGTTGGGAGGGCACCACCTAAGCCTGTTGGCTGCTCGTGGTTTACAGGGAGCTGAACTGCCCAGCAGGTCCCACAGCTGTGTTTGCTTTGGTTTTTGCAAACTGGGACACAATATTAATTGCATATTTAATATAATAAAATTGGACTTGAGGTTCCCAGAGAGGAGGAATGTCACCACCGGAAATGACTTACGTAAAGTTTGGACTGCTCCTGCCTTCAAGGTCCCATGACTCGCAACTGATCTGAGCAAGGTGGCCCAGTCAGTGTGCAGGTGTGTTGGGAACCCGGGTGAAAGGCCAAGAGTCCCTGGAAAAGCCCGAAGGAAGCCAGGAGAGCTGCGCCACTCAGAGTGCTGGTCTGCCTTCAGAGAGGGAGCTTGCACTGCTTCCTGCATCTGCAGTGTTTCACTACAAAGAAAAAGGCAGAACTGAACTAGGCAGTGTATTTAGTCATGTAGTTGACTCACGTTCTGACACAGGGTTCTTGTCCTCTCAGGCCCTGGCAGGAGTCAGTTCCCGGCCCGTGGTGGCCACTCTGCGCCACACTCTGAGGGACAGTATAGCGCAGCAGAGACTGTTCTTCAGTGGTTAGTGTCTCAGAATCATTATACTCCAAGGCAGTGATGCCACTAAAGATAGAAATAGCCCTTTGCTACTCCGTCCTTGCTGCTCTCACCCTGTGCATGAGGACATCTTCCCTCTGCCTCTTTCTTACCTGTATCTCCTGCATCTTCCCAGGCCCTCACTCGTAACATTTAATTCATTTTCCTTATTTCTATAAAGGCAGAGTAAATCTTCCATGACTGATCAAATATTTTTATTTTTCTTCTTTATAACGACACCTTGAATTGAGCAGGTAGATTAATGGTATTTTTATGGGGGCCCGGCAGGTCTGTAGAACCAACTGCAGCACCAATAAAAGCACCAACAACAGAGCAAGCCTCTGTAGAGAGGACAGATGGTCCCGTGGCCATGGTAACTGCCTTTGCTCTTTCTGGTTTCAGCTGAGTGACTGCTACCAAGGGGTGGTGTTTGATGGCCTCGAGACACTCTTTGCTCGGAACGGGGCTGCTGCCCTCCTCTGCCTCCTGAAGGCCTTTGGCAACCGGGACCACATCTATGTTCTCAACATCGCCCAGGATTACGCAGCCATGAAGGCCCAGGAGAAAGCCAAAAAGGAACAAGAAGGCAAGGCCCCATATCCTCCTGGACTGTCCTGCACAGGCCCTACCAGGTCTTCCCTTTAAATGTGGCTTTTGCCTTTTAAAAATGCTTCCCTGCCATGGTAACCCGTTGGGCTTCAATGACACTCTTACCTTTGCCATCCCCTCGGGGCCCCACCTGTGCCCTGGGCGGTGGCTGGGAGTTCCTACTTTCTTTGACTTCGAGTGTGAGGGAACTGAGGCAGGAGGGTCCTGCTGAGAGATCACAGGACAGAGGGTGAGCCTAGCTCTTCTTGGCAGCAGACACGTTTCTCTTTCTCCCCGTAGCTCAGTGTTCACAGTCTTCTCTGGAATCACAGCTGACCTGAGGGCACACATCACAGGGCCCAGCTTGAGGCAGGTGGCAGGTGGGCGTGTTGGTTTTGTTCAAGGCAACTGTGAACTCCCTGTAAAACTAGAGGTGCTGCTAAACTTTTCAAAACTTCTGCATTTTAGACCTCTGTATACTGCAGCAGACCTTCTGTACACTGCATTTTTTCAATATATTTTATTGATTATGCTATTACGGTTGTCCCATTTCCCCCCTTCCCTCCCCTCTGCCCTGCACAGCCTCTCCCACCCACATCCCCCCCTTTAGTTCATGTCCATGGGTCATACACATAAGTTCTTTGGCTTCTGCATTTCCCATACTATTCTTGCCCTCCCCCTGTCTATTTTATACCTACCATCTGTGCTACTTATTTTCTGTACCTTTTCCCCCTCTCTCCCCCTCCCACTCCCCTGTTACTAACCCTCCATGTGATCTCCATTTCTGTGGTTCTGTTCCTGTTCTAGTTCTTTGCTTAGTTTCTTTTGTTTTTGCTTTAGGTATGGTTGTTAATAACTGTGAATTTGCTGTCATTTTACTGTTCATATTTTTTTATCTTCTTTTTCTTAAATAAATCCCTTTAACATTTCATATAATAAGGGCTTGGTGATGAGGAACTCCTTTAATTTGACCTTATCTGAGAAGCACTTTATCTGTACACTTTAGATGTCTGTGAGTGGTGTATTGCCCCCATTCCACAGATGAGGAAAATAAGGTCAGAGATACCGAAAGTCTTAATTAAGATCACTTGGCAAATTAGTAAGGTCGGTGTAACTCTAAGGCTTTTGCTCCCTCCCGCCCCCCGTCATTACACCAGTGGCCTGGGAAACTTTTTCACTAATTTGAAAAATAGATGCACATAGAGTATTATTAAATCATAAATTCCCAGTTTAGTCAGAAGCAGACCTAGCAAATTTTGGCCCCCAAGAGAGAAGGCGACACGGTGCCTGGGAGGCAGAGCCTCGTCTGACCTGCGCTGTCCACATGGCCGCCCCTCCTCACTTGGCCTTCCCCGCTCTTCCAGAGCACTCTACACAAATCATAATGCTTTCCCAGCAAGGGGAACACTTATAACACGGAGCTCTCTTCGTTCTTAAACAGAACTCCAAGGCTGTTTCCTTATATTCTCATCCAGAGAAAAATCGTTAGGCAGAATGTCCCGGCAGTATCTCCAGCAGTATTTCAGCCTCCGGGTTCCTAGTGTTCCAATAGGCTCAATTCCCCGTAATGATCAACATGAAAGAAAGTGTCTCTTTTCATTTTCTCAATTATCTGTGGATTGAAGTTTTTCACAGTTGCAAATGGGCTCATCTCCCCTGAATCATCTGCATTTTGAAAAAGCCCGGAGAGAGCGTGCAGTGACAATATTATTGTATTAAAATCTAATTTTTATTGAACATTTGTGCATGTGCCAGGCGCTGGGCTTTACATGACTGCTCATTCATTCCATCCCCACAGCAGCCCTGTGAAGGAGGGTTCCTGTTGGTGTCTGTTACTTTCCCGCGGTAAATGCTGGGGAAAGGACTCAGTGGGCTCAGGTCTCTGAGCCCAAAGGGGAAACAAGAATGGGAGGTGAGAGCGCCGTGCCCTGAGGTGTGAACGAGGAGAGAGTGCCTTTGTGCTGAGTGTGAACCGCAGCACTTCTCGGGGTGTGGAATCTGCTGCGTGTGGGAGACGACCCCGAGCCCTGTCACCCTAAGCTCTCTGGTGGCGGACACTCACCGTGGGTCAAGTCCACGGTGGTAAACAGACCACCTGTCACTGTGGTGACACAGCACCACAAACGTGGTGACTTGAAACAATGCAGACTTAGTGTCTCATGGTTCCAGAGCTCCAAAGTCCTGAAATCCAGGCATTGGCAGGGCTGCATTCCTGTGGAGGCTCTAGTGGCAAACCCCCGCCCTTCCCTTTTCCACTTTCTAGGGGCCTCCTGCCTCCTTGGCCCGGGGCCCTTACCCCACCACCCTCCAGCGTTGGCTGCTGTTGTCACATCTTCCCTTCCTCTGCATCATCGCCACGTCACCACCTCTGACTCCTGGAGGTTATATTGGGGCCACTCAGATAATCCGAGAAAATCTCTCCAACGCAAGATCCTTGACTTCATCACACCTGCAAAATCCTTTCTGCCACATAGGGTAACATATTCACAGGTGCTGGGATTAGGACATGGCACATTGGGGCCACGATTCAGCCTGCCACAGGTGGAGGCCTGTGGTGGGACTGTGTGGGTGCAGGAAGTCCCACCGCAGGTGAGGGGTGCTGCCGCCACACCAGCCACCTCTCACCGTCACAGACCCGGCACAGCCTGTCCAGGCTCAGAGCTAAGCCATGGTGGGTTCCCCCAGCCAAAGCTTGTGAGTGGCTTTTCCTCACCTCCCTGTCTCTGTTCCCCCATAGAGCACAAACGCAGGGAAGCGCTTGAGAAAGAGAAGCAACGTCTCCAAAATATGGACGAGGAAGAATATGATGCCCTGACAGAGGAAGAGAAGCTCAAGTTCAACCGGGAAATTCAGCAGGCCCTCTGGGAGAGGAAGAAAAGGTGGGAATCAGGGGCTGGCCCCAGCAGAAGCAGTGCCCTCAGGAGCAACTTCCACTGGGCACACAGCCCACCCTGGAGGCCAGGGTCCTCCTCCAGGGCGGCAGCCATGGCCACAGGAGACCCAGGATGGCCAGCTGAGAGCAGGAAAATATCTTGCCTGTCCGGGGTGCTGGTTGCTGCAGCCTTTCAGGGCTTCCCCAGTTCTCCTCTCCTTCCTTCTCTCTGGGGGCCGTTTGGGATGAGGGGAAGGACTGTGCGGTATAATGGGGGAGGGACTTTGGCCCCAGTGCTATCCTGGAGCTTCCACCAGCTTCCCCTGACAACTGTCCCCTAGGTGTGGCTCTTCTGCCTCTGTGTTCAAGTGTCCACCCAGGGGCCACACTCTTCATGTGGGTATGGTGGTTGCTCCCCAGAACTCAGCCATTTCTCCTCCTTCCCTGGCCACCACCTCGGCCTTTGGTGGTGCTATCCATCCCCTGAGGTCTGGCTGCTTCTCTGACTTGATTCTCGGCCTCAGCAGTTCACCAGAGTCCTTGAGCCAGCCACCAAGCCAGTGCTGTCGGCCACCTTCTAGGCCCATCATTGGGAGCACACAGGAATACCCGGATCCCCTCCACACCACCTGGGGCCCAGGAGTCCCCAGGGCTGCTATCTCAGGCTCTCAGATATAGTGGCAGTGGGACATATGTCCTTGTTGCTTTCAAATGTGCTGGGGGGCAGGGGGTTCTATTCCCTACCCCTCCCTAGAATTCCAACATTGGGTAGGACAGAGCCAAGATACCTGCCTACAATTTAACCTCTTTCTGCCTTCTTCTGTCTCTAGACTCCCTCCCACTGAGCCCAAAGAGCTTTTATGTCCTCTCTGCCCCTGCCTTTTACCCTCAGTTCTTCTCCTGCTTGGTCCATTGTAAAGTGCCCAGTCCTCCAGAGGTATGAAAAGCCTGGCTTTGGGATTTCAAAGGAATCTCTTTTTTCTCATTCAGGCCATCGCCTCTAGGCATGCATCTCATGGTGGACTTAGAAAATGCAAATCTGATCTTCAAAGCTCAGCAATGACTTGTGTGTGCTCCCCCCACACGCACTTGAGGCAATGAAGTCATGATGAGTCAGCTCCAGTGACAGCAACAGGGAATAGCCAGGGATTCCTGGAGAGGAAAATAGATGGGTTTTGTGTTCTCAGAGATGCCCAGCCGTGGTGCCCTCGCTGCCATTAGCAGCAGGGCAGGCCCAGCTGAATCCATAGCAGGAAGGGGAGGAAAGAGAGAGGAGGAGAGGACTGTGGCTCTCAAATCCAGCACCGTGGTTCCAAGCTAGCGATGGTAGGACTGCTGTTAAAAACATCATGTCTTGTTGTCTGACCATCAAACGCCAATGTAGGAAGCTGGGCCTCCTCCTTACTGATATCAGAACAGTCTTTGAAAGCTGCTTTTAAAACATGCCAGCATCAAGCTTATTTTCAGCTTTGGCCTTGCTCTCCTTGGAAAGGAAGTTGGAGTAGAAATACAGATTAATTGAGAACTCTTAGTTGGGCTTCAGTTCGTCAGTTTTACCGAAGGACCATTCAAAGATAGATGTGAGCCACATCTTCCCTTCCCTTCCCTTCCCTTCCCTTCCCTTCCCTTCCCTTCCCTTCCCTTCCCTTCCCTTCCCTTCCCTTCCCTTCTCTTCCCTTCCCTTCTAGTTACCCAGCTTTCTTTTGTTCCTTCTTCTTGTGCCCAGAGCTCTGCCCTAGGTCTCCCAACCAGTCAGGGAGGGGCTCGGGCAGCAGGCCTCTCAACTCACTCTTCTCTGCCTGGTTTAATAAAGGGAGCTGGAGAGATTAGCAAGGGAGATGCAAGAAAAGAAGCTACAACAGGAGCTCGAGCGGCAAAAAGAAGAAGACGAGCAAAAAAAGAAGGTCAGGAAACCAAAGCAAGGACCAGCGAAGGAGGACTCGCCTCTGAAGAAATCCCAGACGTCAAGCCGGCAGGTAGCAGCCTTTGCTTGCTCTTTACCAAGAGGCAAGAGTGGAGGGACCAGCCATTGTAGCCAAGCCCTCAATCCAGGACACTTCCCCTCCAGAACATTGACCTAATACTACTGGTTGGATTTTACGATGGAGCAGGCGGTAGGAGGATGGGGACCAACATCTGGTGAACACCGATTGCGTGCTAAGTACTGGGCTTATGCTTCATGTCATCCTTTCATTTTTGGCATCCCACCCACCCTGTTAGACAAAGACAGGAACTTTGCCTGAGGCTTAGAGAGATGAAGTCGCAGTTCCAGGATTTCATCCAGTTACATCTTCTGACCACAGCCCTTGCTCTTTCCACTGCCCGCTGCAGTCCCCTGGACAGTGCTAAATAGGCTAGTGGTAAAGATTTGCCTCCAGTAAGCTACAAAGTTAATGAAGCCCCTGTGTTCAACCAGCACCTTATTCTTGACAACAGTCAGGGAAGACTCTCAGCATAAGCTCATCCTTGCAGACAGGTACCAACCAGTGTATCCACCTGCCAGATTTAGGGGTCAGATCCCTGTCCACAGTGATGGAGAAGGGGCAGAACAGCCAGAGCAGCCCCCGGGGGCGCCGTCCTGGCTGAGGGGTGCAGCTGTCTGCTGTGCATGGGGGCCGCTTCAGCACTGTGAGCTGTGACAGTGAAGCTAAAGCCAGACTGCCAGACAAGGTGCAGACTGGTCCCGGCAGGGGAGCAAGACACAACGACCACAACATTCTTTGTCCTCTCCCAAGCCGCCTGAAAGCAGGCGCAGAGCGATCATGTTCGGTGATCTTTTCCTATGGGTCCTGCAGAATGCCGGCTCTCAAACAAGAGTGCACAGCACAGTCACCGTGTACCTTTTCCAAATTTACAGACCTGCCCCAGCCAGACCTGTAACGAGGAAGGACCACAGAATGGGTATTTCAATAAAGGTCCCCACGGTGATTTGTGGGCACAGCCCTAGACGTGGGTCCTGGAGTCCTGTGAGGGCTTCGTACAAAACAAAATGTCCTCTTGTTCTTTTTAATGTAATGTACTCTCCCTTGAAGAACTGTTTTAAGCGTATTTTATTTGTTTTGCTTCCTAGACTCTTACTTTTTCCAAACTAGATGTCAAGATGGACTCAATAGAAAGAAAAGTATCTGAGAGGGAGCCAGTAACGTCTGAGAAGGAAGAACTGGCCAAGAAGAAAAAGAACCAACTGGCAGATAACCTCCTGGGGGTCCCTCTTGCCCAGGAGCAAGAGGACAGTGAAGCAGACCTCCTGAAGGAAGCCGACAAGCCTTTGGCCCAAAAGTTTAAGATCTACGAGTTGACTTTGAAGGATATCCAGAGCATCCTCGCTTACTGGGACCGGAAGCAAGGAGTTCAAGTGCATCACACTGGGGCTGACGACCTGGCCCACGAGTCCAATGACCAGCGCCAGGTCCCATCCACGGGGCGCAGAGGCCGCAAGGACCGGGAGCGGGAGCGCGCGGAGAAGGAGCGGGCTGAGAGGGAGCGCCTGGAGCGGGAGAAGGCCGAGAAGGAGCGTCTGGAGAAACTCCGGGCACTGGAGGAGCAGAGCTTTGGAGGAGAGGGGGACAAGGAGGAGGACCATGAAGGAAAGAGGGACCTGGGGGTGCCATTCATAAATATCCATATACCCGACTTGGAAGGCTCCAGCTGGAAGCAGGCCCTGGAGACTGACAGGCTTCCCAAAGTGGATCAGGTGCATACCCTTCTCTGGGGTGGGGGTGTAAGAAACCGGTGAGCAGGGACTGTGCTCATCGTCACGGAGGGGTTTCTTTCTACCTAAAACCCATATCCCCTAATTCCATTAACCTCTGGTACCCCCTTGCACAAGACATGAATGGCTCAAAGAGCCTGTTTGTGCGTGGTGAAAATCCATAGAAAGTTCCACAGATCCAAGTTATTGCATCTAACCTCATAAAAAGCCATTTGGAGGGCCAACGGTACGGTGCTGCATGCTGGCAAGGCCTGTGTACTCCGGGGTAAAGCGAGAGGCTCAACCACTCTAAAACCCTTTCCCACAGGCCTCCCTCCATAACAAACTGTGCCATTAGATCAGTCTCCTGTCCATAAAGACAGAAGGTTTCGCATAACCAAAAGCCATCTTTGGCAGTGGTTTGCAGAGGGCAGTTATGATAGCCTTTTGTCCAAGGACAAGCTTTTTCTATAAAACACCAGAAAGCAGATGTTTTAGGCTACAGATTATACAGTCTCTGTGGCAACCACCAACAATATGCAAATGAATGGGCATGGCTATGTTTTCTTTCCAAAAACAGATAGCAGGCCAGATTTGACCAGGGGGCAGTTTGCTGACCTCTGGTTTAGTTTATCAAAAACTAGATGCAACCTTAAGAAGTAGAAAAAGAGCCCGTGAGGGATACCGAGCAGGTAAGGTTAGCTGAGAGGATAAGGATAATGCAGGAGAGCGCCCCAACGTGACCTGGCCGTGCAGAGTCTGGCCCAGGTGGTGCAGGTGGGCCACGGGGCAGGAGATCCCCCGCGGACACCTGACACCAACTCTGCCCTTTCACAGTTGTACCTCAGGGCAGCCTGGGGTTAGGAATTGTCCTTTTTTTTCCCCCCCCAAGAAGTAGTTGGGTTTTTTTTAAGGACATCTCATCTTGGTTTGTACTTTGTAACTACAGCCAAGATTATCTTTTTGTCTTGTTTTATGCTCTCCACCTTCCAAGCCATAGGCAGGTTAGACTGTCACTTAAAGAACTCCTGGCTTGATTAACTTATTCATCCCTCCCCCCACCCCTGGACATTCGGAATCCTGGGAGCTGGCTACAGTTACACATTAGTCAGGGCATAGCTTTACCTGCCTGACCCGCTGGATTAGAAATGTGGGGTTACATGAAGGGAGTTACCTGCGAGGCCTAATGGCCCATTTGATCCACAGAATGGACACTCAGATGGGCTAGGACATGTACACTTAGCATCCTTGTTCTGAGGGTTCTACGTGCTGAGAAGAAAGTTGCTACTAAATTTTCAAGCCCTCTGCTCTGGGGCACACTTGTTCATTCTATGTCAGATCCAAGTGGGAGAATAAAATAGGAATTAGTTCTCTCAAGTTTCTTTTCGACTTCTCTCTTCACTCCCAAAACCTTTGCTTTTTTTCCTTTGCTGTGTTTGACCTGCTGCAATGCGAACTTCCTTTCACCTTTGAAGGAAAGAACATTTAAAGATAAAAGGAAAATTAACATGGAATCTGAAAATAGAATAACTATCGATATCAGAATCTTAACAGCTGGTCTCTGTAAACAGAAACTCATCGAGTGCCTGCTGTGTGCTAGGCTATGGGCTGTGTTGACCTGGTTCCTGTCCCAAGGCAGTGTACGGTCCATTTGCAGCGCTAACCAAACAGTCAACAACAGAGTGACAAATGCCCAGTCTGGGGGCGTGGAGTCCGGAAAGGCCCGAAGAGCTGCGTCAGAGGCCCTTCACCCCCTCCCCCGACAAGTGCCCACCACAGCGGCATCTGCTGAGAACACTGAGGGAAAGTGGGGGGCCTGCGCCGCCCTGTGCTTGCTGGGAGGAGGTCGGAGGAAACTGACAGTGGCCTTTTTCCTTTAGATCCTAGACGCCTTGGGCCTGGGCACCTCTGGACTGCCCATCCCGCCTCCTGTCTTGTTCTCAGTCATCTCCTACCCTGTGAAGCGGCTGCCCCTGGCCTTAACGGAAACCCTGGAGCACTTTGTGTTTGTGACTCCGCCATCCGAAGAGCTCTCCCTGATGGAGGACAGAAGAGACGAGTCAGAAGAAGATCTTTTGAACACCACCACCGCAAGCTCTCTGAAGGTAAAGAGTGAGCAGCTCGTCCTGACCTTAGTGGGACATCAGATAGGTGGGGGGAGAGCGTCTCCCTCCACACGGCCGAACATTGAGTGTGGTGCTGGGTGTCACATTCGTTCAGGTGCTTGCCCTCCCCTCGCTGGGGGTCCTGCCTGAGCACCCTGCACCAGCCTCCCCAAGCGGCACCTTCCCCAGCTCCTACTTTTCCTACTTCCCAAGAGGAAACCAGAGTGACCGCTTCTCATCTTCCACCTTTACCAGTCCCCATGGGAATGGTCTAGAGAACTTGTCAAATTACTCTGAAGCTCATCTGTGAGAAGAAAAATAAGCAAAACTAGCTCTTCCAAAAAGGTAGTATAATGTATGTGTGAAGCTGAGTAATTTACACAGCGCATAAGAATACGAGAGTCAGCAGGCACAGGCTGAGGGAACACACACCCCGAGAGAAAGGACAGACTATGGGAGAAATTGTGACGGGAACATTGGGTCCTTCAGGTAGTCCTTTTGTATCTCTCCACCTGACACAATGCAGTAAAATCAATGCCAGCTGCATTAAAAATATAAGCAATCGAAATCATGTAAAAGCAGAAGAAAACATATAGACAATTACTAGAATAAACTACAAAAGAAAAGTAGATTAAAAATTATAGAGGAGCTTTTTATTCCCAGAAGAATATGGTGGCCCAAAATTTGAATCTCTCCACATGGCCACCTACAAACTGTGCATATCAGCGAAGAATGAATAAAACCAGCAGCAAATACAATCACCTGCAGACGCCGCCTGCAGCTCAGTTAGGTGACAAGGAATGCCCCGACTGTCAGTGTACAAGCAAGCAGGAAATCATCCTCTCAGTAAGCAGCCTCTGTGGGCAGGCCTCACTAGAGCAGAGCCCAAATGAAAAAGATAAAAAAGAAACAAATTCCAACATCAGAGGTGACTGCTACTCTTTTCTGAAAATTGGCCAGTACCAGGAAAGAGTTAAGCATTCTCTTTTTTTTTCTCTAACCATTTTAGGAGGAATTCTAGTTTACCCCAGTTGATGAAGGAAAAGCTCTTAGTTTGAAAAGAATGACAGCTGAAATTATAGAAAGAATGGTAGAATTAGAAAAAATATTGTTCTCTTATCCCCCGTGGGGCGGGAAGTGATTAAGGAGTGCTGATGGATACAAAAAGCAGTGGTTTGGTGGGGAACCAGACACTCACTGGAGCTGGAGCATCACCCTCAGGCAGGCAACCAGCCCGCTGAGCAGGGAGGAGTCTACTTCAGCTGGCCACGCCTGGGGGGCACCGCTTCAGCCACTCCAGCACACTTTGTATCTGTATTCACGGGCCAGCCTGACACTCTTCGTCCCCCATTGTGGTGGAGTGTGTTGTACATAGCATCCTCTGTAAATCTAACCAAGCTTTTAAGCCTGATTTTCAGTTTATGGGAAATACAAGGAATAGAGGAGTAAGTTAGGTGTCACTCTGAGAATGGTCAGAAAATTTCAGACTATGCAATACTCTATAAGAAAACAAAACTCATCTCTCCAAAAGGTATGATTGGGAGGGGGTGTGCCCCACACCCCACTACATCAGGGGTGTCAAACTCATTTTCACCGGGGCCACACCAGCCTTGAGGTTGCCTTCAAAGGACCGAATGTCATTTTAGGACTGTGTAAATGTAACTACTCCTTAGGGGCAAGGAGCTCCGCGCTGCTGCTGCTGGGTAGAAACAAGGTAGAGGGCCAGAATCGGCCTGCGGACCTTGTGTTTGCCACCTGTGGTCTCCATTAACAGATGCTGAAGAAGCACAACAACAAAATGCAAGATAGGAACACAGTCCCTGCCAGCATCAAGCTTTCTTGAAGATCTTAGCCTCCTTCTCAGGGAATGGGGTGCCAAGGAAAGCTCTAGACTTCTACTTGCTTCCCTTCTACTCCAGTGCAGGAGGCTAGGCCCTACTTGGCCCTAGGCAGCTGCTGACACCCCAAGCCTGTGGCGGGGTCTCCCTGAACTGCAGATGCGTTGTAGGCATCCCTGTCTTCTGTTCACGTGTTTATAAGATGAGTATTTCAGACCTTGTGCTCCTCTTTCATTGAAACCCAGGAGGAGCTGACCGTGTTATCTAAGGGGAGCAAACAGAAACTGAAAGAAAAACTAGAACAGGTTCGAGAGACTCCAAAGGACAAACGCCCCGTGGCCGGCAACAGGAAGAGCGTTTCTTCAGGAACTTCTGGAGCCATTGCCTCACCGTCAGAACTAGACTCCGACAACTTGTCTGAGCAGCTCTCCCAGGAGAAATTCATCAGGTGGGCCTCCGGTCAGCCCCGGGAGGGAGACGCCGAGGCCCCACACTGAGGGCGCAGCTGTCACGGCAGCACATGGGAACAGGGCTGTTCCGCCTGGGGTCCTACAGACCGCCGCGCCTGACCCTAGCAGGGTAGGACTCCCCCCAGGCAGCAAGCCTGTCTTCTCTTGGCCCAAAGGAAGCATTCTCGCTTGAGAAGCCCCTGTGGTCATTTGCAGGCTGAATTATTTCCGGTGGATCGTGCCACCCAATGGCGAGGTGACACTGCGAGTGCAGTTCTCGGCCAGCGATCTCGGGAACTTCGACCAGACGTTCAACTTCGAGATCCTTGGGACGTGCCGCCAGTACCAGTTGTATTGCCGGGGCGTCTGCACTTTCCCGTATATCTGCCAAGACCCAAAGTAAGTGCTTTTCATTTTGAAAGTAAAGGTTGACAAACACATTTTAGCTCCCCCGCACCATGCTGTTTTGAACATGGTGGTTCTTAATGCTAACGTGGGTCAGGGACAGCCTCCCCCGACCCCCCTGTGCTGGGCGCCGGCGTCTCGAACACTGGCCGAGTCACAGGGATGACGTGATACCACGAGACTGAGATGGAGTTTGTACTTGGCAAGTTAGTTTGTCTACTCAACCATCACACAAACTTAAACAGATTTTATATTTACCATAGGACCCTTTGTGCGACAATATGAATGTATATGTGAATGTCCACAGGTGAGCTGTTTTCTGAGCTACCGAGCACCTTTGTGCCCCCTGGGCACCACATGAAGGCACCTGGCTGAACAATCTGGTGGGCAAGCCCCCTCCCCCCACCCCAGGGAAGGGACTTTTTACAGCTTTTCTGCCAAGAAGAGCTCTTTTGCAATTCTAAGGAGTCACATTGGATAAGGAACTCAGAAACTAGTTAATATCTACCAGAACTAGTTTTCCATAGGCATTCTTGGGAATTTTACTAGCTGGACACATGAGAACAGAAAATTCAACTCAGCTCTACCATCAGCCCTTCATTACGAAAGACAAGAGTGGCATCTTTTTCTCAAGTTCAAACTGTACTATTTTCACTCAGGGCCAGGGGGAGGGAAGGAGCAGGAATAAAGCCTCAACAAAGGTCTTCAAAATAAGAGTCATTTTGTCTCTAGGCACCTGGATGCTTTGCTGAATAGGGAGTGTTGGGTTCGTGTAAACATCAAATGTTGGCACTGAACTTCTCTTCAGGCAGCCTCTCCTCTTCCTTTCCTCCCCTGTGTTCAGAGTGGTATTCCCGTACCGAAAGGTGGACATGAAAGCAGATGAGATCATCTTTAAGAAGTATGTTGCGAGCATGGAGAGGTTTTACTTCGGGCCACTGCTCTGTGGAAAATCAAGAGATAAGTAAGTGTTCTGTTATCTCAAAGCAGGTTTTAGACCCCTGGGTTGGGCTCATGAATGGCACCAGCAGAGTTTCTATGTAGACATAGCTTTTATTACTGTTGCCTCACTCCCTGAACCTCAAATTAGGAGAACTGGATTCTTTTTTTTTTTTTTAATCCTCATCCAGGGACATGCTTATTGATTTTAGAGAGAGAAGGGAGGGCAAGAGAAAAGGAGAGAAACATGGATGCAAGGAAGAACTATCTATTGGTTGCCTCCTGCACATGCCCCAACTGGCACTAAACCCACAACCCAGACATGTGCCCTGACCAAGAATCAAACCTGCGACCCACTGGTTCATGGGACAACACTCCAACCCACGGAGCCACACCAGCCAGGGCAAGAACTGGATTCTTGTACCCCAGGTTTCTGCTAAACACCCAGATGAGTGGGGGTGCCACTTTCCCAGATGGAAAGTCTGGAAGAGGGTTAGGTTTTGCTGGGGAAGGATAGGACCAGGAGTTCACTTTGGAATATGTTAAGTTTGAGAGGCTTAGAAGATATACCTACTAGCCACATAAAGCAGGCAATAGGCTACAAAGTTTTGGTTCTCAGAGGAGAGGGGCCTGTCTTCAAGACAACAAAAGCTATGGGCATGGATAAGATTGCCTAAGAAGACAGGATACAGTAAGGAGAGAAGGACCAGAAATAGAGCCCTGAAGAATTTGACCACTCATAAGGGTTGAAGCCAGGCTCCAGCTGGTGTGGCTCAGTGGATTGAGTGCAGGCCTACGAACCAATGGGTCGCCGGTTTGATTCCCAGTCAGGGCACGTGCCTGGGTTGCAGGCCAGGTCTCCAGTTGGGGGCACTCGAGAGGCAACCACATATTGATGTTTCTCTCCCTCTCTTTCTCCCTCCCTTCCACTCTCTCAAATAAATAAATAAAATCTTAAAAAGAAAAAGAAAAAAGAATTGAAGCCAGCAGGGGAGATGAGAAAGAGGGTCAGAGCTATTGGTGGAAACCAGAAAAGGGTGTTGTTGTGGAGCCACAAGAAGAGGGTGTAGTCAGCTACTGACCACAGTTGAATGCTGTAAAGATGATAAAGAGATGAAGACCTCAATGTCCATAGGGTCCAACACCATGGAGGTCACTAGGGGCCTTAGCAAGAGCCCTTTTAGGGGAAATTCTGAGAAGTAGCCTGGGTGCACAGACTTGAGGAATCAGTAGGAGGTGAGAAAATGAAGGCTGGGTGTGAAGATAGCTCACTGGGAAACCTCGGCTGTGAAGGGAGTTGGAGAGAGTTGAGAGTGGGAGGGAAACACGGAGTCCAGGGAAGGCTGTTCATACAGTGTTGTTCTCACAATGTTCGGAGGCCAAGGGGAAGTAGGGAGGGGGAGACTGGAGTTTAAGGGGAAAGTACGGCCCATCAGTTCCCTGAGACAACACAGCCGAATGTGTAGATGTCGGCTTTTGCCAGGAAGAGGGCCCATCATCTCATACGAGGAGGGACAAAGGTAAGAGAGCTTCAGGTGCAGGTATGTGTACAGGTTTGGTTGGAACTGTGAGAAGGTCCCCGTGCCACTGTGTGTTTTCTCCATGGAGAGCGATGCTAGGAATCCCCCAACAGTGAGGGAAGTGAAGGGAAATTTAAAATGGTAAGAAATGGAGAAGGTGTGAAACCCTTTTTACGGAGCGTGGGAGAGGGACAATGTTAGAGAAATAGGTCAAGATTACCAGGCAAAAGGGAAGGCTCAGGTGAGGCAGATGATTTTCAGTGATCCTAGTCTCTTCCGTTACATACAAATTTCTTATGTAGGCAGGGAGGTGAGACACAAACTAGAACCGAGGTCTCAACGTGTCAGCACTCAATTTCGCATGTACCGTGATAAGTAGAGAGGGTTTATTTCTCTGCTTACTTGGAAGAACTAATGAGTCATCTTTCTTTCTCCTTTCCCTTAATACCTCCAATCTGTTTTCTGTGCTGTTGGACTAGAAAGCGAAGGTGGAGAGGGATATGGGTCAGGTTGATGGACATGAGGTACAGAGAGGCCTGGGGGTGGGAGTCGAGTGAAAGATGGTCATTCAGAGAGGCATGTGTTCAAGACAGCACTGGAATTACCCAGCATTTGGGGCCGAACAGCACTGGTCCAGGAGGAGGACAATTACAGTGGCCCAGAAACAAGAACCAGTGCAACTAGGTGTAATGCATTCCAGTCTTTAAAACCTTACTGAGCCATAGCGTGCTAATCTGCAAAGTGGGAAAATAGTAGCACCCATCTCACAGATTTGTGAAAAGTGCACTGGATAACGCACAGGAAACTTTTAGCACAGTGTCGGGGTGTAGATATGAAGGCCACCACCCCTTTGGCAGTCAGTCACACAGCGCGCCCTGTCTCTCTGACTCTGATTTAGTCTCTGCCATGTACTCTCCTCCCTTCCCCATCAGAGCCTGTCCAGAAAGCTTTTCGGACTGTTTCTGGGCACCAGTGGGTACTATGGCACCTTACTCTCCTGACCTATGCTATGATCTCTGAAGATGTGCGTCTTCACCAGCATTTCTTGTGCTTTCCATGGTTCCTTTCTTATTTGGTACCATTAACTGAGCAGCTTTTAGTGCCCAGGCTGCTTGACTCTGTGTCTCTCTCCCTAAGGTACCAGGAAACAGCCTTGTAACAGGAAACTATGCCAAACGAATCCATGGAGGAACAGTAACTTCCCATGTGGGTGTAGGAGGCAGTGAATGAGGTCATCTCTAAGACAGATGTGAAATAAATTACCCAGATGATCGTCTCCTCTGAGAATATAAGCATTGGGAATGATAGAGCTGTGTAATTCTCAGAACTCTTTGCAATAATAACTTCCATTTGTTGGACATTTGATACCTGCAGCTGTCTTAAGAACAATGGGTGCACTATTTCATTTAATGTCCACAGAAATCCTAAGGGGTTCATCATCCTGTTTCGGAGATGAGGAGGCCAAGGTCTGGGGCCGGGCAGAGCAGCAAGCCTTTGCAACTTCAAAGCTTGTGTTGTCAGCCACCGTGCCTCTGCCGCAGTGTGACCGCACTGTCGTTTGGAATCATCTTGAACTTCACAGTTTCCTTTTCCGCCTGAGCTCTTAGTCAGTCCTCACATGCACACCCATAATTTATGGCTGAATTTTGTTCATTTCCAGGTACAAGTCCTCCACGTTCCCGGGCAACATGGTGACACTGACAATCCTGAACAATTCCCCAATGGTCGCAGAGCTGTTCTTCTGTTTCCAGCACGATATCAAAGCAAACACCTACTTTCTGGAACCCGTGAACATGATTCTAAAACCTGGTGAAAAGCAGGTACAGCCCCATGGGAACCAGTCCACCACGGCAAGGCTTTCTCGGGAGATTTGAGGCCTCGGCGTCCTCAGTGTAAATGCACTTTGTCTTGACTCTTCCACTAGGAACTGACTGTGTGGGCCTACCCCACTGCAGTTGGTGTCTTTGAAGACAGCATTGTCTGCTGCATCAAGGACAACCCAGAGCCAGCCATCTTCAAATTAAGCTGCCAGGGAGTCCGCCCAGAACTGGAAGTGGAGCCCAGGCAGTTGCATTTCGAACGGCTTCTGCTGCACAGGTCAGGTTCTCGATGACACCAGCACTGGAAGGGACTTTAAAGAATACTTTGTTCTAGGCTGACCAACTCCTCCTGACTTACTCAGGGCTGCATTAGGTCCCGTGTTATGGGAAACGTCTGGTCCTGTGCAAATCGGGATGGTTAGTGACCCTGCTGGGTGCATGTGGGTTCAGCGGCTGGACTTCAGCAGGGTCCATGCTCCCCCGCCCCCAGTCAGCTGCCAAAGTGGGTGCATGTTTGTTTTTCTCTCAGAAGGAGGACTAGCTTCTTCCAGATTCTCAGAGCCGTCCACTACCCTAAAAGGTTAAGAATCTTTAGCCTAGAAATTAGAGTATAAACAGAAAACACTAGACCAAAACCAGAACTTACCATATTTTACCATTTATAATACGTACTTTTTTGCCCCAATTTTTGAGGGGGGGGAAAGGATGCGCATTATACATGGGTAGTGCCTGAAATACCTTGTATCTGTTCTTATGTTTTGTAATTATTTGTTACATAAAATTTTTTGTACTATAGGTTCAAAAATAAATGCTCAAATTTCTTTGTAATACAAAAACCAAGTATCTAAGTATAAATAAATAAAAAATTGAATTAAAACAAGAGATTTTTTTCCTGGAAGTTTGGACCAAAAACGTGGCTGCACACTGTATACAGGAGCACACGGCAAAAATACAGTAATATTTATTCACTGGAATCTATGACTCTGAATAAAGAACTTCTATTTCTGGGGATGCTGGGACAGAATATTGTTACAATATGGATCCTGCACTCTTTGATCAATACCATCAGGCCCATTCCCTGATGAATACAGATTAGTGAACTAAGTAATAGCTGAAATAACCACAAGTACATTTTCTAAACTGCCATAATAAATGAATGGACAAAATGTCTTTTGGTCTCTGCAGAAAAGAATCCAAAGTAGTTCTTCTCCGCAACGTCACAGCCCTGCCGGTGGCCTGGCGCATCACCAGCCTGGAGCACCTGGGGGAGGACTTCTCCGTGTCCATGATGCAGGGCACCATCCCCGCCAAGGCCGAGTACAGCCTGCAACTGCACTTCCAGCCCTCCAAACCCATCACCATGAAGAAGGCGATTCGGTTAGAGGTGAGGCTTCACCCATCTTCAGACTTGGTCATCAAAGTGTGTACACATTGGGAGTCTGACACACACACACACACACACACTACCACACACAGAGGCTACCAACACATACACTATACACATTACACATACCACACGCAGACGCATACCACCAACACACACACACACACACACACACACACACACACATACACACAGCCAGGTCTTCCTGTTACATGCTCCCATCTAGTCCCCATCTGACAACCCCCAACCCACAATACGTTGCTCTGCACACACTGGAAGCTCCCTAAAGGCAGTCTCATTTATAGCTGGTTTCCTAGTGCTAAGAACAGAGAACTCAATCAACACAGAGTGAACAAGAAAGTGAATGAATGAATGAATGAATGAATGAATGGTGTTGCTATCCCAGGTGAGCATCAGATTCCTGATTTCACTCCCCAAACTCAGTCACTCCTCAGATTCCTAGCTCAGGAAATGTCACCCTCCACCCAGCTACTCCCGCAGATTCCTAAGAATCACCCTCGATTCCCCACTTTTCCTGACGGCCTCCCCTCCACCCTCATCCTCCAACACGCCTTGTCAACCCCGTCTCCCAGCGTGTCTCTGCCCATGCACTTCTCTGTCTACACTGCCCCTGCCACCCTCGCCCAGGCCTCCTGCTTGTCTCTCACCTGGACTTCTGCAGAGGCTTCCTAACTGGTTTCCCTCTCCACATTCCCCAAAAGTGTCCAGAGAAATCGTGAATATACTAGCCATTCTCTGTCCTAACGTGCTCTGCTGGCTTCCAGCTGCAGTGGGCATGAAGCCCGGGGTCCTCACCTGCTTCCAGCTGCAGTGGGCATGAAGCCCGGGGTCCTCACCTGCTTCCAGCTGCAGTGGGCATGAAGCCCGGGGTCCTCACCTGCTTCCAGCTGCAGTGGGCATGAAGCCCGGGGTCCTCACCTGCTTCTAGCTGCAGTGGGCATGAAGCCTGGGGTCCTCACCTGCTTCAGAAGCCCTGCCTGCCTCTGTGTCTGCATCTCACTCCACCCCAGCTCTCACCCACTGGCCCTGTCACATGGTCTCTCAGCGTTTCCCATAGACCCTGGGGGGGAGTTGGCTTCTGCGCTAGGGTCCACTAAACAGCACTGCCTCAACAGGGCTCCTTCAATCATCCCACCAACGGAATTTCCTGTTTGTGCAACGACTCACACTGTCTTCTGTCCTTCAAAGACCTACCCTTTTCTGATGTTATCCCATTTCTTTCTCTCTTTTTTAAGGTTTTATTTATTTATTTTTAGAGAGAGGGGAAAGGAGGGAGAAAGAGAGGGAGAAAAACATGGATGTGTTAGAAATACATCGATTAGTTGCCTCTCGCACACCCTCAACTGCAAACCTGGCCTACAACCCAGGCATGTATCTTGACCGGGAATTGAACCAGCAACATTTTGGTTCACAGGCTGACATTCAGTCCACTGAGCCACACCAGCCAGGGCTCCCCAATCTCTTTCTTTACTTTCTTATGTGAACTCTGTTAGGACAAGATCTCTCCTGACTTGTTTATTCATCTGTATTGGTTTCCTAGGGCAAACTGAGTGGCTTAAAAACAACAGAAAGTTAGTTCTGGAGGCCAGAAGTCTGACATAGTGTGGTCTGCAGAGCTATGCTCCATCTGAAGGCCCTAGGCAAGAATCCTGCCTGGGCTCTTCCACATTCTGGGGCCTCAAGCTGTTCCTGGGACTGGTGGCTGCATCACTGCAATCTCTGCCTCCACATTCCCACAGCCTCTCCTCTGCCGTGTCCTCTCCTTTTCTGTCTCTTATAAAGACACTTCTCATTGGATTTAGGGCCCACCCACATAATCCAGGATGATCTCATCTTGAGAGCTTTAACTTAATTACATCTGCAAAGACTCACTCTTTTTTCCAAGTAAAGTCACATTCACAGATATCAAGGATTCAGACCTGGACGTACCTTTTTAGGCCACCATTCAGCCCACTGGTCCAACCTATCCCTGGTGTCTAGCACAGGCCTGAGTGTACGGGGCACTCAGTAAATCTGTCTGTCGGATGAAGGAATAAACAAATGTCATGGGGTTGCAATGCTTGAGTCACTTCTGCAACAGTCAAGTTCGTGCAAACTTCCCCCAGGATACCTCCAGGGACGAAAGCCCTACCAGCATTCAAGGAGCCTGATCTTCCTTCGAACAGGTCTGACTGTTCATTCTTCCTTGGGTTGAGTTCAAATTTCTTCCTGTAATGTGTAGAAATAAATCCTGTTTCTACCTTCTGGAGATAGTCAATGGATCTAATCTCTCTTATTATCTACCCAGGACAGTCCTTCAAATCGCTGATAATACGTATTGACAGATTTATCAGTCCACAAATGTGTAAGGTCCCAGAGTTGATAGTCAGCATTTCTAACACCCGTCTCCACACAGCCACAGATCCCTGCACAGTGGACCAGGCCATGTGGCCAGTGGAGGCCTCATCCTGCAGCTGCTGCATCCTGGGAAGTCTGGGATTCCCAGGGTGGGGGTGAGGGGACACAGGGATACTCTGAGAGGTCACCGTGACAGCTGTTTCCTAGCTGGCAGGGAAACATTTCTGTATTTTAACAACTGAAGTGGCATCCCTGTGTGTTCTGGCCAAAGCAGGCACAGTGGGTCTCCCCTCAGCCTCCCCAGGGTGATCTAAGACTTCTCTCCCCAGATTATATTCCTTCAACATCTACATGAGGAAATGCCTTGTCTGGTGAACTCATTTTTTCAAATTTGTGTATCTCCCTGTTTTCCTCACTTACAAAATGTATCTCCACTACCACCACCACCACCACTACCACCACTAGTGGGGAAGCGAAGGAAATAAAAAACGCTCTGGGTACTTGGCATCTATTAGTAGAAAAGTAGTATTTAAATTCCAGAGCTCATAATTCAAGTTCTTCTATTTTTACCTCCTGCTCTTGGCCCTTCTTGTCATCTCTGTCAGAAGGTGGGCAGCAAAAGAAACATGGTAAAACTGAAGTTGATTCCATTTTTTCCACGAGGCATTGGTGAAATGCTTGGTGAAAGAAAAGATAGAAACTCTAGTTAAAACTTGAGTTTGGTGACATTTACAGATTTCCCTCTTGGCAACCAGAGCACAAATAATAAGGAACGGTGATTTAACTATGCAACTTGAGGCTTCAGGAGAGAGGCAGGTGGTCTCCAGACATACGCAGGAGAGCCGTACTCACTGCCCAATGGCCCTTCACCTTGACAGATGGACCCTGTATTGTCCCCCCTTCCCCATTAGCCTCAGAAGTCAAGGATCGGGTCCAGCTGACAGCTGATACCAGTTTCTCGGGACAGTGAGGGAAGAACTACCACCAGGGATGACAGCAGAGGGGGACAGTGAGCAAGTGGAGGCTTGGCGCGGTTCTTGCTTTTTTTTTTTTTTAACACTTCCAACTTTAATAGTAGTAATGTTCATGTAAATAAAGCATTTGAAATTTCCAAAAGAAAAACATTAAACATCTATTTTATATGAAAAATCTAGTCTTTTCCCCACATATTGAACTAGAAACAAAGTCCAGAACAATTCAGATTTATAAAATTAGTAGATCCCTGGCTGGTGTAGCTCGGTTGGTTGGAACATCATCCCACAGAGCAAAAGGTTGCTGGTTCAATTCCCAGTCAGAGTACATGCCTGGGTTGCCAGTTCAGTCCCAGGTCAGGGTGAGTACAAGAGGCAACCAATTGATGTTTCTCTTTAACATCAACGTTTCTCTATCTCTCTTCTTCCCTCCTTCCCCTCTCTCTAAAAATTAAATCAATAAATAAAAATTTTAAAAATTAGTAGAGCAAGGATGATTAAAAATATACAAGTTTTCCATTTCTGCCATCAGAAGAATTTTTATGTTTATTTTATTTAAAAGTTCTAAAGAACACTTTTCTGTAATGTATACTTGTAGACCAAACTTCAACAACCATGAAAATAATTGAAACCCAGTAACTGGATAAGATAGAAAATGCGGCCTCTTCTCCCCATTCTTATATTGACGGTCTACTCCAGCATCCCCCAAAGGCTGTTATGAAGAACACTAATCCTGCCAAATGCTTAGTGAAGACAAAAGTTAAATACATTTGGAAAATATCCCTCTGACACCGCATGGAAACACTGTGTGTTGTGTAGTTGAGGCTCTGCACACCTGGCGGGCCCTGCTTCTACTGAAGACTCTCCCCCCGACAGGTGTTGGACACGGACAACCTCGTGGGCGTTGTTCAAATCGAAAACATCCTGATCCTTGCAGAATCATATGACATCGCCTTGGACATCACTTTCCCCAAAGGTCTGTGGGCCCCTTCTCAGAGAGGGTGTTTAGAAGTCACAGCTTTTAGTGCAGTGTAGCTCTTGTGAAGGGAAAGTCTCAGGGATGACCAGCCCTCGGCCCAACGCAAAATTGTAGATGTACTTAAAACCTTCTTTTTTGCTGATTGGTTTTCTTTACCATTTGTGTATTTAATTGGGTGGCCCAGATACTTCTTCTTCTTCCAGTGTGGCCCTGAGACACCAAAAGGTTGGACACCCATGGAGGGATTTGGGGGGGAGGGGTAGAATTTCAGTAAATAATAACGCAAGCCCCAGCGTGGTGTTAACCACATTACTATGAATCTCCATTTCTCCAGCTGGAAAGGACAGCAGGGAGGGGTGATGAATGTAAAATTTGCAGCGCTCTTTTCTGACCCGTCACCTGAGAGTGAGCACCTGTCCTCCTGCCTGTGTTTGTTGTTTCCTAAAACGGCTATAACAAATCGCCACAAACTTCGTGGCTTAAAACAATGGAAACTTACTGTCTTACAGTTCTACAGATCAGACATCCAAACTGGGTGTGACTGGACTACAGTCGAGGTGTTGGCAGGGCTGTATTCCTTCCCGGAAACTCTGGGCTGGAATCCATTTCCTCGCCTTTTCCAGCTTCTAGAAGCTACCCACATTCCTTGGGTCATGTCCCTCCACCTTCAAAACCAGGGATGTTGGGTCAAGCCCTTCCCTGGTTCTCCCTCTTTTGTCCCCCTCTTTTATTTTTAAGGATCCTTAAGATTACACTCAGCAATTCAGAGAGTCCAGGATAATCGCTTTATGTTAAAGTCAGATGATAAACAACCTTAGTTCCCCACTGCCAGGCAAACTAGCATACTCACAGGTTCCAGGAACTGGCGTGCGCCTATCCTTGGGGAGGGTGGTGCTATCCTGCCCACCGCACTGCCCTGTCACCCAGGTTAGATCCCTCCCTCGAACATGCGCTTTGCCATCATCCCTCCTCTCTCTGAGAGACATCCTTCTCAGCAAGACTCACGGGCTGTTAGAGCTAATGTTTGCCCAGATATCATCAGTGCTATGTACAGAGATATTTATTACAGCATTATTTATAGTAATGGAAGATTGGAAATCGCCTAAATGTCTATCAATAATGGAATATTATTATTGTAGAAATAACATTATGAATGATGGGACAGCCACATCGTGATATATTCTGCAACCATTAAGATCACATTGATGAGTTTTTAATTATGTGTGGAAGTACTTATGAGGTAATCCTAAGTGAAGCAATACAAAATTTATATGTAATATCCCAACTCTGTATAGTACACACTTGGTCTGGATTTTTTTTTAAATACTGAAAATTTTAGGTCCCGGGGTGGAAGCCAGAGGGGGCTGCCCTGTTGAACTGGGTGCCAGAGCGGTGTCTGTTGTTTGCTAAGACAGAAGAACAACAGGTTGTTCTAGCCGCAGTGTTTTCAGAAAACAAATTCTCTGAGGCTGTAATCATGGATTTTCCATGTGAACTTCAATAGGAAATTCCCCTGCTTCTCACTCCCGTGTCCACTCACCCCTCCCCACCCCGGCCCCCGGCCGCTGCAGGAGCTGAAGGAGGCCTCGATTTTGGGATTGTGAGGGTCTTGGAGGAGGTGAAGCAGCCCCTGCAACTGAAGAACCGTGGGAAATACGAAATCATGTTCAGGTAACCTGGACACCATCGGGCATGTGTTTGTCTGCGTCCACTCATGGGGAGAAGAGTCTGTCTGGGAGATTAAAAAAAAAAAAAAAAAAACATTGAGGAAATCCTAAGACCCATCTCCGTTTTTAGCCTCTCCTGGTTTCAGCGAATGGAATTCCAGCTGCCAAGAGAGTAGAGATTCTCACACTGCCCCCAACTCTGTGACTTTGTAGAGACCTTTTCGGGCCCTCTGCGTGCGCCTGGAGCCGCAGGGGCCTGGGGTGGGAAAGAGCCCGAGATGGAGAGGTTGTGAGGAGGAGATACGGGGTGAGGGGGCCCTGGGGTGGAGGGAGAGACCGAACGTGGGGGACCTGGCCTCAAGCTGCCCTGCCCCCCTTTCGGCTTCTCTGTGTCATAAGTTGGCATTCTGCGTAAGAGTTCATGTGAAGAAGAGATGTTCCAGTTTTCTTGTTTAACTTTAAGAACCACTGTATCATACATTCTAAATGGCAGCCTGGTGGCATGGAGGTCCAGCTCGTGCTCATCTCTTGTGATTAGAAATGAAACACTAAATAAGGGAGTTTCCTCAGAGAGGAAAGGGTGGTGCTGGGTGGAGAGAGGGAGGAGGTCACTCAGGTGGGGTCACAACCTTCAGTGGCAGTGCCAGCACCCATGACCAGTTTGTCCCTAGGAAAGATCATAACTTCCTCCAGAAGAATTCAGAGTTGATCAAGGCACATCCCCTCGCAGACTTGGAAGAAATTCAGTGTATTCATTCATGATAGTGTTCTTTCAGCTCAGAGAATGCTAAAGTTAGAGAGGTCCCACCTCCATAAGACCATTAGTTGGAATGGGGCATTGAAATAAATACAGATAAAAGCTTAACAAACCTAGAGGAAAGACACGGGCACTTAGGAATTAATGCCGAATGTAATTGCACCTGTTTATGAGCATCGTTTCAGATTATGGCAGGGTGTTAGCTCTGCTCTTTTAGGTCACAGGGAACAGAGTCACCCTTAGGTTGGAGCAAGTGATGAGGGGTTTCTGCAGGGAGGTAAGAAAGTGCAGGCACCCTTGCATGCAGCAATAGAGTGACCGGGTCTCCTGGGGCTTGGGGATGACACTTGGGTCCCCACAGCAACTCCAGGTGTCCCACCTCAGCTTAAGTTCCTCGCTCCTTCTCCAGTGCCCCTGCCATTCTCATGAGTCAGCTTATCTCTGTGGTATCTCACCTCACCCCTGCTGGGCCACGACCACCCTTCCCGCGTGCCTCTGTTGCATAGCCTCTGTCCCTGCTTTCTCTTCTGCCTTAAATCCCCTGTCTCTGCATCACTGTTCTCCTGTGTGTGCTGCATTCAGCCTCAGAGAGAGGAGGGAGGGAAGGAGAAAGGGAGGTGAATTAATGTTGTTGATCCTTATCTAGTATCAAGTGTCCCTGTTGGACAGGGATCTCCTGCAAGGGCACCACTTGACCACAGGCTGATGGCTGTCTTTGCCTCAAGCCTGGTCCATCCCTGGCCCGGTCAATCCTGTCTAAGAAGGGGTGGTCACACAGTACAATGCACAGTGAACACTGCTAGGCAGAGTAAACAGGGCCAGAGACATGGCACTTAACAGTCTAGAGCCTCCTCTCTAGTATCCCGAGTTCCCTGGATAATAATTTATACCGGCTTTTATTCTTGTCTTTCAGCTTCTCTGTGGACTCCATAGGGATTCCTGTGACCAATATAAATTCTATGATTTTATTCCAACCCAAGAAGGGTTCACTGTCCCCAACAGAAAAGCCCACAAATGTCCAGGTGTTCTTTCATTCAAAAAAGGAAGTGAAGATAGAGCACCAGCCAATCCTGCGCTGTCAGGTAAGAGAGCTCAAAGGGAGGATTCAGTGGCAGGGTTGCAGGACTCATTGAAAAGAAGAGTTCATGGGCCCTAGCCAGGTAGCTCAGTTGGCTAGAGAGTTGTCCTGACACGCCAAGATCATGGGTTCAATCCCCAGTCAGGGCATGTATAAGCGCCAACTAGTGAATGCATAAATAAGTGAAATAGCAAATTTTCTCTCTCTCTCTCTCTTTTTCCCCCGCCACCCCAAATCAATAAATTGAAAAAGAACAAGAGTCCATGGTCAAACTCACACTGCAACGGGGGAAGGGGAAGTTGGCCTAGGTGGCAACCAGAGAGGGTGTACCAGGGTTTGGTCCCCAGCTAGCAGACCCAGGAAGGTCAGCTGGGAGGTATACAAAGTCATCGGAAACTGAGAGCGCCAGAAAGGAAATGTGGACCCTGGTCTTTGGTGAGCACCTGAGACAAGGAAGCTGAATTCAGTCATCAAGTGCAAAGGAAGGGTGCAGCAGTGAAAACAGAAGGCAAAGTTGATCTGTGTCAGTGATTTTCAACTGGTGTGCCACAGCATACTGGTGTGCTGTAAGAATTTTTAAAACAGGCAGTAACTGACTATTTAGTCAGAGAAACTGACCTCTTTTCCCTTAGATCGTCAAATTAAAAAATGACAACAGCCAACACAATAGCCATTTGATATGGATGAATCAAAATTATACTTATTTTTTGAGAAATCGGCAAAAAATATTTTTGGTGTGCTGCAGAATTTTAGTAATTAGTTTATGTGTGCCATGAGATGAAAAAGGTCAAAAATTTGCTGGTCTGTGTTGGTCCATGATGAGTACATAGTACATTGTATGTTAGTATTCGCTAATATTGTTGATGCAATAATATAAAGAGAATGAAATGAACTTGGCTTCATGTCAATGATGAAAACAGGGAATGAATTAGACAGCCACTGGAATTCTGGAGCTATGCCGGTGCTGATGTCTTTCTAATCCTTCTTGCCTTTCTAGATCATTGAGCCCAATATTGCAGAAGGAGGTGAAATCATCGCCAGCATCCCAATTAAGTTTTCTGTGAATGCCGTGTTCTCTAAGTACAACATCACCCCCTCCTCCGTCATCAACTTCGGGGCTTTGATCTGCGGCACTCGCAAGAGCACCACCTTCACCATAGAAAATCAAGGTGTTACTGACTTCAGGTTTGGCCTTTATAGGACGACGGGGGTGAGCTCCATTCATCAAAAGAAAGTGTAAGACAAGTATTTGCTTAACTCACGCCATTCCCTGGTTAACTAGTGTGCTTTATACTGTACAAAGAGTTTCCATACATTTTATCTGAATTCACCAAATTCCCTGTTGTGTGGTGGATGAGGTCGTGAAGAAACGACTCATCCGAGATTGTGCAAGAAATCACCAGTAGATCTCAGTTCTGAACCTGCATCTCTGACTCCACATTTCACATACTATCTAATTAATTGAACTTTAACTAAGTAAAATTGTTTTATTAATTAAAAATTGACTTTCTAATAAATTGTTTTAAATCAGATAAAACAGCTTTACATTGTTTATAATTGTTTTATATTTTTGTGAATATCCTCTTTCATTTTGGCAAAGTTTCAATGTATCAAGAGATTTTTGGTTAAACTGTCTAAAGTCTCTTGTTTCCAAATTTAATTTCAATATAATTTTTATTTATTTTATAGTAATGTAGTAATGTTTACTTATAGGTAATATATCTGTGTCTTACTTTAAATTGTTTTAAATTTATTTTTCAATTTAGCACATACAAATTCATGCAACACACTCAAAAGAATATAGAACTTAAGTTGTTCTGGTCACTAAGCAAGTGAATGCTCAAATATATAAATCTCTCAAAAGTTTAAGATTGCACCTCAAATACATATGAATATTTTAGGGAAACTAACCTCTAGGCAAACTAATTATTGGGTAAACTAGCTTCAAGTGAAGTGGACAGTTACCCAAAACCTGTGTTTGTGCTATTGCTTAAACTAAGCCTCACAAACACCATGACTACAAATGTTAAGAAAAGGGACAGAATTTAATCCATTTGCCATTTCATTTTTTAAGTGAGATCGGCAAAAGATTTGATGTCTACAAATAATTTCTACACACTGCTTTCCAATGAACTCAAGTAAACATTTAAAAATTATTATTCCCTTGCAGTCATGTTCAGTGTCCTTATGAACCACACAATCCGTACAATTACTGCATCATTTTCTCACAATTGTTGAATGAGTTTAGCTAATGATGAATGCTGACTATGCTACCCTGGGGTCCTCTTGGGCAAAGAAGTATCATGCCTCATTCCTAGGGGAAGGTACCTTTCAAGCAGACCGACAGGTGGTGTTTAATGTCCCACCCCAATGTAAGGGTGTACTTACTCTTGCTTCTTTCACCAGAGCCAGCCATATTAGGCATGCAAGGTCCCGGGAAAGCGAGAACTTCTACAAGGCTGGCTCTTCAAAAATAACCAAGTTCTCCGAGTCTGTTCAGAAAGAACTAAACATCTCTAACCAGGTAAGCGCCCTTTCCCTTGTTCACAGAAACCCTGTAAGGCCACCTTCCAACTAGTTCTTGCAGCATTACCTTCACAGAATAGCAGGATTTGAATCTACTATGGTGGGAATATTAAGTAGTGTATTGAAATATCACTTTTAAGACTTTTAATTTGGTTATCCTATTTTGCTTTACAACTTTCATTGGCTCCTCACTGCCTTAAAATTAGATTTCAGCTCTTTATATATTCTAATTAACAACCTTTTGTTTATAAGAAACAGAAGGTCATTTAGATTGGCTTAAATAAAAGGAGATGTGGAGACTTCTGCTTCTGGTAAGATGGAGTAGATACATTTTTTCCTATTCTTCCCAACCAAATACAACTAAAAACCCTAGACATTATGCATAAAACAGATGGAGAGAAAAACAATCAGACCAAGTAGGGTCCTTAGGACCCAGTGAACAGCACGGTGGTGAGTTCCCTGAGTTTTCTTTTTGCCTCATCTATCTCATCTGGGCACTGAAGGAACCAGCAGCCCAGAAACATCACCAGGCAGACACCCAGAAAAGGTCCCAATGGAAGCCTGCTCCCTCTAGCCAAAGGACCAGGAATAGAGCAGCCTAGCAAGACAGAAAATTTCAGAAAAAAAAAACTGTTCTAGTATGGTTGAACATGACAGAAAATCTATGATCCTACCCCACCAGTGCTAGCAAAGGACAGCGGGAAGACTTTCGCCCTATCCAGGCTCTAATGAGATATCCCAGCCCCTGCCAGAGTGGTGTCCCGAGAACTCCGAGTGGGTAGCCAGGGGTTTATTAGCTCCCACCGCCTCCACCGTGGTTAGTGCAGACACCACATGGGAGCCTTGATTTTCACCCAACCCAGTGGTAATGAGATGTTCCTCCGCTGCACCCCGCCCTGTCACCCAGGGGACCTCCCTACCCCATGACATCAACAGGACAGTAAGGAAGCTCTCCTCCCCTCCTTGCCAGGGAGGTATCAGCTGAGGACTAGTGGGGAGCCGGCGCTCCCACCCTGATCTGGCAGTGATGAGAAGTCTGAGCGGGGAATCTGGACCACCACCCCTGCCTGGAGGTCATGAGACAGTGTCCCCGCCCCCTCCCCCCGACAGAGTGGTGTCAGAGAAAGCCAGTCAACGAGAAGGTTTAAATAAGATCCAGGGTCTCATAATACAACACTCAAAATGTCCAGGTTTCAACTGAAAATTGCTCATCACCCCAAGAACCAGGAAGATCTCAAACTGAATGCAAAGAGACAATCAATAGATGCCAACACTGAGATGACAGGGGTGGAAGGGCTGGCAGGGATGGCGGGGCTCTCTGACAGGGATGGACAGACTCTCTGACAGGGATGGACAGACTCTCTGACAGGGATGGACAGGCTCTCTGACAGGGATGGACAGGCTCTCTGACAGGGATGGACGGGCTCTCTGTCAGAGATGGACGGGCTCTCTGACAGGGATGGACGGGCTCTCTGACAGAGATGGACGGGCTCTCTGACAGGGATGGACGGGCTCTCTGTCAGAGATGGACGGGCTCTCTGACAGGGATGCACGGGCTCTCTGACAGGGATGGACAGACTCTCTGACAGGGATGCACAGGCTCTCTGACAGGGATGGACGGGCTCTCTGTCAGGGATGGACGGGCTCTCTGACAGGGATGGACGAACTCTCTGACAGGGATGCACGGGCTCTCTGTCAGGGATGGACAGGCTCTCTGACAGGGATGGACGGGCTCTCTGACAGGGATGGACGGGCAGCCAACATGAAAGTGCTTCACAGAGCAATTACAAACACGCAGAGAACAGATGAAAACATGGTCTCAGCAGAGAAAGAGGGGCTATAAAGAAGAACCAAGTGGAAATTTTGAAATGAAGAAAATAACCAAAATTTAACATTTAATAAAGGGGTTCAACAACACAGTGGAGGGGCGAGTCCCACCTGGATAAGTGTCATGCAATATGGAATGTGTCTGTCCCCCGAAACCCTCAGTCACGACTGGTCAGAGCAATGGGTTCTCCCTGGGCTTCATCTGAGACCTTGCTGGGAAGGAAGCACTGAGAGAACCCATCCCTGAGGCCCTCCCTTCCTCGAGGAGGAAAGAGCTGGGGCCCAGGGAAAGCCTCTGGGGGAGCCCCCACCAGTCCCTCTTGACACCATCCCACTGCTCTAGTAGAAGGGCTCAGATCCTGCCACCCACGCTGCCTGCAGCCCGCCCACCATCCCACTGTCTCCTGCAGGCTCGCTTCACCCACGGCATGTTCACCGTGTACCCTGGGTTTGGCACCATCCCTCCCGGAGGAACACAGACCGTCAATGTTGACTGCGTGGCTGACCCTGTGGGCAAGTGTGAGGAGTTTATAGCTATTGATATCTCTGACCGAGACCCAAGAGACCATCCTGCTGGCATTCCTTACAGCCTGTTGGTGGAAGCCTGTATCCCAGGTACTGAGCACTCAGATGGGACAGCACCCCCTAAAAGACCTTCCTCTGTAACACCTCTGCCCAGGCACATGTCTAGCAAACATGGCTGGGCTGCTGCTACTTTTGGGATCTGAGAACTTCTAATATTTTTTTACCATATTTTTCCTTAAAGATTTATAAGGCATGCATGCGTAGAAGACGGTGTGCAGCTCTAAACTCCTAGTGTTCCTGAGTTTGGTTTAGGATTCTCAGATGGCTGGTATTCTCTGGGAATCATGGTGTGGTGGGGTATAGCACAAGCCCTAGAAACACGGAATCCTGCTCACGACCTGGTCCCTCCCTGTGGGCAACATATGCACAGAGAGCAATGGTCAGTGGCGGCACATGCGATGATTTCAACCCAGCAAGATCTCAGATGAAGCACAGAGAACTTTTGCTTTGACCATAGGCACCCTGTAGCCTCGCACCAAAGTGAGCCAAATGCCTCCTTCCTTAAGCCAACCACAGACCCTAAGCTCACCCTCCTTACTATTGGGAGGAAAGGGGGTTGGGGCCTGATGACCCCCAAGAGCAGTAAAAAGGAGAGAATAGAATGTGCCCCATCACATACACCTGAGCTCTCCCCTGTGACCGTCCTCTGTTGGAATCCACACCTCCAAATGAGGGATTAGGTCAGTGGGAATCAGGCTATCGGGCTTCATCTCACAGTCTCCCCCCCACAACTCCCCAGGCTTCGTGACTGACAACAATGCCTTGATATTTGAGGAACACCAGATCTGCAGCAGTGCCAACCTGCACAGCATGCTGCAGACCACGGAGACCAGGGGGCTGTTTGTGGAGGATGAAAACAAGTTCATCTTCAGCAGTGTCCTGGTAGGCCACCAGGCCAAGGCTCGGTTCAAGATCAGCAACGTGGGAAAGATCGCCTGTGATGTGAGCATTGTAGTTAAGCCTGTCTCCAGCAAGGTAAGCAGCTCCACTGGGCCCCTGCTCATCACAGTTGGCAGAAAACCAGAGAGAGAACTCTTCAAAACCCTGCTCTGAATCCTCTGTACCCGAGCGGGGATTATCTGGCACTCAGGCCCTGCCGAAAGTTACAGGAGGGAACTGGGCCGTCTCCCCTAGGCCAAGAGCCATGTGTTTGACCCACGGGATGTCTCCTGTGGGTCCTTGTGTGATACACTAGTACATAGGAGTGAGGAACTCAGTCAGCCACTAAACACTCACTGAGCCTACATTAGGCACCGTATTGTAGGACAGCCAAGACAAGGGCCAGCTCAGACAGGCTGCCTCGGATCACATCCTCAGCAGGTGAAGGACATTTGAGGGGTATCAGATTTTAAGGATGATGTGAAATGATGAGCATTTATTGAGCCCCTGCTGTATGCTAGGCACTGTGCTCAATCATCTACATCTGTTGGCCTCATTTTATCCTCTCAAATTTGTGTCATGATTTTGTATTATTGTCCCCATTTTTTAGTTAGAGAAATTGAGGCTCAGAAATGCTAAATTCTTTCCCTAGGTCCCAGAGTCTAGGGATATAGGGCTAGGTTTAAAGCCAAGCTTCATTTGCATGCAAGGTAAATAATCAGGGCCCGTCTCCGGGTCTGCCGGACTTGAAACTGCGTTCCCCTCTGGGTGAGACCACCAGAGATCATTTCTCCTCACAGTGGAGTAGAAAATTCAGGAAGCCAAGAGAGGGCCGAGTCAGTAGGTATCATTCGCCCTCAGTTTCCAATCAGATGTGCTACAAATGCTGCCCAGTCTTATCTCAATCGCTCAGCTCTCTACCAAAAGTGGAATTTTGACCCAGGTGGCCCTTGTGCCCCAGAGCTGTCATTGTTCACAGGGCTGCTGGTGGTGGGGAGACCACCCAGAGCAGTGGCCTAGCCTAGAGCCAAGAACAGAGTTGCGTTCCCAGGGAACTGCCACCCACACGGAGAGGCAGGGGTGGAGAGGCTATCTAATTTCTTCAATGACTTCCCTCAGGCCCTGGTAACACCCGGTCATTACTCTCTGACCTTATTTGGGACAAAGAGGAATAACTTTCTTCCTATTTTGTACTAAAAACATAAAAAAGTGAGGAAGCCTGATTTCTAAACAGAGATAGATCTCTAACAGGGGGTTTGCAGACACTGTATGTTCTCCCCCACCCTAATGTGTACACTATCCATTGGAAAGAACAAAGAAAACTCAGTGCCCTCAAGTTTAGAACAAGAGGAAAGAGTCAGTCTCGAATCCCACCTGCCTTCCATGAGAACAAAAAATCCATTTGTGGCCATGCCAGGGGTTCCTACAGTCTTCCCAAAACACTGCCACAGGATGGGGACAGATCAAGTGCTGTGGGAGGTTGTTCTAGGTAACGCTCTTGGGGTTACAAGGAGCAGGAACAGCCCAAACAAAGGTTTGCTCCAGTCAGCCAGAGACCTCAGACCAGGGCAGGACACACCATGCAGCCAGAGCTCTGCGGGCCTGGGGCTGTTGCCTGAAACCCCACTTCCAGAGCCGTAGAGGTTCTGCCCATCCTTCAAGGGCCACAGGCTTTTCACTCATGCCATCTCTGTTGTTCCCTTCTCTAGTCTGGCTTCCATTCTGGCTTCACATCAGTAGCCCCCAAAGGTCTCTGGGCATCTTAATTTAGTTCAGAGAAACTGAGAGACAGAGATTGATGTCAGACTAAGATCTGGCTTAGTTCTTCCATTTGAGTCAGAGATCACAGGTCTAGCCAAGTCCAGCCAGCTATTGCTGACGGATGGGTCCCAGAGTATCTAGACTGCTCCAGGGGTGTGATCGTGCAGGCAACGGAACAGGTTTACTGCAGAGCTTAGAGGAGGGAGATTTCCCTGGAGGGACACAGAGGTAAGCAGCACGCCCTGTGTTAATGCCCAGTAGCTAACACATGTGCCGCCCCTGCCGCCCCCCACCAGATCACTGCCCGCATCGTCGACATCTTTGAAGTGGAACCCAGCAAGATGTGTATTGCCAGTCGCTCACATGCCTTTGTCACAGTGTCCTTCACCCCCCAGACCATGCAGACCTACCAGTGTATCTTCGAGGCCACCTTGGACGGCTTGCCCAGGTACCAGCTCCCCGGCAACCCCTCCTGCAGCAGGGCTGCAGGCCACACTCCACAGAATGTCATTTTTGCCTTGCCAGGCTGACAGGCCTCCATCTCCCTATTCCCTGCAGCAACCTGACCAAGAACCGAAACCTCGTGTTTGATATCGTGGGAGAGGGGAACCTCCCTCGAGTGAGCGTGGTGCGGCCAATTCTCCATAACCAGCATGGAAACCCCTTGCTCCTCTTTAAGAGGCTTCTTCTTGGTCATTCAGAGAAACTACCTCTCATCTTCAAGAACAATGGCACTATCCCTGCCAAGGTACTCCAGAGGGTGAAGAAGCATGGGGTGGAAAAGGAGAAGCATCATTTGGAAGTAAGACCTCTGACATCAGGGTCTCTGCCATCCCTAATTTATGAGGACTTCTTTGATGTTCCTCATGCATTAGCCTTGGTAAGCCATGGGACATGCAGTGGGAAGTCAGGCCTGGTCTCTACCCTCAAGGTATGGCCGTACGCAGGGGACATAGTGCACTACTAATTACTGTGTGAAGCAATGTACAATGACACACACCAAGTTCAGTGGGTGGGAGAGATTATGGGTGTTCTTAGTGTCTTCTTTATTTTTTCCATAATGAACATTGTATTTCTATTAAGGAAAAACAAAAGAAACCTCATTAGGGGTGAGAGACGTAATATCTGTAGAGACTTCTGATTCAGCAATTAAATTATATTTTTATTTTACAAAAAAGTGTGAAATTTAGTAAGGGTTATGTGAAGGACTATAGGACTTTTGAAAATGACGGATTGCTCTCTGTAGGAGGCTGGTGTAGGTCCAGCCTACCTTTGCCTTATTGTGCAGACCCTTGGGTCCGAGTCTAGACCAAATAAAGTGCTCTTGTCCTTCACAGGACATTTGCCCTCTTAGCACCAAGAGACCATCGAGAACACAGTTCACCCTCCCACCTATCCCCTACAGATGGCAAATGCCCCAGGTCAGAAACAGTCCGGAATGCTAGGCTGCAGTCTGTGGATTTCCACATTCTCCCAGATCTGGGTCTGCTTACTCTTCATTATCTTAGCTCTGTGATGCTTTTAGAATGGTGGTGTTCCTGTGGTATTCTGCATTTCTTGTTGTTGTCTTAAGTCCAAGTATTCCATTTCCCTGTGTTCTTTCAATTATCATGTTATTGTAAATGTTCTGTCATGGAGTTCAGTGAATTCCTGCCCACCCACTCCCCATTTTTCTAACTCTTCTTAATAAGTTTTGCATATCGAGTCTCTCAGATTAACTTCACACATCATTTTACAAGGTTCTGCAAAAATTTCATTGGGAATCCTATGAATTATTTGGGAAGAACTTGTACTTTTAGAGTATTTAGGCTCTCCACAGGAATAACATTTAGGATTCCCACCCTTTTATTTAGCTCTTTCATGTCAATATTTTTTCATATAGTTCCTGCATATAGCTTCTTATTAAAGTTATTTCTGAATATGTAATTTTTTATCACAGAAGCTTCCTCTATGATGTCACTGTTCCTCCCTCCTTTGTGCCTCATCTTTAATATTATCTTATCTTGTTCATGGTGTTCACAATGGTGCCAGTATGACCATCTTCTGAAAATGTTTGCTGATATCTCACACCTAGTATCAGCTACATGATGTTAGTTTTTAAGTCATACACATGGCTCCCAGTGGGCCAAAAACACCCTTTTCCTCCAAGTAGGTCAGATGCCCACCTTGCTTCTTCTCTTATCTTGGTAGGACACTCAACATGGCACTGTCAGGCAACTAAGGCCCTAGCACCTAGGGGATACTGCTTTATGGAGACTCATTTTCATGCAGTCCCTTGCAGGATCACAAGTATTCATCTCCATTTGATTAGCCTAGAGAATGTTTTACAGCTACCTCTGTCAATAACAGTGGCCTTGGTAACCCCGCTTTGACACTGCTTAACGGGGTGATCTGAAAAGTCACCTGTACTCCCTGGGCCCCAGTTTCTCACTTGGCTAACAAGAGCTGAACTAAATTTTCTTTTTTCCTCTTTAGTTCTAATATTTATTCTATCTCCCTCTTAGTAAGAAATGAAGCATTGGGCACTAGGCCCAATGGCTTGGCAGGGGCAGGGTGACGTCACACACTGCACAGTATCTCACCATAGACTCAAAACCCATGAGCAGCCTGCCAGTGTAACACTCGGTCCTGCTTTCCTTCTGCCAGCTGCACATTGACCTGCAGGACCAGCTAGAAGTCTTCTCCCTGAAAGGGAGGCCCACTACCTCCTATATCTACATCATAGAGGAAAACACAGCCCAGGCAAAAGGTAAGTTGAGGAAGAGTATCTTCCAGAGGATGACAGGACCCAGTTAACTGTTTTGTTAGGGGACTAATTGGGCCACAGACAGAATAGGATGGCCAGTCTCGTCACCCATGGCCACTCTCAGCAATGCTCATTCCCACACTAGGGCTGCTTTCCCTTGAGTCAAGGTCTTTATGGATGCATCTTCCTTTACACTGATTCTAAGTCATTCTTTCTCCTCTTTGCAGCAAAGAAGGCTCACACAGCCTCCCTGATCATTCTTCCTGGAGACACAGCCGAATTCGATGTTGTTTTTCACTCCCAAAAGGTTGGGAGGTTGACAGGCAACATCCACTTGTCAGTGGTCAACAATCAGTATGAGGACACGAACATCCACATGGTGGGAGAAGGCTACGAGGACGACATCACCTTGGACAACATCCATGGGCTGGTGGCTTCCGCCAGCCAGGAGGCCTTAGATAGCTCTGAGGTCACCGTGGAAACAACCATGGAAGACTTGGTGGAAGGTGGGAGACGAAGCCATGAGGTGTTGACAGCTGTTGGCTCTTGGATCAACAGTGAAATTTAAATAACAGATCAGCTCGCTTCCTGGGAATTTAGGGCTGAATCTCCTCTCCATCACTGTACACTCTTTCATGCTTGGCTCTGGCACTGCCTTCTTCATGTGTCCCCTCAAGGAACATTTATGGAGCATCACTGTGCTCCTGCCAGGCACTGCACCGAGCCCCGGAGTTCCAGAGTAATAGGAGTCCCTGCCCTTAGAGGGATTGTAGTTTGAGCTCAAATTCAAATCTAGTCAATAAGCAAAATTCAAAATTCAAACTCCAGATTAGCTAAGAAGTGAACACACATCTCTCTGTAGTTTTCCCTGTTTCTATCTATTAGCTCGCTTGCATCGACATTGTCTGCTTCATCTGAGCCATGCATCCTACACATTCCAAGAGAGCTTCTGGGCTTGTTTAATGAGGCGGGGTGTGGGCTTGTGCCTTCTCTAGAGCATCATTCTCCACAGTCTGTCTACTCAATGCACTGAGAACCAACAGCATCAGCGTCACCTGGGAGCTTCTTACCGATGGGAATTTCAGACCCTAGCCAGCACCTCAGACATGCTGAATCAGAACCTGCCTTTTAACAAGATCGTTAGGTGATTTGTGTGCATAGTAAAGTTTAAGCCACCCTGCTTCGCAGTCTATCAAGTTCTCCAGCTTCATTGAGTTGACTGTACTCTGGGGCAGGAGAAAATTTATAATACTTCATCATTATTCTCAAAAAGCATTTGCTAAGCACCATAATTTTGTGCCTAATTGCTATGAAGTGAGTTATAAATATAGTTTCACAGTTGTTCTAGGAGCTTAATTGTCGTTCTGGAAGGTAGCATTGCGCAGTCTATGTAACATGGGTAAAAATCAACATGCCTCGCCCCTGTTCATGGCTACAGGGTGGTGTCTCTCTTATCAGGAGTCAAACAGGAGCCAGCAGTGAACCCTAGTTCTGAAATCAAATTTCATACTTCTGATAGGCTTGCCAGATTTAGAAAATCGGAATATAGGAGTCCCCATTAAATATGAATTTCAGATATGTGATGAATTATTTTTTTAGTTTAAGTGTGTCCCAAAATATTGCATGGGACATATTTATACTGAAAATTACTCATAATTTATGTAATTCAAATTTAACAGGGACTCCTGTATTTTATCTGGCCACCCTAACCCTTAGGAGGCCAAGATAGATGGATGGACAGACAGATAAACAAATGGATGGATGGATGCATGCATGCATGCATGTATAAGTAGATTCCCCAAGGCAGGAAAGCTTACTGGTCAGGACTGCAGGTTTTTCCAATAGAAACATCCAGGAGGGAGGAGTTGCATGAGGGTGAGGTGAAGTGTCTTGCAGGTGCTGCCTTCTCTGGGTAGGAGCCCCCTACAGGAGGAGGCCAGGGAGGACTCACCAGCCCTCTGCTTGTATCCTTAGCTGCCCTGGTGGACCACATTCAGTTTGGGGACTGCCACGTTGGAAACAGCTATAACGTGAGCTTCACAGTCACTAACCACAGCCAAGTGAATGTAATACGGTTTGAGTGGCCTGTTTTAGCTACAGTTTCCTTTTCCCCACAGGTAAGTGAAAGCCCTTCGCTGTTTTCTGGGCTCCCTTAGGCCCTAACCCAACTTGATTGTCACTCCACTTCCATGGACACAAAGGATGAGATGGACCTCACTTGGACCTAGGGTTGGAGGACCCTGTCCATGTGCCCCCCCCCCCCGCCCCAATCTAAGTGCAGAGAATGAGATTTGCCAAGGCGGATGTTGATTGAGGAATTCCTTGGAAACCTGTGTGAGTGGAACAGGTCCCAGTCTTCCCAGCCCGCAGCATAGACCTGTGTCCCCCCCACCCCCGGCACGTGTTCTCTAAGCATCGGTCCTGCAGAAGCGGGTCACTGAAAGATAAAATGGGGTGATGGTGTCTGTGGACAACTGAGGTTTAGAAAATGTTTCAAGTTACATCTTTCTCTTAAAGGCCCCCGGTGCCCTTCAGCAGACTATAGTAAAACCTAGTTCACTGTGCTTCACTGGGATTTTCTAACCCCTTCTTTTAGCAGCTCACAGCACACACTTTATGAATTGCTGACCAAGGCCCAGACCAGGTGGAAGCAGGTTCTAGCCTCTGGCCAGCAGCTGCTTTGCACAGATAGTTGATTTCTGAGTTCCCAGGACACTGGATGCACACAGATGCATCCACCGCCTCCTGCTCTGTTTCAGCCACCACGTCTGCAAACACAGAACTCCAGGGGGACAGAGCAGGGAGGGTTGGGGACCCCACCTTTAAATCTCTGAGTGCTATCGGGAGGAAGTTTTGCTTCCCAGAGGGATATGAATAGTTACTCAAAGGAGGCAGAGATAAGCTTCCTGCAGGCCATTTACCTACGCTCACATGCGCACCCTCCCCCCGACACACACACACACACACACACGCATCTGTGGCCTTGGGAAGCACAGAGCTTTCTTCTCCCTTCACTTTCCAGAGGAGGCAGAGTTTCAGAAACATGAAAGGACTGTGATATATATCATATATACATGGTATATCTGTGGGCTTTTCATGCGTATGTTTAGGGATGCAAAATCATACATGGTTTTATTCTACAGCCCAAATTGGATGTCCCATGTATCTGGTATGCTTCAGCGAATCTCGGCCTTTCTGGTCTCCACACTCCTTTACGCTCTTAAACATTACTGAGGAGCCTGCAAAGAGCTTTTGTTTATGTGGGTTAAATCTATCAGTATTTACCATATTCATATTAGAAATTAAAACTGAGAATGTCTAAAAACATGCATTTATTCATCCATTTTAAAATATCATAACAAACCCATTACATGGCAATATAAAAATAACAGTTTTATGAAAATGGCTGTATTTTCAAAAATAAAAAAATTGTGTGAGAATAGTGCCATCATCTTACATTTTTATAAATCTTGTTAATATTTGACCTGAGAGAAGAGAGCTGATTCTCATGTTTGCTTCTGCATTCAGCATAATACTGCATCATCCGTCACTCCATTGTATAGGCAGGAGGAAGTAAGAATGAAAAGGTCAACATCTTAATATGTAGTAAGATGAAAACGGTTTTGGCCTCATGGACTTCTGGAAAGGCCTTAAGGACCCTGGGGGTCACCAGACCACACTCCGAGAACTGCCCATGTGCTGTGTACATCGGTCAAGTCCATAATGTGTATAGGCTGCATTGATTGAGAAGCACAGGCGGTGAAGAGTGTGGCGTCTGGGCCTGGGTCTGAATCCAGCTCTTCCACTGTCAATGGTACGACCTTGAGCAAGTTGCGGTTTTCCTTGTCCGTAAAGCAGGGGTCACAGCTATACATCTTACAGGGTGGTTGTGGGAACTGGTGGAATTGCATGCCGGTTTAAATACCAGATTAAATAGTGCCCAAAGTGACAGTGTGATAGATACTAGCTGCTCTTGTTTTTATGATTATATTTCTATATAAGAAGCTTTTGTACATTTTTTAAGATTTTATTTATTTATTTATTTTTTACAGAGAGGGAAAGGGAGAGAGAAAGAGAGGGAGAGAAACATCAATATATGGTTGTGTTTGGCTGCCCCCAACCAGAGACCAGGTCCACAACCCAGGCATGTGCCCTGACTGGGAACTGACCCTTTGGTTCGCAGGCCAGCACTCAACCCATGGAGCCACACCAGCAAGGGCAGCTTTTGTACATTTTAAGACAATCCATATATCAGGCTTAAATGATGCATTTTATTTTTGTTTTTGTTTTTGCCAAAATCTACCTCTCCTCTAAAGTGGCACAATTAGGTGAGTATTTTGAATTCCCAAAAATACTGACACCAAGCTCTTCCCCAGATAGGGCACCTCCACCCTGGGTGTGCCAAGGACATAGTGGTAACCATGAAGTCAGATGTGCCCATCAGCCTGAAGAATATGGGGATCAGGTGCAAGCTGTCCAAGATCATGTTCCAGCAACCTGCGGACCAGGTGCCCGACTGGGACGACCGCATGCACACAGTCAAGTGGGTGGACATGCCCAGAAGCACCCCCGGGACTTTCACCACGAAACGAAAAGTGAGTAGGGACTTCAGTCACAAACCTAGCTAGGCCACCCGGGCCTGGATGCCTAGTGCTCTCATGTATGACGTCTCAGATTTCCTTCCTTTGTGGAAAAAAGAAAAACTTCCCATTCTACTTGACTTGGATTTTTAAAGTGACAAAGTAAACTTCCAGGCATGCCGCCTGCCATGCACACTACATGTACCACGTGGACCACATGTCTTCACGAGCAGAGTTTTAGATCCTCTTGATGTCTCATTGAGGAAGTCCTCTCACTTTTTTCTTCTTCAAAAATGCCATAGCTGGTCTTTTAGTTGTTTCCTCTTTCCCTCAGGTGTCCAGAACTATTCCAGGTTAGTTACAGACAGAATCTCATCTTTGGTTCATACATGCCCCTCTTTTAATTATTGCTTCATCGGTTTCCTTATGATGATGTAAACAAAGGTGAACCCACACATGGATTTCCTATGCAGTTCTCAGCCATTCCGTCGCCCTGCCTCCCTCCTGGAGGAAACCACTGTCCTGAATCTTGTTTGCTCATTCCCTTGACTTTTGTCTTTTGTTTCTTCTTTAACCCATGCATTCTGAAAGGCAGAACATGTAGTTGTCATTTTAGCTTTATTTTGTAAACGCTGTGGTATATGCTTCTCCACATTGTCACTTGTGACTCTAGTACACCCATTTCCCTGCTCTGTAAAATCCCATTATTTTTTTTAGCAACTAACAACACTTACTGAGTACTTAGTATTAGCAAGAAAATGTATTTTTCTTTTTTTCCAATCACAGTTGACATACATTATTATATTGGTTTCAGGTGTACACCCCAGTGATTAGACATTATATAACTTCCTAGGTGATCATCCCGATAAATCTCACACCCATCTGGCACCTTATGTTGCTAGAATAGTATTGACCACCATTCAATACTATGGCATTCCCTGTGCTGTGCGTTCCATCCCCATGACAGTTCTCTGACTACCAGTTTGTATTCCTTCATCCCTTCATTACCATCATTCCTCTTTTGAAAGTTATTTGGGGTTTTACTACTTTGGACAGCATTTCTGTGAGCATTACTGTTCAGGTCACATGCATTCACTGGCGAGGGTGTTTATTTGTAGAAGTGGAATTGCTGAATCATAGGGTATGTGAATGTTCAGCTTCCCAGGATAACTCCCCAATGTTTTCCAAGTGCTTTGCCAATTTATGCTCCAACTAGCAAAGAAATCTTATTGCTCTGCATTCTCTCTAACACTCAGCATTGTCAGACTTTGTGATTTTTATCATTGAAGTGAATAGGAAATACTTTCATTTGGGGGCCTACTTTGCATTTCCCTGATCACTAAATGAAGTTGAATATTTCATAAAAGCCTTTTGCCCATTTTTTAAATTATGATGCCTGTCCTTTGTATGAGTTGTTTTATTTTTTTTATCAACTCCACAGTTCCTATTATTTATCTATAAATGCCTTCACCAAATTTTAGCCTATCTTTTCATTTTCCTTAATGTAGCTTTTCATGAACAAAGACATTCATCTCTCCTTTTATAATTATTTCTCTGTGTGTCTTGTTTTTAAAACCCTTCCCTAACAGGGAAGAAAAAGATTCACTGATTTTTTTTATATTGAAGAGGTTTGCTTTGATATTTACACCCACGGCCCACCTGGATTTTATGGTATGAGGCAAGAATCCAATTTGATATTTTCCCATCTAGATAACGAATGTTGCCAAATCCCCCTTTTGTTGGGCCCTTCTGTTGTGATCCGCCATTACTCCCTTGCCATCTAAATGTTATATGTGCCTGGGGTATTTCTTGTCTCTCTAGTCTATTTTACTGCCAATTCTCCTGTCCCTCTGCCGGTTGTACACCGCTTTAATTTCTGGAGCTTCATAATCGGCCTTGATATCTGGAAGGGAAGTCCCTCCCTGGGACTGCTTTGTTCTGAAGTGCTTTCATTTTTCTTGGCCCCTTATTTTTCTGTATAATTTTGGAATCCATTTATCACGTACAATTGACCCTTGGACAACACGGGTTTGAATTACGTGGGTCCACTCACAGTGGGGTTTTTTTTTTTTTCAATAAATACTGTTAATGGATTTTCTTTTTTCTGGCTTACTTTATTGTAAGAATCCAGTATATAATAGATATAACATACAAAATATGTGTTAATTGACTGTTAATATTATCAGTAAGGCTTCCGGTCAGCAGCAGCCTACTAATAGTTCAATTTGGAGGGAGTCGAAGTCACACGGGGAGTTTTGACTGCGCAGGGCTCAGTGGCCCTGCCCCGCGGGGCAGCTGCCCTGGGAAACCCTGGTGGAGGACTGACTGGAATGGGGTTGCCTCTGTGAGTCAGTTCAGGAAGAATTGACAGTTTTATACTATTAATCTGTCCTTTCCATTAACGAGGTATATTACTCTCTTTATTTAGGTCTTTGAGATTTTAAGATTATTTTTACTATCATTTGTTTTCTTTAATAGTGTTAGGACTCTTCAGGGTTATTATTTTTTCTTCTTGAGTCAGTTTTATTAAATTATTTTTCTAGGGATTTTCTCTTCAACTAAATTTTCATGTGTATTTTCATAAAATTACTCATAATATTTTCTTATATGTTTAAATCTGTGAGATCAATGATAATGTCCCCGGTTTTCATTTCTGGTACTGCTTCTTTGTTTTTATTTCCTTGTCAGTCTCAGCAAAGGTTTTTAAGATCTTTTCTAGTAACTTCTGGCTTTGTTGGTCTTTTCTGTTTTAGATTTATTTTCTATTTTATTAATATCCATGCCCCTCTTTATAACTTTCTTTCTCCTACCTTGTTTGGGGTCCATCTGACCCCAAACTCATGTTTGTGCAGTCCTGATACCCTCGGCAATTTTTTGGTTTCTTTTCCATTTATGAGTCATTTTAGGTTTGCCTTAATCCTTTGTTCTGGAACTTGGGTTTATGAGTTGGTGTTAATTCGCATCCGTAGAATAGTGTACTGCGATGCCCCCCCCGACCCAAGTGCCTTTGGGACAGCTGGCTCTGCATCACTGAGGACATGCTGCCTTTGTTACAGGTGGTAGAGACGGACCCCGAGCCTGCTCACTCAGTACTGGAAGAAAACTACCGAGAACTGCAGCTTCAGATCAGCGCCAATGTGAATTTCGCCTCGTACAAGTGCCAAACGGGCGACGTGCGCTTTAAGGAAACGCTAGTTTACCAGACCCGAGTGTTTGAGTGAGTCATCAAAAGCCTCCCAACACTCATCAAAGTTCTTTCATTCCATCATTCGCTCACTCATTCACCCAACATTTATCCAGTGGGTACGGCAGCACATACCAGGTGTTGTCTGTAGCGTGCACCAGTGTCTGCCTGGGCCCAGTGAAACATTCAGACTCACAAAGCAATTGAAGTTTACCCTTGAAATCAAGATATAGGCCAGGAAACTGGCATCAGGTGATCAGCTCCAGTGGGAATAGTCCCTGCAAGCAATCCACACCAGCAACCAGGAACTACCCTTGTTGGCCAACCAGGTGACAGCTCGGACAATATCCACACTAGTGGGCATAGGGTCCAGCCTGGTCAGGAAGCCCCATGACCAACAGAAGCCGACATTTCTCATGACCACTCCACAGGTACAGTTCTCAGGGTCTCTGCACGGGACACGCCCTGTTATGAGAGTCGCTAAGAGAACCCCAACGCTATAGCTTCCCTCCAGATAATCACAATTCCACACTGGACACAACTTACCAAACAGGGGCCATTTTTACTATAAACAATGTTGCCTATAACACAACTGACATTCCTCCTCTATTTTCTAGGGAAACTGAGCTAGAAAGTTAATTCAAAGTCAAAATTGTCCTTAGAAAGAGAAAGGGTTATTTTAACCCCCCACCCACACTCAGATGCAGGGATACAAGGATGCCGTGGGCACTGCTCTCGAAGAGCTCATGGTCTTGAGCTGGGGGTAGCGGAGTAGAGGCAAACGGGTGAACCGATGGCACAGCACAATGTCCTGAGGGGGCAGGAAGAGTACCTGACGTGGACCAAGATGGGGCGCGACAGAGTGTCGTGGGAGGCTTCCCAGACAAAGTGGTGGCCCAGCTGAATTTTAGAGAACAAAGAGGAGGTAGCCCAGTGAGAAAAGTGAGAAAAGAAGTAAGAAAAAAATGGCCTTCTAGGCAGAAAGAGCAGCATATACAAAGAGAGAAAGCCTGTGACTAATCTCTGAGAATTTCAAAAACAAAAATGTAAACAACTGACATTTCCACTTTGTAAAAAGTAGTCATCGACTTGTTTGACTCATTTTGCATTTGTTGCACTTAAAGTGTCCCCTCAAGTTATTAAAGAACCAAAAGACATAAGGAAAGAAGTGGGATTTGCTGATGCCCATGACACCAAAGCAGGGATCAGCAAACTATGGCCTGTGGGCCAGACCCAGCCAGCCACCCGTTTTGGTGAACAGGCTTGTTGGCAACAGCCACACCTGTTCGTTTCTGTGTTGTCCGGGGCTGTGTTCACACCACAACAGCAGAGTGAGTGGTTGCTGCAGAGACCAACTGCACGCAAACCCAAAAAATCCTACCGTCTGGCCCTTTCCCTACACCAAGGCTTCTTTTTCTGAAGACTATTCTATGCCGCTAAGATTTCTGCACTTTTTAAAAGTTTCCTTTAGGATGAAGACCACTACTCACAAGTTCACACAATAAATATAAGCCCCTGAAGTCAAAGCACTTGGCTTCAGGCCTGTCCACATGGTCTGCCTGGGTGGCATAACGGAGATCTAACCTCTACACCCACCCTAGACGCACCCCCTCCAAACTCCCACCTCCCCCGACTCCCCTAACACCAGGAGAGCGTGTGTGCCTCTTTCTCTTACACAATCATCTCCTTGTATCAAGATCTCGCTCTCCTGCTGTCACTGTCTGTGATCAAGTTGAACAGTGATTCCAGAAAAAGCTTCTATCTGCCAGTTCTTGTCATAGAGCAGGGAACCTTGAAGCAAGAAAAGTCTTCACCAATTCCAAATTTGAGACAAGTCTGTGTCTCAGCCAGTGAAAGCATCTTGGGAAGAGGTCAGATGGTTTCTGAGGACAGGGACGTTGTTTCTGGGGGTGGGAAGTGATTCAGGAAGGGAAGGGGCTATGAAATTTGCACCCCAGGAAGGTACTATCGTGTGAGATAGATTCGTGTTTCCTCTCTCATGGGAATTTCTCAGGACTGCCATGATGCATGCTGAGAGTTCACTGCATAGTTGCCAGCGGTATGCCGGAGGATTTTCAATGCTAAACATTTGGATATTTTTGCTTTTAAGAGTTATGTATATATTTTGTGGTTTGTAAGGAAATATAATTGGTACATCAAATGCCCGATTTCAGATAAATTGCTTAAACTCACCTTTTGAAGAAATATTTAAAACACAAAGTGAGTTGACTGAAAGACAAAAGCAACAGTGTAGATGATGGGTGTGCAGACAGGACAAAGATCACTGGCAGCACATTCCTCAAACCCGTCCCCTGATCTGTGTGCAGGCTGGAACTGACTAATACAGGAAGTGTGCAGCTGGAATTCAGCTGGACCTCCGAAGAGACAGCCAAGGCCGTCAGCTTCGCAATGCCAGATAACCAAGGTAAGTGCGGTGACAGGTAAAAACCCAGGGTTTGGACTGAGTCCCCAATTAGTGTAAGAGCCTCATTCATGGAAAAGTGAGCTCTGCTCCCACAGCCCCCCATGTAGCTATGGAGAAGCAAAGCAGAGGCCTCCTGAGGTCTGCAGAGCCAAAATGGGCCCGAGGAACAACAGCTGACCTCTGCCCTCCTGGAGCCTGGACTCTGGCCCCCAAAGAGACCAGCATCCCCTCTCAGATCCCTAGGAGTCTTTTCTCTTAGACCTTAACCTTCTAGGACATTACAGACCCCTGGAGAAAATGATGAAACTATGAGCTGTTCCCCAGGAAATTACATACCATGCCCAATTTGCAGCTGGTTCATGCCCTTGATAAAGGGGCCCAGCACTCAGTAGGCAGGTATCTATTCCTACTGCTGCAGTTTCACAGATTCCCAGACCTTACAAGTGGGCCCCAGACTGTGAACTCCTGCTTAGACACAGTGATTCTCCAGAAATGATATTCACAGCCCAGTGTTTTTGAGGCAGAAGACCCACAGACATCTACTTGACCCACTCCCTTGAGCCAAAAGAAAACAAATTTGAAAACTTGATAGAATTAATGGCAGTCTTTTTCACGGATCACCTGTGAGAACTATGAGTCAGTTCCTTACCCCTAGTGACCAAAGTATATCTGCTGGAAGAGGCGAACTCACAGACCCCACAGAGGGTCCCTAAGGACCTGTGAGTGGGTTGCCTTCACCTTGTCCTCCCACTGCAAATGCAGAGTTTCACTGATTCTCCATCTGCCCCCAGGTTCCTCTCAAAAAGATCAGCTGAGCCAGGTCACACTGCCCACGGGCAGCAGTCTGGACAGCGCCGTGGACCACGGGAACGGAGCTCCCCCACTGTCCTTCTCTGTGGTGCCCCCCTCAGGCACTGTGCCCGTGGGGAAGACTGAGAAGATCAACGTGAAATTCTCCCCACTGGAGGTTGGAGACTTCGAGAGCACTCTTACCTGCCAGTAAGGAGGTCTCCCCAGAACAAGCTCTGCAGCTCCTCTCCCTCCTCCCTCCCACCACTACCACGCTCTTTCCAATCTGAGACCCTGCTGTGGCCCCAGATCGCCACATTTCACTTTGGAAAGATTCAAAGGAGTTAGCCTTTGGAGAACAAGGAGGCTTTAGTCTTTAGGGTTGCTCATCAACCATCTCTAGACTCTCGCTCTGACCCACTTCTCCCTTCCTGGCCACGTTCAAAAGTCCACTGGGCAACCAAATAGTTGGCAGCCAGGTAGGTCCCAGTCCTGGAGCAAGCATGAACTTGGGAAGGCTTTTTTGTGCCTTTATTGATACTAGGTTTCATTAGCTGTAAAATGCAAATAACAATGCATACCTTGCAGATTTGTCGTTAAAACTGAGGCACTTTAGTGAAGCTTAGAACAGTGCCTGGCACACATTAAGCACAACAAACATTAAACGGCGGTCATGGTGGAGGTGGTTGACCTAGTGCATAGTAAGCAAGGAGGAGATGGGGACCAGACCCAGTTAGAGAAAAGCCAACCCGATAACCCCTGGCCATGAAAGTCCCTGATGTGGCACACACTCCCAGGAAAGCTCCACAGAGGACGCCCACCCTGCAGAGGAATTCCATGAACCATGGCTGAGTGTGGCAGAGACCTCTGTGAGCCACAGGAGCTTCCTAGAAAACACCGCAATCACTGCAGGGACCCTCCTGCACCTGGGCCACCTAAATTTGAACCTGGAGCGGGGAGTCTGCTCACATCCAGTTCACTTTCTCCTAGCATCTCAGGATACTTTTTTAGTGTTTCTCCATCACTTTTCATATCCCACTAGCTGCCTTTGAGAGAGCCCAAAGGGTAAGCCTCTATGTCCATTTGACAGCCGGGAGATTTTCTCACCGCTGATGGAGGAAGTAATGTGAGGCCATACCTGGACGCACAGGAAGGACCAGAATTTAGGCTCCTCATACTCGGCCCTTTCATGCACTCATCCACTCAACCATTAATTAATGAACACCTACTATGTGTCATGTACTGTTCAAGGCGCTGAGGTCATGTTGTTGACAAAGATGGACCCAGTCTCTGTTCCCATGGAGCTCACATTTTAATAGATATAATATTCATTTACAACCGACTAAGACAGCAACAATTGATTAAAGCTTAAATAAATACATTCATACAACCTTATCCTCTCAGGATTCCCAACCTGCCACCTGGAGAACAAGGCCCAGTTGTGTCAGCAAAAGGGCGGAGCCTCCTGCCGATCTGTCATTTTGAGCTGAAAGACTCAGATTACATCAGTGGTCACCGGCGAAACCCAGACCTCCGGGGGCCTGGTGGTGGGGTCCTGGATCCAAACACCCGGGTGATCGAGTTCACCAGTGTGGGCATAGGAGGGAAGAATCTCCGGTGAGTGGCTTAAGTTTGCATCCGCTGAGTTCATATCAGTCCTTCTAAAGAACTGAGAGGGAGAATTCAGAGAATCCAGCTAGATGGGTTCCTAGAAGTCGGCTTGATATCCTGGGGTTGGACTTGAGAGAGCTGCTACAGTAAGAAAGTGAATCCTGTCTCCTTAGTTTGGACACTGTGGGAAATTCAGAAGGCGTGATAATACAATCCCTGACTACCACCTTGACCACAGAGGATGACGGGGACAGAAGGGCCTTTGGCATCATTATTACTCCAGAGTCCAGAGCTCCAGCTCTACGTTGGGCCCCCAAGTGAGATGTAGTTTTCCTTTCTGCAGTGACAAAGTATCTGGAACAGTTCTAATTCCCACACCGGGGACCATGGTAGGGCAGGTGCTTCAGTTTCTCTTAATCCTCAACCCCCTCTCTCATGCTCTGCTATCAATCCTTCCCCCTCCGCCAGGACTTTTACAATCCTCAACCCAACCACTAGCACCTACTCCTTCTGCTGGATCTCTGAAGAAATTGAAAGTCTCCAGAACCCTCCAGCCTTCACGTGCCTTACAGACAAGGGCTTCATCCTCCCAGAAAAGAAAGCTGAGGTGAGTGTGTATACGACTGAGGGCCACTCAGCCGGGGCTTGAATCACTCCATCCCTCTCTGCACCGCAGGTGTGCCATAGAGACAGTTAGGGGGAACAGCCTCAGGGTGCATCTATCAATGCGTGTTTCTTGAGTGGCAACTATATACGTCAGGCAATCCTCATCGACAAGACAGGCCTAAGCTCTACTGGTTGGCCATGGAGAAGCAGATTTCTAGTATTTCAAGTTTTAAAAAACTAAGATTATTAAAGCAGGAAAGGGGAGCTAGATACCCAACAGTGCCCAGACACTATAGGACAGTGTTATTTTTGTCTAAGAGACTGGCGATTGGCAGCAGTGAAAGGACACAGATATGTTTTCACTTGGTCAGGTCAAAGGGCAAAACAGAGAATTGGAGCCATGTCCCACGCCTTAATCCTACTGTTTCCACAGTCATCTGGGTTAGGGGGTCTGGCTCAAAGCAACATGAACTCACTGGCCAAAATAGATCTGTGGGCCCCATGTCTTTCTTATAAGTCCTACAGAGAATCCTGGAGGCAGAAATAAATCTGTGAAACAGAACTTACAAATCCAGATGCCTTCAGGAAGGTCATACAAGTGAACGAAGCAGGCCAAGGGGACCATGATAGGGAATGCTGGGCACCAGAGCCAGCTGGCCATGGTGCTTCTCCGGAGATGACCACCACACAGACAAGTGGGCCCAGGGTTGCCAAGTCTCCCAGACTTTTGGGGGAAAGTCAAAATTCCAAATTTCCCTCTGAATCTCTCCATTTGTACATGCCATACCAAAGACCTGGTGTGAAATATGGCAGCCTAGCCAGCAGAGGCCATGATGGGGAGAAGCCCCCTTAGAAAGACCTGTGGGCAAACAGGGCAAACAGACACTGATGTGGCTGGCATAACCAGATGCACATGCCCTTCAGAGAGGGCAGAAAGGTAGTGGTGACCTGGTAACATCAGCCATAGCAACCCCAGTGCCGACAAGCCTCCCAGGGCACATGGAGTAAATAAACTGAAGTGCCACTTACCACTGTGTACCACTCTTCATAGATTGTCTTCCAGTACACGCCTTTCCATCTGAACATCACAGAAGCATTCTGGACTTTCTCAATCCCTGAACACAACATCACAGTCCCTTTCCTGCTGGTAGGCAAAGCCTCTGACCCTCTCATCAATCTGGATAAGTCCCACCTCAACTTCAGTTGTCTCCTCATTGGTAAGGCTGCCTCTTGGTTTGCATTTGGAGTTTACAGGGGTGGGAAGTGGGACCAACCCAGCAATGAGCTCCAAGAGCAGACTTGGGTGGGCACTTTTCCTGGTACCTTCCAGGAGCGTGTCTGAGGGCCTTTCTCACTGTGCCAGCCCCATCCTCCTTGTGTGTGCCCCAGATTATGGGCTGTACTTGTTTGCTTCTTGGTGTGTGTGCAGGATTTCTCTGCCATCCTTTCGTGCATTTATATGGTTCCAAAATACCATTGAGCCTTGTAGGACCTAGGCACTCTTCTGTAAGCTGGGAATACAATGCATAAAACCAAAGTTCCTACCCTCATGATGGCTATAGTCTAGGAATAGGGAGCAGACTACCAACAAATAAAAAAGCAAAATATGAAGTCTGTCCAGAAGGTATCCAGCCATGTAATATGAAAAATAGAGACATTTATTGAAGAAGATACAAGAAACATTGTACGTAGGACAATGACACCTCAGTCCCCTTCAAAGTAGGCACTTTGGGAACTCACACAGTTCTCCCAATTGCCATTAGCTGCCCCATCATATTTTCCTGAATCTCATCGACTGTCTGAAACCTCTTTCCTTTCAAAGGTGATTTTAGTTTTGGGAAAAGCCAGAAGTCTCAGGGTGCCAAATCTGGGCTGTAGGGGGCCTGAGTCACCTGGGTGATTTGATATTTTACCAAAAAAACTCTGCATGAGATATGATGCATGAGCAGGCCTGTTGTCATGATGAAGCTTCCAATCATCAGTTGCTCATAGCTGCGGCCTTCTGAATCATCCCAATAGTTTCCATGGAAGAATGTTCAAGGTTAATGCAAAATTTGATGCACATTTGATGCTCTCCTCATTTGCTCAGTCATTTTGAATGCAATGGCCACACAGTACACATGCTCACTAAACAGCGTTTACCACCTCTACTGACTAGTACAGTGAAGTCATTATTGTTCACACATGTACGTTCCAGTCCACTCCCCTTGGCTTCCAGTTTACACCAATGTCATGCAAACCATTCTCAGTTATATTAACAGTGGCTGAACTCTTTCCAGACAGACCTCATAGATACCATGTCAAATGTTGATAAGGGTTCTAGAGAAGAATAAAGCAGGCTAGAGAGAATGAAGAATGCCAGCTGGCAATGGGAAGATGACATTTGAGCAGAGACCAGAAAGAAATAATGGAAGTGATTACCAGGTTCCTCGTAACCCTAGAAATCTATTCCATGGATGTGTTAAGTATGTGTGTCTGTGTGTGTGCGTAAAATACAATTAAAGCCAGAGGGTTTTTTAGTAATTCATTTTTTACTTATAAAAGTAATAATCCAATCAATGTAGTATTATATAAGGAAAAATTTCATAACCTCTCCCCACCCATCATATCTCATCCTTCCCTTTCCATCAGAGGAAACCAGTGTTAACAGTTTGATGTGTGATATTTTCCTACTCTTCTTATACTGACACATATAAGTAAGCAGGAGGGAATCATGGTATTTAGTAAGGTTTTCAAAAATAAGTGAGTAATATATCATAAGAATAATAACAGCATACAAACAATTTAATCTCAGAAGGCAAGGGTCATGCATTTTGATATAATCATTACATTAACAGTTTAAAGAAGAACAGCCACATGATCATATTATTACAAGCTGAAAGTCATTGCTAAAATTCAGCAGACATTCTGAACAAAAACTCTAATAGGAAAATAGGAATAGAGGAGAACACTTGAATGAAGAAGATTAGCCAAAATCAAGAGGCAAATGTTATCTCATAGTAAACCACATCAGCTCAAATCAGGAATTATGCAGGGCTGCTCATTATCACCATTATTACTGAACCCTTTTTTAGTGACTTTAGCAAATACAATAAAAATGAGAAAAATAATTAGCATAAACATTGGGGAAAAAAGAGACAAAACCATCCCGTTTTGCTGTGGCTGATTATTTCAGATATAGAGAACTTCAGGAGGCTCTAGAAAAAAAGCAAAACAAATACTAAATCAACAAGATAATTTACTAAGTGGCTGGATGCAAGACAAGTATGCAAAAATCCATAGTTTCTCTTTCTGTCAGCAGTAAGCTCCTAGAAACAGAAACAAAAAATTCTCTCTAGTATTGACAACACCTATACAATGTTTACAGATCAACATAACAAGAAAAGCGCAGGAGCTATATGAAGAAAACCATAATAACATCTTATCAAAATGTCCCCAAACAAAATCTGAATATTTGTCAATTCTGCCAAAAGTAAATGCAAATTTAATCAAGTTTCCATTAGAATTGCAGCTAGAGAGGCCGGGAAAAATATAGACACATAGTTAAATTTGAATTTCAGATAACAGCAAATAAATTTTAGTACGTCAGCATAAGTATGCCCCATACAAGATTTGGGACATACTTATACTGAAAAATTATTTGCTGAATCTGATAACCTTAATCCCAAAGGCTTGCACAGGTGGGGAGAGAGCTGGATACAATGCTTTGAAAGTTCATGTGGAAAAACAAATGCTCTACGATAGTCCAGGAAAGTAAGAAAAAGCACACTAACGCTAGCAGATGGGTTAACCAGCACTGTCAGAACTCTTAGGATGCATGGGAGGTCTAATTTAAAGAGCTCCATGCAGTGGTGCTTTACAAAGCTATGAGCAGAGCTAAGGCACCTGCCAGGGAAGGTGAAGCCACCATTAACACAGGAAGGAAGGCATCGGGTCTGAAGAAACAAGAAGGGGAAAAAGAACAGTGTCACCTGGATCCCAGGAGAGCTGTGACTGAGGCAGAAGAGCCACCTAGCAGGATCAGGCACTGGGTGGGTCAAGTTCTAGAGTGAGAGCTGGAACCCCTCCAGGGCAGAAAGGTCACGTGTAGAGCTAGAGGAAGAGAGGCAGCCCAGGGCTGAGGAGCTTGGAAGAGGGAAGAAAAGAAGCAGGGCAGTCTCTACTGAGATGCTTCCAGAGCAGGCCTGAGGCCTCGCCTGAGGGCTGGTGTTCCCTCCTCAGGCCGAGAAGCCAGGGAGACCGTGCACATCATCAACAGGGAGGAGCAGGGATTCAGTTTTGCCTTCCTGGAAAACTCCCGATACTCGGAAGGGTTCAGCGACAGCCTGGTCGTCTCTCCCATGGAAGGCTGGCTCTCACCGCAGTCCAGGTAAGGAAGTAGGAAGGCCCCCAGGGCTTCACCCTCCCGACACGGCAGGAGTCCCAGGCCAGCCAGCCAAGAGAATGAATCAGTTTCCCTTAGAGGGCCCCGTCTGCAGTACAGTCTCCACCTCTGACATGTAGGTGTTAGCAATTCCACTCTGTCCTACTTAGTCCCTGCTGTTCATTTCCCTGCTCAGTTGTGGAGCAGTGAGAATTTTAAGCCCTTTTTTTCAATATTTTCCTTATACGTGTTCTTTTCTTCACCATCTACTCTATCTGTGAATCCATAAAGCAATGTTCTGCCTTGCCTGGAAAACCTTCCAAATTCATCATAATTCGGAGTTATAATGCCTTTTACTCACAGTGTACCAGGTAACTCACTGGGCCCATATTCTTGAGCAGATCTTCACAGGGGGCCTAGTCAGGTAATCTGTTGTCTTCTTCCCCAACCAGGCTACCAGTTGATATTTTCTTCACACCAAAGCAGGAAGGAGATGTGAACTTTAATTTGATCTGCAATGTAAAAAATAAAGCCCACCCTTTGACCTTAAATGTCAAGGCTGAGGGCTACACTATGAATGCAAATGTCAAGTGCAAAGACAGGACTGGTTCATCCACTCTCTTGACTCCCAATCAGACTACGGTTGTCAACTTCTATGAGGTAAAGGCGCAAGAGGGCCTTGCTTTCTCTGGGTTTTGACACTGGCTGGGAAAGGCAGGTAGTACCAGTGAACAGTGGCAGAATCTCTCTGTTCGAAATGCCAGGAAGATCAGGAGAACAGAAATACACCAGGAGCAGCTCCTTCCCCAGACTGTATATGGTTTTGACGTGAACACTTTTCTTATTTTACTTTTCAGTGGGTGGAGAGATGGTAGGGAAGGGGAAGAATGCTTGTATTAAACATACAGGAAGGACGCTTGGCTACCAAGGGAGGTATAAGAATTAAATTGCCATCTTACTCTTCCAAGTGTGGGGGGCCCCAACACTTGGTAGGTCTTGCTGAAATATCTGGCCACAATTTAATTGTTCTCAACTCACTCACATCATCTTCCATTCCTATTTCTCAAAAGATATTCCCCCCCAAATTGTAACATATCCTCACCCTAGAGGAGTGAGCCATGGTTTGCATTCACTCAACATACTCTGTTCTCTCTCAGGTGGAGCTGAATGAATGTGTCCAGTGTGAATTCACCTTCATCAACACTGGGAAGTTCAACTTCAACTTCCAGGCAGAGCTATCTGGCCCCAAAGCCCTGCTGCAGTACTTGGAGTTTTCACCCACTGATGGCAAAGTGGACATGGGGCAGAGTGCCCCTGCCTTCCTGTCTTTCCAACCATTTAAGAAATGTGTCCTGAAGGGCCTGGAACTCAGAATCAAGGTGAGACCATCTAACATTGCCCGACACTGAAAGCGCTCACAGCATTCTGCCTTGGGAGATTACTTCTGAGCATTTCTGGGCCTCTCCACCCCGGAGTGTAGATATGTTGGAGGTAGTCCCCATAGTTTCTATTAATGGTAATAACTGAGGTGCATAGTGAGTAAGTGTGAATTGAACAGCAGGCGAGCATCCATGCATTGGTATATCATGCAGCCATTAAATTAACACATTGTTTGCGGGTAGTTTTTATCGTGTGCTCTACTACCAGTCAATGTAAAACGTATAAATACGTTTCCCACATACAATGCGTTAAGGAAGCTAGATGGGAGGTGGAGAGCAAGAGAGAGAAAGAATACGTACATATTTTCCATGATAAGTTATCGAGTGAAAAACCAAGGAATTGTGATGTCAGCAGGGATGGCAGAGAAGGACCTCTAAAAAGCTGCTCTTCTACAGCAATGAGAACACTAGCACAAACTATCAAAATCAACTTTTTCAGAACTCCTGAAATTAACCCTTTCACCCTTGGCATATTGGCCTTTGACCTCCTGGTCACAAGATGACAGTCCCTCCTGCAGCCCTATCTATGTCTGCATTCCTGAGTGGAAGAAAATAAGGGGTAGAACGTGAAGGCAAAATACTTTCCCAGCAAGACTTTGACTCTTTATTCAAAATAGTTTACATCCTGATGACCAGAACTGTGACAGCCACCATTAGCTGCAAGGAGAAGGAGAAATCGTGTAGTTCTTGTCCTTTTCCACCTGACTTACTCCACTTTGCATAACACACTCCAGATCCATCCACGTGGTTGCAAATGGCAACATTTCATCTATTTATGGCTGAGTAGTATTCCCTTGTGTCTGTGTACCGCCTCTTCTCTATCCAATCACCCACTGAAGCACAGTTAGGTACCGTACGATTTCACTCATATGTGGGACCCAAAACAAAAAGCAACAAATGAACAAACAAAACAAACAAAAATAGACTTACAGACACAGACAACAGAATGATGGCTACCAGAAGGGAAGGGGGTGGAAAGAGGACAAAGAGGGTGAAGGGGTCAAGTACAAGGTGATGGACGGAGGCTCAACTTCAGGCGGGAAATTAACAACAATACACAGATGTCCTATTATAAAGTTGTGCACCTGAAGTTTATATAATGCTGTTATGTAATGTTACCTCAATTTATTTAATTTTTAACGTTTTGAAGATGGGAAATCAAGTATTTTCACCTGAGCACATTGCCAACCAATCCGAGTCCTGCAAATGAGGAAGCCTTGGGAGTTAAATGTTGGGTAGTAACTAAGTCTGTCACACCCCTCTGCCTTCAAGATAAATCATGGCTTCAGGAGCAAGGCAAGGACCAATGCAGGGTCTGACTGCAGAGTGGCCCACCTTGCTTCTCTTAAATAAACAAACTTCTAACCAATGAGTCAGAATCATTGCAGAGGGAACCCTGGGACCTGTATTTTTTTAAAACACCAGACTGCCTCCCTCCTTCACCTGAGGACTGAAAGGCCCTTTCCTCCCACTTCTCCTAATCACACTCCACCTGCCTTTGCCTCCCCACAGATAAGCCACGGTCCAACATTTATGTGCAGCATCTCAGGCTGTGCTGTGAGCCCTGCTATCCATTTCTCCTTCACCAGCCACAACTTTGGGACCTGCTTCATCTACCAAGCCGGGATGCCCCCATACAAACAAACTCTGGTCATCACCAACAAGGAGGAAACGGCTATGAGGTAAGCAGACTTCCCAGAGCCTCCAGAGGATGATCCTGCAGCTCCTTCTGGGACCTACAGCTTCCACCCTGTGAGGTGTGGCCATGACCGGAAAAGAAGGATTATGGGAGTAAGTCAAACACAGGTGGCCATGAATCCAGAGTTTCTTTTCCCCACCACTAATACTGATAGTTGGATAGCCATGAGCTTCCCTGCTGAAAAGCCTCTTCTGGAGTGAGGAAGGCAATGCCAAATGACCCGATGACAGGCTTGATGGCTTCCATTTATTTTCCCCATGCGACAGACGTGGACACTGAGGTTAAGAGAGTTAAAAAGTGAATTTCTCAGGTCAGTGATCTCATAAACAATAGTAGATCTCTGCTGAGCCTAAGTCTTCTGGTTCAGATACACTCTGCACCATCCTGTGTAGAATGTTCCAGTCCAGGTTTCTGGGCCCTGTTACAGACCAAACAAAACAGAATCTCCAGAAACTGGCCAAGGGACCTGTGTTTATCCAAAGCTCTCTTCATGAGTTCTATGCCATAGAACTTTCTTTGATGACAAAAATGTTATAGATCTGCCCTATCCATTGTGGCTACATGTGGCTATGGAACACTTGAAATGTGGCTAGTGAAACTGAGGAACTGAATATTTATTTTAATTAATTTTAATTTAAACAGCCACAGCCCTGGCTGGTGTGGCTCAGTAGATTGAGCACCAGACTGCAAAGCAAAGGGTCACCAGTTTGATTCCCAATCAGGGAACGTGCCTGGGTTGTGGGCCAGGTCCCCAGTAAGGGGCACATGAGATGCAACCACTCATTGATGTTTCTTTCCCTCTCTTTCTCCCTCCCCCCTCTCTAAAAATAAATAAAATCTTTAAAAAATAAAAACAAAAAATAAACTGCCACATTGAGTAGCACAGGTCTAGGTTCAAATCTGGGCTCTTCCCCAGCTATGTGACCTTGGGCAAATTTTTTAAACTCTGTGCCTCTGTCTCATTGCCCCAAGTAGGAGATAATAACAGTACTTTCCTTGTAGGGCTATTAGGAGATCTAGAGATAGTACTTAGAACAGTGCCTAGAACACAAGAAATGCTCAATTATTATATGCTGTCACAGTGGTGGTGGTGGTTATCCTGAATATTAAGTTACGAAAGTGCCACTTATTAAACATCGTTTCTACTTGCACTCTTTCTTGCATGATTTAACTTAATGAGCCTTACTTTGTTCACAGCATCTAGCTCTATTTACCGGCCTAGCTGTTCTCTAAGCACTGTAAGGCAGAAAGGAGACGCTGTAATGGAAAGGTCTAGGTGCCTTCCCACCCACAGGTGGAGCAGGCTGGGCATGATCTTTGAAGGTCCTTGCAGTTGAGCAATCAGTCAGAATAATAGCTCGCCATTATGGCGTGTTTCTTCTGTGGACTGTGTAGTGACTGCTTTAGTCGCTTTATCCCGTGTAATCCTCACAACCACCCCATTCTACAGATACAGAAACCGAGGCCCAAATAGGCTAAGTAGCTTCTCTGAGGTCACATGGCTAGTTAGTGGTAGAGCCTGGATCCAAACCCTGTCCATCTGACTCTAGACGGCATGCTCCTCCCCACCGTCTTTACCACCCAGGTACTTCAGGAAGCACTCCCTTCTTAGGAAAGGTCCAAAACCTGAACTGCATTATCAAGAAACAGGATGAATAGAGTGAGAAGAGCACCGGGCAAAGGGCCATGGGGCTTTGAGCTCGAGACCTGGTTCTGCCAGGATCTCAGGGTGTGATCTGAAGTAAGTGACTTGACTTTGCCCCAGAGAACGTGGGCTGGATTGTTGCTGGGGTCGCTCTCAGCCCTTAAACTCCATGGCTGTAGGACTGCAGGGCAGGAAATCCATCAGGACCAAGCTCCGAGTGATAGGGGGACCAAATCAGTGCCTCGGAACTTACGCACCCCCCTCCTGATTTTCCCCAGCATAGACTGTTTGTACACCAACACCAACTACCTTGAGGTGAACTTCCGTGTCGATGTGATAAAGCCAGGAAAGACGATGGAGATTCCAATCACCTTTTATCCTCGAGAAAGTATCAGTTATCGAGAACTCATCCCCTTTGAAATCAATGGGCTCTCGCAACAAGTAGTTGAAATCAAAGGGAAAGGCACCGAAATGAAGGTAAGAGGAGTTTGGGAGGTCTTCGGACTGGTGCCCTCCTCCTTGCCCCTCCCAGCCACGCTGGCCCAGAGGAGCCCACATCCCACCTCCCCCTCCACATCTCCTGCCCCTTAGCCGCTCTGCCAGAGGTCAGCAGTCCCAACTGAGCGGTGAATTGTCAGATCAGACTCAGGTGAATCATAGATCTTACTCAACACCCAACTTTACTATAGCAAAGGATGTAGGCAGTGAGCACAGGCAGTGAGAAACTTTCTTTTTCTTGGGAAGTTTGAGACTCCCAGATGCTGGATCCTAAGCATGTCCTTTTTCTCCCATATGAGAGCATGTTTTATTTTGGGGTCTAACAGGCAAGATTTGTTTTAAGCAAGGTATGCAGATACGTCTCAGTCATGGAACATCTTTCCCTAACACCATGGTGATTAACATTCTCCAGCCAGCCACGGCTCCCAGGATTAGATTTCACCAAGGGCGCTGCTTCTTACCAGGTGCTCCTAATAGCAAGGGAAGGGTGCAGTCTTCCTGCTGATCCCTGTCTTCCCAGGGTCTGCTAAACATTTCGGTGTCTGTCTGGTGGGAGTATTTGCAGTTAATGGGTGTTTTGGAAGACTGAAGATCTTCCAAGTTTCTCAGGAATGCACAGGACACTTCAGCAACCAAGAGAAAATGGGAAGGGTGTATTCCTGGCTGCCTTCCCATCAAGCAAAGGAGCAACAGAACCATGCCACCTGCTGTGCCTGTGCACAAGCCAGTGACAGGGTCCCTTACGATGTCACTGATTCATTCATTTGTTCGTTCTTTCTTTCACTCATTCAACACCCATTACGTATTAGGTACTTTGGGCAAGTCCAGAGATGACTTAAATATGTTCTCTGACTTCTAGGAGCTCACAGGCTACTGCTGACAACTTACCTTTTAAACAAAATGGAAACATGCGGGCTGGATATGTAGTTGGAGGGGGAGAGTGCAGTTTAGTGACTAATTAAATGACAGTGACCAGTGGGCGCTGCTCACTGTGGTCAGCGCCGTCCTGGAGGGCAAGGCCCAGCCCGACCTTCACCTGATCCAGGCCGACATTGTGTCCAGCGCTTTAGATGAGGACTTAGCAATGCATTTATTTGCCTTTCTATTTCTGCTGCCACCATTCTAGTTCAAGTCACCATCCTCTCCCACACCTCAAGGCTTTCTCTCGTGCCCTCTTGCAGCCCGTCTGCACGGAGGACCGGGCCGAGCTCTCTCACGGAATCCACACTCGACCGGGTCACTCCGTGCCTCACTGGCTTCCCACCCGCTCCAGATTACAGCCCGACCACCCGCCACACTCAGTCTTCTCCAGTCTCCCTGGGCTCCCAGCCGCAGGCTTGGACCGAGCCAGCCTCTGCAGCTCAGGGCCCCACTCCTCCCCAAGATATTCTCCCACCGCACACCCACCCTGACTCACGCCGATCAGACCCTGCCCTTCCTTTACCTCTCAGTGTGAACATGCCTCGGGGCCTTGGGGGTCTCCAGAACCCCAGTCTATCTCAGCCCCCTCCAGTGTGCTCTCAGGTACCGGAGCTTTCCCTTCACATCTCTTACCCGGCTGTAATTACGTAATTGCTGTGTAGTGGGCACTTTATGCACAAACATGCTCAGTGAGTGAGTGAATGCGCACTTCATGTGAAGAGTGCGGGGCACCGACAGGGAGGGACCTCCCGAGGCTCACCACGGCGGGCATGTGATGTTTATTTTTCCCATTAACTGACAAACCCTCCCTCCCCGTTGTCTGTCTTGTCCCACAGATTTTAGTCCTAGATCCAGCCAATAGGATTGTGAAGTTAGGAGCTGTCCTGCCAGGACAGGTTGTGAAAAAAACAGTCTCCGTCATGAACAACAGCCAAGCCCAGCTCACATTTAGCCAGTCAGTCCTGTTCTCGACTCCAGAACTCCAGGAACCTAAGGTTGGTGCTTGGGGCTCCCGGGGGCCTCTCTGTGCTTCCTGGTGCCGTAAATGACCTTGCTAACAGCACTGACAGCTCACGGGTCTCCTGCACCTGCAATGCGCCAACACACTCGAGCGGCTGTCCACGCACCACCTGCATTCGCCTCCACAGAAACGGTCAGGTGTTCGTGCTTTTATCACTCTCGTTTCACGGATAAGGAAAGCAAGGCTCAGGGAGGCCGCATTCTTCTAACGAGCAGCAGAGTGAAACAGAAAGAGAGCTGGACTGGACGATGCGAGTCTGTGGCTGCTGGTGAACATGCACAGGTCCCCAGTGTAGAACAGGTGAAAACTGTGGAAAACCACAAAGGAAAACAATTTTGCCCAGACTCTCAAATCCAGAAATAATCACTTAACATTTTGGTGCCTATCTTTCCAGTTTTTCCCCTATGCATTTTTTTTTACAAAAACAAAATGACAGTGTTCGTACTGTTTTGGAATCATCGAGCAGTAGATCGTGAACATTTTCTGTGTCCTTCGGGGCCACGTGTTTGTTCCCGCCTCCGCTGCGTAGGGAGGCCTGCTGTCCGTTTCTGCTCACTGCAGGTGGCCCTGATGTTTTACATCAGAAACCACCACGTAAAGCGATGCAGCCGAAGCTTTGTGTGCATCCTCGGCTCTCTGCGTAAGACAGATTCCTAGAAGAGGGCTCGTTGGATCAAGAAGAAGAGTACATTTTAGTGCGCATCACCAATCTGCCCCCTTCCCACCCCCATGAGCTGTGTGAAGGCTCACGTTTGCTCCCTGGACAGAGAAGCCACCAGGCCCAGGCGCCTGCTCCCCGTCTCACAGGCAGCAGCGTCTGGGCGGCCCCTGTACACAGGCCAAGTGTGCTTCATTCCAAGGGTGAACTTATCCATCCCCTCAGTCAATTCATTCTTATACTCACTCAGTAAACGGGTGCTAGGTGCTAAAAATGTAAAGATGTGTGTTAGTCGGCTTGGGCTGCCTTAACAAAATGCCATAGCCTGGGGGGCTTACACAGTGGACATTTGCTTTCTCACAGCTCTGGAAGCTGGCAGTCTGAGATCAGAGTGCCAGCCTGGTCTGTTTCTGGTGAGGGGGCTCCTCCTGCCGCGGAGATGGCCACCTTCTTGAAGGGTGTGTGCACACAGCAGAGAGCAAGCTAGACTGAGCTGTCTGGTGTCTCCACTCCCATCACGAGGGTCTGTCTGTCGTGACCTCATTGAAGCCTAATTACGTCTCGTAGGATCAGGAGAGAGCTGCTCAAAGGGGGGTCAGGGGCCACGGAAGGCCTCACGGTGGAGAGAGGTCCGCGCTGGGCATCACGGGGTGAGGAGTGCTCCCAGGCACACAGACTGGGGACGGTGATTCTGGCAGGCACAGGTGTACAGCCTGGAAAGAGTCAGTGCTTTTGGAAAGCCATATGTGATTCAGTGTGACAGGAACACTGTGGACCATCTGGAAAGGCAGGATACAGAAAAATGGGCTGTGAGAGGCCAGCCAAATCAAGAGACCCGGTGGATACCTCAGCCCAGGACCCCCTGTTGCTCACTCTGTCATTCGGAGAAGGAGGACAAACTTGTTGCTTCCCATCCCTCATTAATCCAAATGAAACTCCTCAGCCCCAGTGGGTCAGGGCCTCTAATGGTCTGGCCATACCCATTCTGCTTCTTTGGTTGGTCAGACTCAACTTCAAGCTGCCACAGTGACCTGTGCTGACACCCTCACCCGGGGGTTGGCTCCCGGCATCACTGTGTTGTGAGGAATCTCCAGGAGTGCTCTGCTATTGCACCTCTCGGCCCATTCCCTCACCCCCTGCTGCCTCAGCCCACTTTCTGGCCACTGCTCAGAACTCTGTACCAAAAGGAGCTCAGGGCTGAAAAGGGTTTTGGCTTCTTTAAAGCTGACTTTGATTTGCCTTTACCGGGACAAAGTGGGGAGAGAAGACCATACAAATTCAAATGGTGGTTCTCCTCCTTAAGAATGCACAGGTCTCCCTGAGCACTTTGAAAACGCAGATTCCGAGCTCCCCCAAGGACACTGATCCAGTCAGCCCAGGGCAGGACCTGGGGATCTGCATCGTGACCAGTGCACCGGGAAGTGCGCTGGGGAGTGCTCCTCAAAAAACCCCCAAGCACTGAGGGTTTTTATTTCCTCTTGCTATTTCCTCCACCAGAGGGTAGGGGTTATTGGCAAAAGGTTGGAAAGAGAATTAATGTTTATTGAGTGCCTACTCTACGCCACACGTGTTATACAGATGATCTGAGTTCAGTGACTTGTCAAAGGTGACACGCTGGTAAGAGGCAGCAGGAGCGAGATCTGCCCCCTGGGCTGCTGCAGCCCCAGCAGCAAGGCCTCCAGGGAGGGACACCTCAGAAACCCCTGTCCTCAGCTGCTGAGTCTCGCTGTCGTCTCGCCCAGGTCATCACCTTGGTTCCATTCCACAACATCACTCTGAAGCCCAAGGAAGTCTGTAAGCTGGAAATCATCTTTGCCCCGAAGAAGCGTGTCCCCCACTTCTCCGAGGAAGTGTTCATGGAAAGCATGGGGCTCCTGCGCCCCCTCTTTCTCCTCAGCGGCTGCTGCCAGGCTCTGGAGATCTCCCTGGACCAGCAGCACATTCCCTTCGGACCAGTCGTGTTTCAGACGAAAGCCACGCGTCGCATCCTCATGTTGAACACAGGCGACGTGGGTGCAAGGTAGGAGCTGGAGCAGGGAGCTGCAGCAGACTGCAGGATCAGATCAGACACTTGTTTTACAAGTGTGGCCACTTTGGCTCTCTTCCCCCTCCCTTTCCCATCTCCTTCCTTCCCTCAAAATGTGACAGCGCTGGCCTCTCCAGGGTATCCTGCTCCTGTGATTACCAAAACTAATATGACAGAGAATTTTGCTCGGTGCCTGTTATATGCCCTTTACATGGCTCCTGTCCTCTAACCTCAACAATTCCATGAGACCAGTGCTACGACGGATCCATTTCACAGACGAGATAACTGAGGTACAAAGAGACCAAGTAATTTTCCCAAAATCCTGCATTTAGCAAGAACTTAACCAGGCACAGGTGCAAAGCTGGGCATTATTACATAGAAGATCCCATTTGATTACCTCAGAACCCTCTAAGGTAGGTACTATATTGTCCCCTTTTCACAGATGAATTTGAGGCCCAAAGAGGTCAGGCTGCTTGCCTGGGGTTACACAGCCAGGAAGTGAGAAAGATGGGGTTGGAATCCAGGTGTACCCATGGCCACTCGCCTTTCCAGGACCTTCCCTCTTGCTAGCGGGTGCCTACCCGTCATGCCACCAAAGCTGTGCAGGCTGTGCACCACACACCTGCAGAGCTGCCCTTCACACAGACTCGGTGTGAAGCGCCCTTAGGGTACAGTGGGGCAGGCCTGGCAATGAACGTACATTGGTCTGCACCATCCACCCTCGGTCTCCTGCCTGGACCAAATGCCCAACCACAGAGGGATGACCCCACAGGGCCATCAGATCCCAATGCCACCAAGAGCAGATGCAACTCTCACATGAAGAGATCGTCTCCACCCTCCTGGATTTGACCTAAGAGGCACTGCAGGGAGTGGTTAAGTCTACAGTCTGGGGAGGGTTTTAGTCCTAGCTCGGCCACTTCTGATACAACCTTGAGCACACATGTGTAAGCATGTTCATGTGTATGTGCCCTGATGTGTCACTGTGGGCAGTAAGATAAGACGCGGCCCCTTCCCACCTGCTCAACTCAGAGGGAGCCAAGTCAGTGTACACAAGAGTGGCTGTGGCCTACGTCCCCACCTACCCCTGCTCGGCTTAGAAGGGGAGCTGAGTTATCTCACCCAGGAGTGACTTGGCCCTGTCTCCACCTGCCTCTGCTTCACCGAGCAGTCTCTCCTCCCTGGTCCCATGGAGTCCATGAGGGGATGAACCTCCAGTGTCTCGTTCTCAGCAGCACTGAGGACAACCCCAGACACTAGTCAACTACCTTCCCTGTCTCCTTTTGTCTTGGAAAAGGTTTAAATGGGATGCCAAAAAATTCGAGCCTCATTTCTCCATCAAACCGGAAGAAGGCTATATCACTACAGGCATGGAGGTTTCTTTCGAAGTCACCTACCGCCCCACGGAGGTGGGCAAGGAGAGTTTCTACAAAAATTTGCCCTGCTTCATCCAGGGAGGCAGTCCTCTGAGCCTAACCCTGTCTGGAGTCTGCGTAGGACCACCTGCAGTAAAAGAGGTCAGTCAGTGCTGCCCACGGGTGGGCCAGTGGCCAGGGTGGGCCTAGGAAGCCATGCAAGTGAACTCAGCCAGGCCTTCCAGAAACAGACGACTCTGTTCAAACAGTCCTCACTGCCCACACCAAAGAGTCAGACCTGCTGCCTCTCCACACAGGGCCTTCACACATGCTTGTTCCCACTGCTGGAATATTCACTTTCCCCTCTTCATTTAACTCCTATTCGTTCTTCAGCTCTCAACTCCAGCATTACATTCTTGAGGAGGCTTGCATTGGCATCTCTGGCTAGATCAAATTCTGTTATAAGTTGTGAGTAAAGGGTGAATTTAAAAAACGATAGTCTTGGGTTAACCCTGTGCTAGCTCTGCAGCCAGAAGCCTAACCGTGCACGCCAGCTGTGTTCCTGGCAACATGGCGTATGGCAAAACGACACCTGACCCTCCCCTCTGTAGTTGTGTTCATTCAAGAACGGTATGGAAGTAGAATCATACAGTACACTATAAACACATGTGTACAAATCTTGGCAAGAACTTATGCTTTTATTTTCTCAGGGAAATATTTAGCAGTGGATTGTCTGGGTCATACGGTGGGTGTGCATTTACCTTCCTAAGAACCTAGCAAACTGTTTTTACAAAGTGGTTGTGTCATCTTACATTCCCACTAGTAATGTCTGTCATTTGTACTTGCATCACATCCTTTTCAACCCTTGATATGGTCTTTTTGGGGTTTTTTAACGTTAGCCATTCTAATAGGTATGTAGTGGCATTTCATTGTGGTTTTTCATTTGCATTTCCCTACCAACTAATGATGTTGAGCACCTTCTCAGGGACTTATTTGCTATCCATCTATATTCTTGGGTAAAATATCTGTTTAAATCTTCTATTTTTAATTGTTTTTTATTTTCTTATTATTGAGTCTTCAGGGCTTTGTATATATTCAGGACACAGAGTTGACATTTAGATGTTCGATCTGTTTAAAGTTCATTTTTGTACGCAGTGCAAGACGTGGATCAAAATTCTTCTCTGTGTGTGGTTAGCTAATGATCCCAGCACCATTTGCTTAAAAGATTATCCTTTCCCCACTGAATTGCCTTTGCACTTCGATGACAAATTAATCGATCATGTATGTGTGGTCCCATTGTTGAGCTCCATTCTTGTCCATCGATCTATTTGGCCCTCTGTACACCAATGCCACATTGGTCCATGCTGCTACATTCAATAGCCGGTTCTCACCCCTCATCTCACTTGACCTGCTGGTGGCATTTGGCACCTTGAACAAGCACCTCCTCCTTCGGACAGTCCTTCACAGGGCTCCCAGGAGACCACCCCCCATGGCTCTCCTCCTCTCCACTTAGCTGCTCCTTCTCTCTCCTTTTCCAATTCTTCTTAACATTGGAGTGTGCCGGTCAGGTATTAGACCTTAAATTGCTTTTTTTTTCTCTAAATACATTTACTTCTTGATAATCTCATCCAGTTTCTTGCCTTAAAAAAACATCACTAAACTGACTACTCCCAATGTGTATCTGCAGCCTGAACCTTGCTTTGAACTCCAGATTTGTAAATTCCACTGCCTGTACAAGGGGCCTCTTTTCTTCCAGGTGGTAAATTTTACCTGCCAGGTACGCTCCAAGCACACACAGACCATCATGCTTTCTAATCGCACCAACCAGACCTGGAATCTGCACCCCATCTTTGAGGGTGAGCACTGGGAGGGGTCTGAGTTCATCACCCTGGAGCCCCATCAGCAAAACAAGCCCTATGAGATTACCTACAGGCCGCGCACCATGAACTTGGAGAACCGCAAGCATCAGGTAGGATGTGCACCCCATCAGTTTCCGGCACGACTGGAGGAGGAGGAGTGTGAGAGAGGTTAAGAGACAGAGTTTGGCAGTTCAGAGATTGTTAGAACAAAAGTCGACCCCACCTTCTAGAACCTCCCCTCCCAATCCTGTTGAGATACAGCCTTGGTTGCCATCATAACAGACCCAATTTTTCATTCTGTTTATCTTCACATTACATCAGATCATGAGAATTTTTCTATTTAATTAAATAGTCTTCATGATAATCATTTTTAATGATTGCCTAATATTTCATGGAATGAGGGTTCCATAATTTATTTAACATTCCCCAGTTGTTGAGTGTTTATCTCCAAATTTTTGTATTATAAATGGTTCTAATACATACACATGTATATGTACGTCACTTTTTCTGCTGGAGGATTTTTCTTCAGTAAGTTCCCTTGTCTGTGATTCCTGAATCAAATGTGTGAATGGCTTCATGACTCCTGAAACAAGCTGCTTTCCAAAAGTGTTATGCTTGTTTGCGGAGCCTCCATTAATCCTGTGACTGCCATGCCTGAGGGGTACCTAATAAAGCCCCCTCTGTATCACTCTGACCACATTTCTTCCTCTCCTTAGGGCACCCTCTTCTTCCCTCTGCCAGATGGGACCGGCTGGCTGTATGCACTGCATGGCACTACTGAGCTCCCAAAACCCGTGGCCAATATCTACCGAGAAGTACCATGTAAGACGCCCTACACTGAGCTCCTGCCAATCACCAACTGGCTGAACAAGCCCCAGAGGTGAGGGGGTGGGGCAAGGGCTCGGAGGGGAGGAGACAGACAGAGGACTTCCCCTGTCTCCCCTTGGTCAGGGTCTCTAGAGGACACTGGCCAAAAGGGTCAGAGGAAAAGCTCCCTGATGTGGCCAGGCACTGCCGGAACGCTGAGCCTCCAGAGAGAGTCTTCTGCTCAGTGCTGTCTGTGAATAGCTGATGACTCGGACATCCCTTACCACGGTGCCCGGCACAACATAAGTGCTCAGTAGATGTTATTTATTCCTCTTATTACTGGTACTGATGATATCATAACAATGACCATGATTGTTATTATGGAGTGCTCAGTCTCAACACCTAAGCCACTGGCCAGAGAAGGACATCGCTTGGACCTTGTACTTGAAGTAGGAGTAGAGTAGAACACAAGGACTAGAGGAGCTTGAGGTCAACCAGCCCAGTCCCTTCCTTTGTAGTGAAGGAACCGAGGGCTGGGAGAAGAGTCCACCTGCTTAGTGTCGTGGGTGAAGGCCCCAAGTCAGAAACCCAGTTCTGCCAATAACCAGTCGTCTTACCTGAGCATGTTGTCTTCCTTCTCATGACCTTATTTCCTCACTAGTGAAATGCAGATGGTAATGGTATGCACCTCCTGCAGGCATCACAGGGATGAAATGCTAGGAGTGAAGACTAGAACCCTGGGCCCTTGTGTTGTACAGACATTCAAGAGTAGAGACAGCACCTTGCCTTTTTTCTTTGGGCAAAGTTCACATTTTCTCTACTCTCTCTTCTCATGCTCCCCTGCTCCCCCAGATTCCGGGTCATTGTGGAAATCCTGAAACCAGAGAGGCTAGACCTGAGTGTCACCCTAAAGGGCCTTGACTACATCGATGTGCTGTCTGGAGCCAAGAAAGACTACAAGCTGAACTTCTTTTCCCACAAGGAGGGGCTCTACAGTGCAAAGGTACCCACACGTCAAAGGCACTGCTCTGAAACCCGGGAGGTCTGACCCTGAGGCGGACAGTCCTGGTGTTAGGGAGTGATGGTGTCCTCCATAGCCAGCCTGTCCTTATCATATTGGGCAGTTTAGAGTGACCTGGCAAAGGCACTCAGGATTCCCAGTCTCTTGAAGATGACACCAGATTGCAAGGCCAGCCAGCCATCCTGAGTAGGCCCATGCTGAGTTTTCAGGGCAGGAGAATCATGGAAACCTTTATGTACTAGGTAACACCGGACCGGCAACTACCAGACCAACAATAATATGTGTCCTGTTTTCTGAGTGCTTATGGGATGTCCAACCTCGTGCTGAGCACTCAACACACATAGCAAGTGACGTCAGAGCGAGGGTTCAACTCAGAGCCACCTACTTCAAGACACCACGGGGTCTTTCACCTATGAGCTGGTTTTCCTGATTCATTCATTACTGCAATTAATACCCATCGAGTATATATGTCACATACCAGCGCTGGTAACACGACAGTCGCCAGAATGAGGCGCAGTCCCTGTTCTCACGGAGCACACAGTCGGATGAAGGGGCACAGACATTAACCGAACGGCTGCATGATGACTGTGTTGTTATGGAACGGGGTACGTGCTTGATGAGCAGCAGCACATACGGCTCAGTAGCTCTCAGGAGAGGTCAGGGCTCAAGATAATGTATGGAAATTACCCTTTTATCAGTGGTATTTGCAGCTATGTGGAGAATGGAATTACCTAGGGAAAGATTTTAAAGTGAAAAAATAGAATCCAGGAACGCATCTCACCCCTCAAGAAGAGATACTCGCAAAGCCCACCCGGCAGCACTTTGCGCCCCTCCCGCAGTCATTGAGGGGGCTGCTCCCCTGGGATCACAGCCACAGACGGGCTCACACCGAGGAATCGGAAAGCACCTGAGGAGGAGGAAGCCTCCATGCAATAGAAATACCAGCTCAAGAAATAAGAACTCCTGAGATAAGAGTTATTAAATCAAACAGGAGACTTTTAGTAAATATTATAAATATACTCAAGGGAATAAAGGGAGATAATCATATCCATGAAATAAGAACAGACTGTTGTGGGAGAGAATTCCACTGGAGACCTTGGACATGAAAAATAGGATATTTGGAGTAGAAAACCATAGAGGACAGCTGAAGAGTATAATGGACTCTGAGGAAGAGGTTACTTCTCAGTTAGAAGAGCTGAGTACTATCACCAGACTTCAGCACATGAGCACAAAGAACTGGCAAGATGAAAGGAAATAGAAGCAGAGGTTGGAGAGGGTGTGGAGAAACTGGATCCATCGATGTGAGAGGATAATACCGCAGCCACCTGGAAAACAGGCTGGCAGTTCTTCCAATGCCTAAACATAGACTTATTGTACAGGTCAGCCATTTCATTCCTAGGTATATGCACAAGATAAATGAAAACATGTGTCCACACAAAAACCTGTGCATAAATGTTCATAGCAGCATTAGGCATAAGAGCCAAACATGGAAACGACCAAAATGTCCATCAGCGGATGAATGGATAAACACAGTGGGAGGTTACCTGGCAGTAACAAAGTGGAGGTGAAGTGCTGATTCGTGGAACACATGGGCGAGCCTCGAAAACAAACATGCCAAGTGAACAAAGCCACTTACAAATGACCACGTACCTATGATTTCATGTCCATGAAGAGTCCGGAACAGGCACGTGTTTAGAAACAGAAAGTAGATCAGTGACAGACCCGGGCGTGGGGGGCGTGAGGAGGAGATGAGGAATGGCTGTTAGTGGATGCGGGGCTTCTTTCTGGGGAAATGAAAATGCTCTAAATCAAATAATAGGACTAATGACTGTGTAATTACAAATGAGATAAGTGCTTTGTGAATATACTCCAAGTTATTAAATTGTACCATTTAAATGGGTGGATTGTATGGAACGTGAATTATATTTCAATAAAGTCTTTTTTTAAATGATAGGAAATATGAGACATAATATATGTCAAGAAGTTGTAATATCCACCTAAGAGGAGCTCTTGAAACAGAAAAACAAGATAATAGAAGGAAGAAAACACCCTGCAACAATAATTGGATAAAAATTTCCAAGGCTATTGGAGAAAGGGAGCCTTCTAGTTGAAAGGACCCACCAAGTCGCCAAACAGGTTAAATGAAAGAAAGGCTCACATCTAAATACATGAGAACAAAATTTCAGAGGACTTGGATAAAAAGAGAAAGTCCTAACTTATTCTAGAAAAATGCAAAGGAAATAGTAATCACAGCAACATCAGGTTTCTCAAGGCAACACTGAACACAGGGAGCCCTGGAGGAAGCTATTCAAACTACTTAGAATTGTTTTAACCTAGAGCTCAAAACTGTTTTGAGGGCAAAACAAACACATTTTTAAACACACAAGGACTCAAAGTAACCCACCCATGTACACAATCTCTACAAAATTAAAACCTTAAATTAACAAACATTTTAAAATAAGTAAATGAATTGAAGAGGAAAGTACAAGGATACATTGAACAATGAATCTAAACTAAATTGATAGGTAATTTCAAATAATTTCAAATATTGAGAAGCAATCTGAAATACTTCTTGTGACCTCAGGATAGGAAATAGCAAGGGTAGGAATAAGATAAGGCAATGAAAAATATGTTCTCATTCTGTTGGAAGCAAATGGGGAACTATTTCCTGTTCACAGAGAAGGGCAGGGAGAGAAGAGAGATACTCACAAACTGCAGATGTGAACAGGAAGATAAATACAGGGTCCAGCACAAATAACACCCCCTTTTTATGAGCTGCTAACCTATACCAAATCTTTTATTGCAAAATCATAAACATGTAATTCTGTAACATAACAGTGTCACACTCAAGCACACCATAGGACATTTTAGGTGAAATGTTCCAATTGCTGTCCATCTTGTGTGAGACATTCACATACCCTACCAATCACACTCATGGCGTTACTTCTGCCAGACACTGTATATGTATTAAAATGGAAGCATAAAGACATCTGTGTAAAAATGACAATGAACCCAGATCACAAACTCTCTTTACAATAATACGGATTAAAATTAACAGTAACAACAAAAAAGTTTTTAAAAAGCAAAAGCACTTTTGGTTATGATGGAGTAACTAGTCCTCACACCATGAAAAAACCATAAAACTGGACAAAATGTCCGAGGCAAGCCTTCTGAGTCGTTGGAGGACAGGCAGAACAATACCACAATTCATCAGAAAGAAGGAGATTTATGAGATGAGTCCCCATGACTGCCCTGGCTCTCTGCCCAGAGACAATTTCCTGACCTCAGTGCAGTGCACCCGAGTCTCAGTGAAGTGCAGCAGCCCCAGTGAACTGAGGCGGCAGAAGTCAGAGTGCGGTGCAGCTGAAATAGCTGGTCTCTACAGGGTAAGGCACCAGAGAGGACGCAGTGGGACATGGAGCGAGTGGGAGGATGAAAGTCTGCATGGGATGTCTGCTCGGCGTCCGTGGCTGAAGTTGGACTGCACGTGCAGAGGGCGAGACTACATGAGGTTTACCAGAGAGCAGCTGCTACGGGGGTGAGAAGGAATAAAGGCACACAACACTGACTGGTGCTGGGGAACACTGGAGGTCTGGCCCAGTGGAGGGGCTGTATTAACACCCCCTCAATGATCCTGGAAACCCAGCTGAAACACTAAAAAGACCACAAGGAGGACCATGCCTTTAGCATAAGACCTTCTGCTGACCAGCCTGAGAAAGCCTAAAACTAGGCACATACAAGATCAACAAGGAAGACAAAATTGGGAGGTTGAATCCCACCAAGTTGGAAGGTTTTTAGGAACACCTTGGGTTTTCCACATATCTGCTCTAACAAAGTATAAAACCAAATCTACACAAGTTTAAGGTGTTAGTGATTGAACTGTCTCCTAGAATAAATTCAATACTCTTATAAGGAAGATAACAGAATCCAGAATCCCTATAATGATCAACAGTGTCCAGTACACAGACAAAAATTACTACACTTGTGGAGAAGCCGGAAACTGTGACCCAAGCCCAGGAGGAAGCAGTCAAGGGAAACTGACTCAAAGATGGGCCAGACATTGGATTTAGCAGGCAAAGCCTTCAAAGAAGCTAACATAAACATGTTCAAGAACTAAAAGAAAATGTTGTAAATAATTAAATAAAAGATGGTCTCAATGAGTGGACAGATAAGGAATCTCAGCAGAGAAATATAAACTATAAATAGAACCAAGTGGATATTTTAGAACTGAAAAGTACAGCAAACTGAAATGAAAAATTCATTGGATGTGCTTAACAGCTGGTTAGAGACCTGAGAAGATTCACGAAACTTGAAACAAATCAATAGAACACTTCCAGTCTGAAGGACAGAGAGAAAGAAGATTGAGGAAAAACGACCAGAGCCCCCGGAACCTGTGAGAAAATATAAAATGGTCTAATACACCAGTAATGTGAGCCAGCAGAGAAGAAAGTGAGAATGAGATGGAAAATTATTTGAAAAAATAATGGCTGAAATTTCCCTGATTTGATTTTAGTTTAATGACTTACAGATCCAAGAAACTTGGCAAACCTCAAGCAGGAAAAATACAAAGAAAGCCATACCTTGTGCACATCGTAATAAAACTGTTGAAAACCACAGATAAAAAGAAAAGCTTCCAACAACTGGATTTAAAGGATCTATGACATACAGGGGACAAAAATAAAAAGAAGCACTGCCTTCTCCTCAGAAATAATGGGATCCATCTGCAAAGTACTGAGAGAAACAAAATATCAATTTAAAATTCTCTACTCACTGACAATATCCTTTAAAACCAAGGGTGACACAGACATTTTCAGATAAAAGAACACGGGAGAATTCATTGCCGGCAGCCTGGCAGCACTGAATGCATCAGCATTATTAGAATGCAAATAGGTGTTGTTCAGTCTGAAGGGAAATGATACCAGATGGAGACTTGGGTCTGCTGGAAGGAAAGAAAAGCACTAAAAATGGTAAATAAGTAGATAAATATTAAAATGTTTCTCTTCTCATAATTTTGTTTAAAAGACAACTGATAGTTTATTGAAAATACAACACTGTAAAGTGGATGCTCTTATATCCATAGAAGTAAAAGATACAAAGACAAAAGTGTAAAAGATGGATGGATAGGTGCATGCGATTATACTTCAGTAAGGTTATCACATCTGTGAGCTGGGAAGTGTGAGGTAGGAAGCATGAAGAGTCAGTTGTAAAGTGGGAAGTAATAAAATACTCTAAATTTGGACAAGTTAAAACTTCATGTTATCAGCTCTACCGTAACCACTAAAAATCTGTTATATAGCTAAGAAGCCATTAAAGGAAATACATTCCAAAAAATTACACATGGATCCAACAGAATGCAGGAAAGTAGCAACAGACAAATGACAAAATGAGACCAACATTAAAAAAATAGCATGAGGTCAGACTTCAACCCAAACATGTAAATAATTATTTTAAGTATAAAAGACACCCCAATGAAAAGACAAAGGAGGAAGCACCCTAAATCTAAAGACAGAAAGAGAAGCCCTGCTGGCGTAGCTCAGTGGATTGACCTCGGGCTGGGAACCAAAGTGTCCCAGGTTCGATTCCCAGCCAGGGTATATTCCTGGGTTGCAGGCCATAACCCCCAGCAACTGCACATTGATGTTTCTCTCTCTTTCTCTCTCTCTCTCTCTCCCCCCCACTTCCCTCCCTAAAAATAAATAAATTTAAAAAAAAATCTTTAAAAAAAATAAAGACAGAAAGAGGTTGAAAGCAAAACCCCAGGTATGTTAGGAACTGTTACCACCTAATAATAAGATAAATAACCAAAAGTATTAAAAAGGGCAAAACACTAGAACAGACTCTGTTTCACAAAGTAGATATGTGAATGACCAATAAGCACCTGAGAAAATGCTGAACATCATCAGTCATCTGGGAAGAGAACTCAAAACGGTGAGCACTTTGCCAATAACAAGTCAGCCGCAGGGGTGAAGGGACAATATACTGCAGTTCCAAGTGTGAGCGCTGCAATCAGTCCAACCCCGGTTCAAATCCTGGTTCTGACGCATCTCAACATTAAGTCAGGGTACTTAATATTGCTAAGCCTCATTTTCCTCATCCTTAAAAAAAAACAGTGAGGGAACAATAATGTCGGTTACAGATTGTGTGACTATAACAATGAGGTACTTCTGGTGCCTGGCACACAGTAATCATACAGTGTTAGATGCTATCATCATCATCATCATCATCATCATCATCATCATCAAAGTATTCCAGCAACAACAGGAATGGGAGTGAAACCCACTACGACATCAACCTCTCAAGGTCTTGCTTGTTCTCCAGGGCCAGCCGGCCCCCCACGGGGGAGACCTGCACGGGCAGCACTAGACGGGCCTGTTCTGGCCTCTCCCAGCAAACCCAGGCTACGTAACTCTCCGCGGGGAAGAGCCAGCGCGACCATCTAAAGAGAAAGGCGCTGGCAGGGATTCCGAGCGTCAGCCTGGGACCCTGCTCCGTGTGCCAGGCGTGGCTCCCGGAGAGAGGGACCCAGCTAACCCCTCTTCTCTGCCCTGTTTCCTCCCGCCCTCCCGCGAACTCAGGTGATCTTCCGAAACGAGGTGACCGGCGAGTTCTTATACTACATGGTGAGTTTCAGGGTCATCCCCTCAGGCGTCGTCAGAACCATCGAGATGATGAGCCCCGTGCGGCAGAGCACCTCGTCCTCCGTCAAGGTGGAGAACCCCCTGCCCTACTCGGTGACCTTCGCCGTGGAATGCAGGGTGCCCGACATCAACCTGCCCTCCCAGTTTGTGGTGCCTGCCAACTCTGAGGTACGACCGACCAGCTGCCAGGGGCCCCGAAAGCTATGCCAGAGGCTCTGCCCTTGGGGCTCTGGATCCGGGGTGCGCATCCCGGAGGCGGGGCCAGCCCGGCGGCGGTGGTCTCTGATGTGCTTCCGGAGAGGACCCAGTACCTACTTTTAGATTCAGAGAGATTCCAGCTCTAGAAATACCTGGAACAGGGGAAGCGAGGGTACAGGGGAGGAGAAGTGGGCCATTTTAGACAGAGGTTCCCTGGGCTCGGGATCAGTGGGAGCATTCGCTGCTGAAGCGCCATTTCTGCATCCAATCTGCTCTGAGGTCACGGGGTGGCAGGGGATCAGTGGGACCTTCAGCATCACATGAGGCTTCTGTGTCCCCTTGCAGGGCACATTCTCCTTTGAATTCCAGCCCCTGCGAGCTGGAGAAACCTTCGGGAGACTAGTTCTGCACAACAGTGATTTGGGTTACTACCAGTATGAGCTCAACTTGAAGGCTATGCCAGCACTGCCTGAAAAGCCCATCCACTTCCAGGCTGTTCTTGGCAGCGGCCAGAGCATCTTTGCCAAGATCATCAATTACACCCGGCAGAAGACAGAATACTACTGCAGGGTGAGCGGCCCCACCCCACCCATGTGCCCTTCCCTTCCCAAAGTCCGACCTCAAAAATAATGGGAGGAGGACATAGGGGGTGCAGAAGTATGAAACTCAGGACCATTGGGGGCTTTATCTAGCCTGGAAACTCCCAGTGAGAAGTACGTAGTATAAGGCCTGGGTTCTTTCTTAAAGACTTTCTATCTTAACAAGCTGGGTGCAGGGGTGGGGTTTTGCTTCCCACTGCGTGTTCAGTAATCAGTAAAGGGAGACAGTAGAGCTTCATGGTCATGCACATAGGCGTGCAAGCCAGCAGACCTGGATTTGAATCCTGGCTCCACCATGTACTCTTTGTGTGACTAATTTACTGAAGCTCTCTAAGCTTATCTACAATGGGTAACAATACCCTGGACTCACAGGATTGCCATGAGGATTTTAAAATATGTGCATAAAACCATTCTCATAGAGCCTAATGCATAGAAAATACTCCATATATATTACCTATTATATAAGTTGGAATATAAGTTTAACTACTGAAACAAAAACCCAAAACGACAACAAAACAGAAGTTTATTCCTTTCTCAAACAACTGTGGGCCTAAGCAGTCTGGGCTGGAATGGTAGCCCCATGACATCCGGCCCGCAGATGCCTGTCCTGACGCTCTTCCCGCTGGAGAGAGTCGCTTTGGCCCACATGGACCAAGACCATTTCCCACGACACCCACATGCTAGCCAGCTACCAGGGAGAAGGGCGGGCTGCAGAAACACAGTCCTCTCACGCTGCATTGACCAAAACTGCACAGGACCACGCCTAGCCATAAGGGGAGCTAGGAAGTGCAGTCTGCGTGGCCATGTGCCCGGTTAATGTCGGGCTACAGTCAGAGGCACAGGCTCCTGATCAGACCTGTCAGTCAGGAGAAGTTAGGTTATACTGCAGTAACAAAGAGCCTCAATACCTCCGTGGCTTAAAAGCACAAAGGTTTGTGTCTCGTTTGCACTGAATCCAGTGAAGCTCAGCAGGGGACTCTGCCCATCACAGCCACTCAGGGATCCAGGCTGAGGGGCAACCACCATCTCGCCTGTTCCCAGTCAGAGTACCAGAGGGGTGGAAAGACCCCGCAGGGACTCGTGCTGGTGACTGGATGCTCTGGTGTGGAAATGACACCTGTCACTTCTTGCAACTAACCGTCCAGAAGCAGCCACACCCACCCATGAGGATCTAGAATGTTCAGTCTTATATGTGCCTGGAGGAAAGAAGGGGTGGGTGTGGGGAGCAGCACCAGTGACTGCCGCGCCGCACAGTCCAGCCCTCTGTCTTCGGGCAAGTCATCTGATGTCTCTTGGGCTCGGTTTCTTTGTAGTAAAATGGGGATAACAATCAGCGGCACCTCTCTTCAGGAGAGTGATAAGGACATGGGCTTTTTCTGACCTGCCTGGCTGAGAGTGGAGGGGCGGGGGATGCACCTGAGCTTCTGGTATAACCTTCAGGATCCCACGTGAGCCGAGTGTATGTATTCCCTTTTCAGACCGACTGTCTCGACTTCCACACGGAGAAGGTCGTTAGCGCGGCCCCGGGGGCTCAGGGAGGCACGGAGGTCAGTGTGGAGGTCTACTTTGAGCCCAGCCACCTGGGCGAGACCAAGGGCATCCTGAGCCTCTCGTCACTGGCAGGCGGGGAGTATACCATCCCCCTCTTCGGAATGGCCCTGCCCCCCAAGCCACAAGGCCCCTTCCTGATCCGAGCCGGATACAACATAGTCATCCCCTTCAAGAATGTGTTCTACCACACGGTCACCTTCTCCTTCATCGTGGAGAACCTGGCCTTCTCCATCCGGGCCGTAGACACGGTGCGGCCCAAGAAGATCAACAACATCACAGTCTACTTCGACGGAAACCCGTCGGGCAGCAAAACACCCATCACCAGCAAGCTGATTGTGGTGTGCCCTCCCGGCGAGGGCAGAGAAACAAGAATTAAATGGGTTTATTATCTGAAGGGGATCACCCCTTAGTGGTAACCAGAGCCAGCTGCACCAAGAAAGAGCCCTCCCCTCAGCCTTAATATCTATGGACTGTGCTGGCCCGGTGAACAGAGAAAAAAATCAGAATTCTAAAGGCACTGTTTTCCCTCTTCATTCAATTACAGGGGCACTTATTTCCATATCAAATGTGTTCCAAATTATATGCATGATAAACATATTCCATATTAAATGTGATAACTATACAAAACAAAGCTATATTTTTCTTTGCAAGGGCAAGTCTCTGATTTGGTTTCTTAACACGCCCCCAAAGCTCAAGCACTGTGTAAATACTCCCCATTTGAATACGACGACACAGGCGTCACACTCATGACCTCCGGTTGAACAGCACTTAGCAGGGCACGACACATGACGCAGTTTCTTTTTAAAAATCCATGACAGCTTAAAAAGCCCCTAGATGTGACTCAATTTTGATAGGGGGGATTTTATTCTGCTTTCACATAAAAGCTGAAGAAGTCACTATTTTCAAAGCAACTAACAGATACGGGCACTCACTGCAGGGCCAGGGCCGGGTGCTCCCTCCACCGCTGAATCCCACACCTGCTCCCCACAGCAGGGTCTGGCTGAAGGCTGGGCCCTGGAAAAACGCTACTTGAGACCCCAGTCCCCCATCCCCAGCCCTGTGCACAGCAGTCAGCCTGGAGAACGGGGATTCTCGACCCATCGGCACATCAGAATCACCTGACTCTGGTCCAGGCCCCCTGCCCAAAATCTGCTCTAATTGATCTGGGGGTTGAGAGGACTGGGGCATCTGTTTTGTTTTGTTTTCTTAGTCTGTACAGCAGAGTTGAGAACCAGCACTATGGATCAAAAGACCCAGAAGGCCATCAGTGCTGCAACTGAGTCAGGCATCTGTCCACTTCCAGGGAAGGACCCCACCGCAATTCGATATGTTTAAGCTGCAGCCCTTCGTAAGCAGGTAGAGGGTATCTTCTAAGTGCCTTTCTTCCCAGGGAAAGCCCTACGGAAGCTCCACCTCCAAGGAGGAGTGAGGCCATCCCCCTCTTCCCCTGGGGCCTGCAGTGTTGAAATAAAGATGATAAACGACTGGCTTTCCTTTTTGGACCAATTGGTAAACTCTTAAATGCCCGTAAAACTGAAAAGAAAAAGAGTGGCCCCAGAGTGGATTCGCTTCAGCGCACGCACACACTCCCAGGCCTGAGGGTTCCTCTGCTTCCGCCTCCTCCCCACCCCCCACAATCCCAGATACCGGCTGCCACAGAAACTGGCCACTTGCCAGAGTCACGCAGGCAAAATGGTGCCTTCAGGTGGCCAGGGGCGACTCCCCTACCTTGGTCTGCTCCAGCTCTCCCCAAGCCATTGAGTCTAGAGCCCAAAGCCTTGCAGGCCCAGAGCAAGGAAGCCGTCTCTTCTCCCTGGGACCAAGAGCCCAACTCAGACTCTGCCGGACGATTTGAGATGGGTACATACGTCTCTTCCCTTGGGCTTGTTCTCATGCTCCCTTGGCCTCAAAAAGACAATAACAAAATCGTTTCATACTAGCAAGTTTGGAATGGCAAAGTAGCTTAACAGAGGACTGGGGGAGAGTCTTGGTGAAAACTAGCATTCTGACAGAAGCTAGTTGAGAGAATACATACTCAGCAAAGCAGACCAGGAGACTCCTCATTGGGTAGGGGTGGGGGGGTGGAGAAAACATCGGGGCCACCAGGTGCCACACCAGCACGGAGCACTGTGCACAGAATATGATGAGAACAGGGGCCCTGGTGAGTGTGACATCTGAAGTGCAACCACTTCTTTGGGGGAGACATGCCTCAGGTCATAGGTGATGATATTGTGACATCATGAGGACCTGCCAGACCTCAAGAAATCCCAAGCATGGGACTTCCCAAACCTCTTATACTCTCATGTTTGCCCTGAAACTCCACCAAAATTACATTGCTGTTGGAGAAACTGCCTTGCACAGTTCAAGATTTGGGTACAATTTCTTACAGTGTCACTAGCACCCTCTTCCTACAATATCTGTAAGTGCTGTAACAACAACCAGGCATCACACAGATGCAAATGAGTTACATCTCTAGATGGTGGCCAGTGTGCAACCGGGAGCATCGGTTATCCACTAGTCTGGAAGCGTCTGAGCATGGCGGGCCTGGCCAGGGCTGGCCCCCAAGTCATAAGAGAAGTGAGCACATAGAGAAGGCAATGGTGGACGCCGGGCTTTATTCTTAGAACCCCCGCCAGTGCAATTATGCATAAATAACCTCATTTAGTTGACATTTTCTAAAATAGAGAAAAGAAACCACTTCTTTCCAGGAACTTCTGAACTAAAGGTAGGACAAAGCATTTCTGGGGTCTTGAGTAAGAAACTGGTTTCTTAGCAACCTAGTCCACCATGTGATCTCAGGAGAAAAGAATTCCTTTTGGTGAAAAAGCATTTCCTTACTGTTTCAATTATTAAAAACTGTATCACATTATGACCCTGGGGGAATTTGGTTCACCTTTAAGAAAAAGTCAAAGTAGCAAAAGAAAGAGATGAGATATTATATTAGCTATGGGTCCAGTGGAAATGAGTACACACTGGAGAAATAGATCCAAACTATTCCCACTGATTTGATTTTTTCATTGTTTTGTATCAGCCATCAAAATCTTAAAGACATAAACCTTACTAGACATTTGGAAATGTCCTCATTATTGCTACTTGATATCAGGGTAAGAGGTGGAAACCATTAAGTGATACATTTTCTCTGCAGATGAATCTTCATTCATTGGACTTCATTGGCAAAGGTTTTAAAAGTTGTGAAAACTCACTAGTAAAAAAAGGGACATTTTCACAGATTTTTCTAGGCATGATTCCTCCATGACTTACTGAGCTTGGCTTAGCTCCTGTATTTGTTTTCAGTGGCCACACAACAGATTGCCACGAACGATGCATCTTAAAGCAACACAATTTCTTATCTCAGTTTCCATAGGTCAGGGATGGACTGAACTGGTTCCTGGCTTAGGGTTCCCCAGACAGAAATCAAGATGCCGGCCAGCTGCATCCTCATCTGGAGGTTCAACTAGGGAAAGACTCACTTCCCAGCTCCCTCAGTATGTTGACAAAATTCATTTATTTGTAGTCATATAACTGAACTCCCCATTTTCTTGACAACTGACAACAGGGGACTACTGTTAGCAACTACAGACCACCCTAAGGTCCTCACCACATAGCCCATCACAGGAAGTTCACTGTCATTACTGTTTACCCTTCAAGGCCACAAAGAGAATCTCTCTCTCACTTTAGATCTCTTCTAACTTCTTTTAAGGCCTCACCTGATTAGGTCAGACCCACCCTGGATAATTGTCCTTTTAATCAACTCGAAGTCAGCTGATTAGGGACCTTAATTACATCTGCAAAATACCTTCTGCTACAGAACGTAATATAATAATTGTTAGCGTGACAGCCCATCATACTTACAAATCTGGGACACACCCAAGGGGAAGAGATTACACAGGGCATGTACGCAAAGTAGTGGGAGTCTTGGGAGCCATCTTAGAATTCTGCCTACCATGGCCCCTCACTTGTGTCCCATAGATTCTAATCTACGGATTGAGGGTAATACTCCATTCTCAAGATGGTTACAAGCTTTACAGGTGTACCTTTCACTCGGAGAAAGGTACGACCTCGTGTTATGTTCACATTGAATACTCACTGGGCTCTCCTGTGGTCTAGCCCATGTGCTAAGTTCCTGTTCACTGTAGGTTACGATAAGGAACTCTGATGCCTCTCCCTGTTCCTGCATCTTTAGCCACACTGGGTCCATAAAGTGCTTTTAAAAAATTTCCACATAGCATAGTTTCAATTTCTGTTCCACCCTTTAGCATGACACTCACAGCACTTGGAGAGACTGCTTTACAGTGGCTCTATCTGGGGACCTTCCCCCAGCAGACGGGGCTTCTGCTGTCTGTAACCTAGTCCTTCCAGGAATCAGATCATTGTAAATGCACTCCGAGTCCCAAATGGTGGGGTGACAGCCACCCTTGGCACAGGAGACTTTAGGTGGTGGACAGGTAGTACTGTTTTTAATCGAGAATTTATTTTGATGTTTTAGAAAAATACACAACTATTCAAACCCATGATTTTAGGGAATAAACAAGAATAAAGTAGGAATTGAAGATTTTAAGTGAGTTGGTTTGAGAAAATGTTTTTAAATAATAGAAGTTACTAGGATATGGCAAAAATCAGAATGGTGTCACTACAATTTGGGAAACGTTGGCATATGAGAAATCGATGACTAAGTAGTGAATGAACGGGTGGATTCATTAAGTATTGAATAAATTATTCTCAGTCATGCTCCAAGAGCCCCTTCCTTCTCACGAATGTCTGCAGAAGCCCACTACGCCCACACCTACCTCGTGCGGGCAGTTGAGCGACAAGGATACCCAGCCCACGGAGCATACCCCAAACCGGACTCGGGCAATGGGGGACCGAAGGCCTGAGTGTGAGAAGAGGAGGTGGAGCTTTGTGGGCGTGGCCAACCCACAATCGGCCTTCGCGAGGGGGTGTGGCTGGCGGGGGGTGGGTCCTCGAGGCGGAAGGCGGAAGGTGCTGCGGCATCACGTGACCGAGTAACATGGCCGTTGCCTGGTGAGCACGGCTGGTGCCGGGCTGGAGCTAGTCGCGTGAATCTTTAGGCACCAGCGTGCGGGGGCGGGGTCCAGGCCCGGGTTCCGAGGCGGCGCGGGGCGGCGGAGCCAGTCAGGTGGGCCGGGGCTGGTGTGGTCCATGAGCGGGCGCCAGAGGCAGCGCCGAGCCGCAGACTCCCCTAGACCCCGGCGCGGCCGGGGCAGTCTCGGACTGAGGAGTCGCGAGGCTCCGGGGGACACTCTGAGTTGTCACCATGAACCCCGAGAAGGACTTCGCGCCGCTCACACCCAACATCGTGCGCGCCCTCAATGACAAGCTCTACGAAAAGCGGAAGGTAGCCGCGCTGGAGATCGAGAAGTAAGAGCCGCGGGCATCCACGGTTGGGCGTAGGGAGCGGAGGCGGAACCCCGCCCTGGCTATCTATGCTGGGGTCCCGCTCCCTGGGGGCACAACTTAAGCCTTTCCAGCCAGTGTTGCTGCACCAGGTTTAGCCTTCAGTGCAGTGTTTAAGAGCAGGAGTTTGGGAATCCCAGCTTTGCTTCTGACTGGCCTTTCCAGCCAGTGTTGCTGCCC